AGCTAGCCCCAGGGTTTCTTCTTTGAGCATTGATACAGGTGGCAATAAGACACCGGTGATATCCGCTTCCGCTGAGAGCTCCCCCTTCCACTCTACTTCCCCCCATGATGAAGATATCACCGATCAGGAAGCCGCTGAAACGAGACTAGACCAACAACTTGGAGGCGTGGTTCGATCCGCCACGACCCTCAGCTTGGAAGAGAGATCACTAGGGTCTTTATCATTTTGCCAAATTATGAGTCGGCAAATGGATTCTAATATCAATATTGGGCTCAATCAACTCTCACGGGTCGATAGAGCGGGTTCACTACGAAGCAGGCTTCGGCTCCGATATTTTCGATATAATATCGGGTTATATCGATAATATATCGTACGAGGCAATATTCGAGTCGATATATATCGGATATTTTTGAAGGATTCGAATGAATATTCGGAATATCGGGCACGTGACCGGATAATCGTTGTTCCAGCTCCGTAGCCAATAGAAATCTTATATATTCTTAGCCTAAGGCCATAAATGCCGGCAACTCGAAGACTAAGCCAATTATGGCCTGAGGCTCACAAGCTTCAGCCGCATTGTGGCTTAAATTATTGAGAATGAGTGGATCGACACTAATTTTAACCGAGGCTGGGCGTGTGAAACCTTAAAATTCAGGAATCCAGATAATACATCCTCAATAATTATTATTTTTAGTACTAATAATAATATATCGGGTTTTATTTTACGATTTACGATGTATGCGATATATTCGATTATTTATTTAATATCGGGCTTTTAAATATAGACGATATAATATCGATTATATTGAGAATAGAGGTACCCAATAGCTCCTGTCACGTACGGAAGACAGGAAGGAAGGCAGGAGGACGCACACGGTGCGAACGTGTGGTCAGCGACTATTTTAGTTGTGTTTACTACAGCAGCTCTAATTCTATCTAAGCTGCTGTAATATAGAGAGTGTGGCCAAGCACGTGCGCTATACCCGATTAGGTATAGTGCTAGGGAGACTAGCGCTCCCGGGCTGGTATTGCACGTGCCACCACAACGATCTCATCCAGTGCTAAGACCTGGTTATACCTCCATATCTACTCTATATTCCAACAGATTATTTATTTAGAGGATTTAATATCGGACCGATATTATCGATAAAATCAATTCCGCGCCGAAGCCTGTGTACAAAACACTTGAATAGAATGGAAAATCGCTAATTGACTGTAGTTATTACACAAGAAAATTTAGTTATATGTTAGGATGGAACGGTCTGGAGACTGAAAACTCCCATTTCTTGAGTGCTTTAGGTTAGCTATTAATAGCTCGCCAATTCATATCCCGAAGTTTGCAGAATTACTCGGAATAAGTGAGTCCTTTGACTATACGAAGGTATATGGGTATTTTCAAGTTAGGAAGCGTATCTCAGTGACAAAAGAGTAAATCACCATGTAGAGATGTGATTCAGAATAATCAAATTGCTTGCTACAAAGGAGCTAACAATAACTCCATAGCTTTACTGATTTAATTCTAGGATCTAGGTATGCTTCTAAGTATGCTCGAGTAAGAAACGACTTTCTTATTCGCGAAAGGTATCCACCTTTCTCCACCTGCTGCTACTTTCATTCCACTTCTCTTCGCTAGCACGCATGATCTTCCAGATCCAGAATCTCGCCCGGCAAAACCTCTACTTACTCGACCATGGTGACCAAGGTGCTCCAGGTCCGGAAGCAAGGAATTGACATCCGGCTTGCTAGCATTTCTTAGTCCCTGCACAAGGATGACATGTCTTCGCAGTAGGCACAGGGAAAATACAAGACTTACTCTACAAGTATGACAGGGCTTGAAGGCTTGTGGTGCTTGCACTTCACATCTGCGATAAATGTGGGCCTGGTTGCGAACCACACAATCCCCGGGAGCGGACATACATATGCACTGTGAGAAAAGTATCGGCTTGCCCTCCACTTCACTGTACGATAATTGTATGACATCTTTCTTCGCGTAACTTGAAAGACTCCCTCGGTTTGTGGTTATCGAGTTTTGTTGAGCGAAGCAAGCGGTCGTTTACTTTTGCGTTAGACGTAGAAATGGGAGTAAGGAAGTTTTTTGAAGTCTTGTAGAGATGATGGAGTAAGAAGAAGTTTCTCAATAGAACATGAAATATTTATAGACCAGGAATAGCAATGTCGAGCTCTGTCCCTGAATCAGACGTCCCAATCGCATTAATATTATGCATCATAGAAGCCCAAATACTTTTGGAGAACAATAAGCGTTCCTAATACATTCCACAATGAGATCTGAATGGAACAAATCAAGTAGATCTGCCACATTGTGATTTTGCTTGTATTGCTGCCATTCGCTAGCATCGAGTCTGTTACAACTTATAATCCGATCTCCTGCCAGGACTCTAAAGAGTCGAACGAACGGAGACCTATGAGTCAAGGAGGTCGAAGAATGAACTATGACGAGCTCTGGGATCACTTCGTACAATAAGTCGGGGCCATCGACAGGAGTCCAAATCATTTAAGCGAGACAGAAAGGGGTCGTTTCAACGTCATGGGCAATGAAACAACATCACTTATCAAAATAGCATGATAGAGCCTTCTTTTCCCCAAACACCCTATAAATCGCGGAGCTTCGAAAGGTCAAGAACTCCAAACCCACCTCAACCAACCTTCTCTTGCTAGCTCAGAGAAAAGCATGGCACGTGATCGCGACGGCTGTCTTCTTCCTACCTGCCAATAACGAGAGACCTGGTTATCACTTCAGCCAAATTCTCGATGCCGCTATTGCCGTGCTGTCCCGCCAAGCATATATTAGAGATCGTCTGCTCTGTTCCACTTCCAACATATTCTCCTCTTCAATCATTGTTTTCCAGCAAGATCCCCTCAAAATGGCACAACCAAAGACAGCAGTAGACATCGTATTCGGCGCCATGACGCTTGGGAAAGAAGGTGCACCCACATCTTCCTCCTTCTTCTACATAAAATCTAAGAACTCGACACTAACACCCCCCCAGGCGCCGAACAAGCCCGCGTCCACACCCTCGAAGAATGCTCCTCCATCCTGGACGTCTTCCAATCCCACGCCCACTCCGAAATCGACACCGCCCTCGTCTACGGCGGCGGCAGCTCCGAGCAATACCTGGGCCAGCTCAACTGGCAATCCCGCGGCCTCATCATGGACACGAAATTCTCGCCCCGCGCGGACCTCGGGTTAGGACCGGACGTCAAGACAATCCACGGCCCAGAGCACCTCCGTCTCGCGCTCCAGAAATCGCTGCAGAGTCTCCAAGCCGAGAAGATAGATTTGTGGTACCTGCATGCCCCCGAACGCAGCACGCCGTACGAGGTCACGATGCGGGAAGTGAATGCCCTTCACCAAGCAGGTTATTTCCGGCGTTTCGGGATCAGCAATTTTATGTCGTGGGAAGTTGCGCAGATTTGCGAGATCTGTGAACGGAATGGGTGGATCAAGCCGAGCGTGTATCAGGGCGTTTATAATGCTGTTCATCGAGCGGTGGAGCCGGAGTTGTTTCCGTGTTTGAGGAAGTATGGGGTGGCGTTTTATGCGTTTAATCCGCTTGCTGGGGGGTATTTGACGGGGAGGTATACGAGGGATATGTTGGAGAGGGAGGAGGTGGTGGAGAAGGGGTCGAGGTTTGATCCGGAGAGGAGTCAGGGGAGGAATTATAGGAGGCGTTATTGGAATGAGAAGTATTTTGATGCGTTGGATATTTTGAGACCTGTAAGTTTCTCCTATAACTCTCCTAGGCGAATAGGATATTGCTAAACAGAACTTTATAGGTAGCCGAGAAGCATGGCCTGACTGAAGCAGAGTGTGCACTAAGGTGGATGACGAATCATTCTTTGCTGAAGAGGGAATTTGGGGATGCGATTATCATTGGAGCCAGTAGTGGCAAGCAGCTGGAAGAAAATTTGATCAACTTAGAAAAAGGGCCGCTTCCGGAGGATGTCGTGAAAGCACTAGATGAAGGATGGGCGACTGTGAAGGGAGTTTGCGCCAACTATCATCGCTAGGCCAGCTTGGCCGATAACCGGAGTTTCATTTGTTTGAAGTGGAAAGAGCTTTTCAATGTTACTAAAAGTTCAATTGATTTGATTTTGCTTGAGAAGACCGGTTATAGAAGGAGCTTTGGCAAGCACATTGCGGACTAACATTGCACCCCAATTGTGCATTTGATCGAGGACATCGAACTCTGGAGCACATTAAGAGCACAGTTCCAAGCCTTGAAGATCAACCCCAATCTAATATGCTTCATTTCGTTATGTAATTAAAGCAAATCTACATTTGCAAAACCTCTACCCGTATAGCTACAACACCCCAACTACCTCCGAAACGCCACGCTGATCACAAAACAAGAATCTATAACACAACAAACAATCATTCCTCTTCCAACCTCATACCCGCAAACTCCCTCGGCGGCACCCCCATCTCAAATAACCTGTCAATTTCCTTGAACGTCCTCCCCTTCGTCTCGGGATAGTACATCCAAATGCCTATACAGCTAACTCCTAATATCCCTCCATAGATGAAAGCAATCTTGCCTCCTAGATCCGCGTCATTGGGGTTCATAGCGAATGGTAAGAGAACACCTGAGACGGCGCCGACGAGGCCGTTGGTGACGGTTGCGAGAGATTGGGTGTGGGAGCGTAGAGAAGATTTCGAGACTTCGGCGACGATGGCCCATGCCACGGACCCGATGGTGGATTGGTAGGTGAAGGACCAGATGGCCATGAAGAAGACTTGAGCCCAGATTGCGGATTTGGAAGGAATGCTGGCGGTGATACCGATCATGAATAGTGCTGCCGAGAGGATGATCGCTCCTGGATTCTCGTTAGATATTTTCCCTCGAGTGAACACTGTTCACTTACCATAAAGAGCAGTCCCTCTTCTCCCATACCTCTCGACAAACACCCATCCAACCATATTCCCGACCAACATAACAAATGACAGTCCAACCGTAGCATTGAAGGCCGCGCCGGTACTCAATCCTCCAAGTTCCAGGAAATACGCCATGTACCCAATAATCCAGCTCATTCCACTGACGCTTTGGATAAAGAAAGTACTCATGGCAATCAACGTCCTGAATGTGTTCTTTCCTTGGAAACATTCCCTGAAGCTCGCCTCCCTCTGGGTCTTAGCCTGAGTCTCTAAATCGACTTTGATCGAAGCGATGAAACCCTCTGTATCGAAGTTCGCATCGTGAAGTCGTCTCGTGTTCTTCATCGCTTTGTCGATTCGGCCTTGGGCGACAAGACAGTATGGTGATTCGGGGAAGAAAGGGAGGATCATTAGTGCGATGCCGGCGAAGATCCATTGTACGGCGAATAGAATACGGTACGAGTTTGCGTTGTCGAAGTATTGGGTTTGACGCATCACAACATATGCGAGACACTGACCGAAGACGATACTCCAATTGACAGCAGCAGTCGTAGCTCCTCGAAGAGCGAAAGGTGCAATTTCAGCACAGTATGTTGGTGCAATAGTGATGAAGACACCGAGGGGGATACCAGTGAGAACCTTGCCGCCGAAGAGAAGTGGAAGATTCCCTGGTGACGAGAACCATTGGAGAAAAACACCAGCAACGCTCAGCACTGGAAGTGATCAGCATCAATCATGACTCAAGGAGAGGAACATGAATCACTTACTGTACGACATGAACATGAAGAACTGCCTCCCCCACTTCTTGGCACCATACCCCGCGATGATACCACCAAACAGCAATCCAAACAAACTCGCACCACCCAGCGCCAACTGCCAGATAGCAGGCACGACATACTGGCCCTCAAACTCGTCCCCATAATCCTGTCGAAATCGATCTATCGCAAGAACAATCTATCCTCTCGTCAGCCACTCATCACACCATTCACTCGGAGAGGAAGACGTACCGAACTAGCAAGCCCATCATACCCCCACATAATACACGTAAACAACGAATACGCACACCACAAAAGTGCCTTGGGATTCCTCCGAATCGCCTCCTTCCAACTCTGCGCATGTTGCGCCGCCTCGAACGCCCTCGCCCTCCTGACCTGCTCGTCATCCTCCGGACTCCCGCCGCCCTGAGATTCCAACCTCATCAGTCCCTCCCCACCACCACCACCACCCATCAGGAAACTCTCCCTCTTAACATCCCTCTTGGCCATCTTTTTGTCCCGTTTCCACTCGTTCCCTTTTCGCACGAAACAGCAACAAGTCCAGAACCAGCCCGACACCACAATACGACAGACGTGGAAGGAAGGAAGGAAAAAAATTTGCCCCGGAAAACCGTACCTGACCTGTCCTGATCTCAGGACCTGGGAATCGTCTCCGATATAACGATTGCAGCAGCCCGGATCAATGCATAAGGCACCTACCTACGGATGCCGGAAGGGAAGGGAAGGGAAGGTGGGACGGAAGGAACGGAATGCTTGGCGCGTCGCGGGTGGACGAGGAATGGATGGAACGCGAGATGAAACCGAGAGGACACGCGAGCGAGCGAGCGATCTTCAGCTTATCACAGAGCCGCAATCTGGGGTTCCCCCGCGTGCCTTGTGAGGTTCAGTGAAGTTTGAGTGGGAGATCGAAGTGTAAAGACGCGAAGTGAGTGAGTGAGTGAGTGAGTGAGTGGTGGGATGGCACCTGCCTTGACGAGATTGCATGCGAGGCAATTGAATTTGAGTGACGGGAGACTGAAGTGTCGTCAAGGTGTGTCGTCGGAGAGACTTTATTTGCTTCTTTGTGACGGGTTGGGTTTCAGCCGTTTCGGCAAAGCTGTGTTGAACTTTGAAATTGGTTGACAGCACGTGTTATTGTCTTGTACGCGCTATCACAGTGTCAAGCCTTGAACCTAAGCTGTTCGCTGTGTGAATCATTTCTCATACATCCTGTCAGAGCGCCTAGAGGTTCTAAGCTTTTTGCAACCATTGTCTCACTAATTAATGTCTGTCCCGCCATCATTTTGTCTCCCGCCTCAAAATCTTCTTCCTCCATCACCTGATCATACCGGCGTCGATGGCGATGGCTCAAGCAATAGCTTCTTCTTTCTTCTTTCTCGAAGCGCTTGTGCGTGTTTATCAATCTGCTTGAATCCGGATTTCACCCACGATTTCAAGTCTCTTCGGACATTTTTACTTCTTCCGTGCGAAAGCCTCCACTTCTCGAATCTGAACCAGACCCTCCAGAAAAATGTGATGATCAATGTCGTGCCAACGACACAGGCAACATATATCCATATTCGCCAGTTCAAGACCACTTCGCTCAATCTATTAGCCGTCCAATCGAAGAAAGGGAGGTTGAAAACACCCTAACAAACAATCAGTATCAGGGAGGAAAAGAAAGAATATGATTTTGGTCGACATACACAAAAGAAAGTTGCTGGTAAGAACACCATTGACATTACAGAGATCGCTTTCACTGCCGACTGGTCCCTTCTGCTGTCGAGTGACATGCTGTAACTCGACTTGGAAATAGCCAAATTCAGGTTATTGGCACTGTTCGCAATGTGAACATCGAGCTGTATTCAATCAGTCTCGCACATTTACAAAGAGACATTGAACCTTACCCAATGTCGGTATATGGAAACATAGTGAAGAGTCGCTGTCAACTGCATGTGCGCTTCATCGAGTGAGCCTTCGAGATACATGAGGCGGTCATCTAGTACTTTGCATGCCGTTCTGAAAGATGATTCGCGCTTGGGATCTTTGTCCTCTATTTCTCTGGACCACGCCTTCATGTTTCCAATAAAATCCCGCAGTTGACCCATCCTCCACTGGTTGGCGTGCACAGTTTGGCTGATTTGGAGCGATAGGTTGGACTGCGCCATGGCATCTATAGACTTATGAAGGTCTTGCTGCTCAAGGCCCCAAGTGGGAACTTGTTCTAATTGATTTTTAGCGTCGTGGTAGACATTTTTGACATCCCGCCATAGGCTCTCCTGTAGGCGTTCTGCGATGAGAACAAGAATGAAAATAGGGTGCAAGGTCAAGGGCTGCAATGCTTTGTCCATGAATCGATCTTGCAGATGTCGTTTTTCGGACGCAGAACAGTCGTGAATAAAAACTGTCGTAACTCGGTCGCATTCCTTATGTGATACGAAAACCTTCATATTGCACCTGCCAGTATCACCAAGTCCAACAAAAAAGGCTTAGACACGATTTTAGCACATATCACAGACAAAATGGCTTTGGGAGCTTACAATGCGTGCCTCCATGCTTATAGGTATTTACCCGCGCATTCTGTATGACATGGGAGTGTCCTGAATTTGACATTTCGAAGAAAGCTTTGTGAAAGTCGCAAAGCTTGAAGAACGCCTCGCAGGTGGCAGGATCGAAAGGAAAGGGGGTTGAAGAGATGGACTTTAGGTAATGTCGTTCATAGGGCTCGTCACGAGTCTCAGGGGACATTCTACCATGATGAGTAATTCTGTCCAGGGACTTCACATGCGAGGTACTTACATGATCCGAAGTTCACAGTGATATCTAGCTGGTCGAGGTTTCGCAACAAGGTCGATGAGCTGTGTTCCATACGCTGATCCACTGCTAGATGTGATTGTGGAAGTATCCTGTCTATTGTTTAGCTAACGAGGTGGTATCTTGGGATTCATCACTGACCTCCGCATGTTGGAATACCACATAAGAACAAGGTCCAGAATTGGATGGATTTTTGTCCTTCCACGCAGCCGCACAAAACTCTTTTTGGGCCTTCCTGTAGAAGCAGTGCGTGTCTATCGTGGAAGAAGTCGTTCCGCTGTGATGATCCGCAATATGATCTGTTGCAGATTGTCCACTCATTTCTGGTCGATATTGCTCGGTCTCAGTGGCCTCATGGCATGCTTTCTGGAGTGCTATTTCGCGCTCTACTGCCAGACGCTGCTGTTCCTTACGACGTTTGCGGCATCGCTCCGCAGACTCCCAACTCGAATGTTGGTGCTTCTCGTAGTCAAAATCTTCCAACGGAATTGATACAGCGCCATGGCGATGATGATGGCGATGGTTTCCAGTAGTTGCCGGCAGGGTTTCGTATTGTGCTTCGCAAGCCTCAGTATGACGAGGTTGATATTTCATCGCGTCTTGGTATAGAGATTGGGTATCTACACCTGTGTCCCCAACTCGTTCGTGAAAGGCGAGGTGGTTTGGGGACATCGGTCTGGACTCGGAATCTGGCAGGCCATGCCGCAGAAAATCTGCAATATGATCTGGAGTGAACTCCCGAGCGAGAGGATCGAATTCCATAACGATGATGATATGAAATGCTGTAATGGAGGTGGTGGAGTATGATGAAGAAGCAGGAGGAAAGTTTTTATCTTTTGGCGGGAGCACAAACCGTGGTGGACTCAAGCAGGCAAGAGCGACTAGCAGCTTCCACTACTGATAGGAGCTGGCTGAACAAGATCACATAATGACGCGCCGCAAGACTTCTTGCTAAAAGAGTGAGACTTTGTTAAGCTGGTAAAATACGATGAAGAGCGCAGACAGCTACTTTCTCAGGTTTTTCTTGCAACTCGACTGCTGCTAATGTAGTCGAGTAATCGAACGAGTTCGGGATTACTCATTGGAGACAGCAAGGAGGACATTATGCAGATGAAATCAAAATTAATTAGAAGACTACAACCGCAAGAGCAGGAGTCATTGTGCCTACAAATGAGAAAAACTCCGGTGGATTTCTCAACCACGTCTGCGAGTTGTAGGGCTTTTCCCCTTGGGTGTAGCGGTGGAAACTCCCGACGAACCAGAAGCAATTGGGACTTTCTCTGCTTTCTTTTCCTTGACTGGCTTTGCTGCAGGTCCATTCCAGTAGTATACCATCTGCGCAGCTAAGACAGCATTGAGGGCGAACCCAGCAATGAATCCGTAAAGAATCAACTTATCATCCACCTCCTGCAGCGTTGTAAAGATTCTCGAAAGGGACCCAACAAGGTAGTTGAAGACCTGCTATACATTAGTCTTGCTCAAATGATATGTCAACACCTGAGAGACTCACAGCAAACGCGCTCAACTGTCCGGTCCCTCCTTCTTGCCAAATAGCAGCAATCTGTGGCAACTTGCTCGCAACACCAAGCGCACCAGCACCAGCTTGCAGATATCCGAGGGTCTTCATATCCACAATATTGTCCGAGAACAAGGTAAAAGCACTAGCAGCAAGTCCAGCAACAAAAGTCGCAGCCGCGGCTTGCTTTCCACTGTAGTGTAAGACCAACACCGCGATAACAACATTTTGTGCCATGATCAAGCCAGTTTCGCCATATGTGCTGAAGGGAAATCCTTGGCGCACATTATATGCCAACGAGATCAGGTATGCGGAGGTCTCGAGGAGGTAAGAGAGGAAGGAGATTCCGGACGCGGACTGCGAGTTGAGGAGCTTGAGGATTTGAGGAACTTTGACGATGGAGGATGCAGCGATGATACCGATGCCTAATCCTTTCGAAACGGCGAGCTTGATACACTCTGTTGACTCCAAGTCGATGTCGAGCAGGAGAGTCTTGTAGCAAGTCTCTCCTATGATGGAGACGCCGAGATCCCGAATGGGAGCAGGGAGATTGTGGGTAATGGGCTGAAGAGCATTGCGAAGGGCGTCCATCTTGATATCTTGGACTGAGTATCGTTGGAAGACGTGTCAAAGAATGAGATACGAGTTGTTGACACGGTATGAAGGTGGTGAGATCCTCCCAAAGCTGGAATGGCATTTTTTGTCACAAGGCTGTCGTGTCGGTGGAATGTTTCTCCGAACCGAACTCCGGAAGTTCGTCATCTCCTCCAACTTCAACACTTCCCATGTTCATAACTTCACTCCACTTTCTTGATGAGGCGTCGCTCTTCTTTCATGTAGGCTCTGGCGAGCAATAAAGGCTCTGATCTAGTAGTGCTGGTTTGCCTCTGTGCTCAGCCGCCAGGACTACGGTTGACAAGCCTAGGTGCTCAAGTCACAAAAAGGGATCGCTCTCTAAAATAGAGCCTTGTGTTCATTTCTTGCTTGCATGATTCTCTACCTATAGTCGGAATGTCAGTGATGCCATTGTTAGAATAGTAGGACTTAGTAGGACTTGGAGAAGTCCTTCTGTCCAATGTTTAGTGCTGCGTCTCAAGTGCCGAGCCGGCTGCATTATAGAGGCACAGTGCTAGCTGAGCAGTTAAAACACCTTCTTCAGCTCCAGCACAATAGCATTCAAATCTCTGATTGCAACTGCTTTCGAATCCGGATATTATTCCAGCAACAGGTCTCACCATGCCAACTCTCAAATTACTTCTCACGCCTTCGCTAGCTTGTGAAGCTGCAAATCAGTGTATCAATGTCCGGATAACTCTCGATGTCCCAGGGTTCGAGCAAGATGCAATTCTCTTCCATCACATCCTGTCACGAGGGCCTATCAAGACAATGCAATACACCTCCGATGCTCTCCACATCCGAGACGCTCTAGGCCCAGTTCAAGTTCACCATGAAGATTCCGGACGTAGACGATTTCGAGAGTTTCTTGTTGATAGAGACGTCCCTCCTGGAGAGCTGACCATCGAATACCAAGCTCTGCCTTGGAAACCCACAGAGACAAGTCCATGTGGTCCTCAGATTGCCATTGAACGAGACGGCGGGGGTCTTACGGGAGCGGGCATGGCATTCATTCTTCGACCCGACCTTGATATGGTCATGGACATCACTGTCGAGTGGGATTTATCTTCTACGCCCCCTGGCACACAAGCAGCGTGCAGTCTGGGAGAAGGCACAATGGTCTCTGCCAAGGTCAAGCCTGATGTGCTTGACGAGTGCTTTTTCGCAGTAGGTTCTCTGCATAGCTATCCTCCTCTTGGAACCAGCGGGAAATTCGGCATGTACTGGCTCGAGAACCCATCCTTCGATGCGCCCGCTCTTGGAAGACAGATGGAATCTCTGATCCCGATAATAGCGGCCTTCTTTCATGACCAAGACCTCACTTACAGAATCTTCATTCGTCGCAACATCCAGAAATGTGTTTCTGGCCGTGGTCTGTATCGTGGCTTTGTTTTCGCCTGGACAACCGTCGTTCCTCGTGATCAAGATGAGATCGTGGAGTTTCTGATGCACGAAACAGTCCACAACTGGCCTCGGCTTGGTTTCTCTGGCGACTATCCAACTCCGGAAGAGCTTGCTGATGGATGGTTCAACGAAGGCATCGCGGAATACTACTCCATCATTTTGCCATATCGATTCGGAATCTTTTCAGAACAAGAACTCATCCGTAGACTCAACATCCGAATATCTGGCTACTACACAAATCCCGACCTCGAAGTCAAGAACAAAGACGTTCAAGACAGGTTTTGGAATGGCGGACACGTAAATCGAATCCCGTACCAAAGAGGCTTCATGTACTTCATGCAGCTAGCTTACAAGCTCAAGAAAGCCAACGCCCGTTCACTGGACAACATCATCCTTGATATGGTGGATCTAAGACGACGAGGGAAGCCGCACGGCATCATTGTTTGGCTTCACCTGATTGCAGTAGAACTGGGTCCTAGCGTCGATAACGAGTACCGTTTCATGGCCGACGCTCACCTCATTATACTTCCTTCGGATGTTTTACAGATCACCGAGAGTCTGAATTGGACACTCGAAATGCAGCGGCAAGAGCCATTTTACCTTGGTTTTCCCGAAGAATGCTTGACTGCCAACCCACCCGTAGTCAAATTGCTCGATCCTGACTCCAGAGCTGCTGAGGCGGGTGTTCGCGAAGGAGATGTTGTTACGAGGCAGTATAGTTTCTTCGTCGTTGCAGAAAGATGGGGGCAAAATTTTAGTATGAATGTGAAAAGAAAGAATGACGAAGGCATAGAGGAGCTGAAAACGATAGAGTGGTGGCCAAGAAGTCGTGAAACGGTTGAGAGTTATCAATTTGTGGCACGTTCAGAGGCATGAATCTTACACCGCATTGCGTTGCAATCTTGATTGCTTCTTTGAGCCCCTGATCTTGTCATTTGCTCTTGACTCGCTTTTATACAAGAGTGACGAAGCGAATAAAGTCTTGCGCTGCTCCCAAAAATTTTTTTTTTCGAAAGAATTGAATGGCAAAACCTTTCCCAGGTACCAGCCAGAGAGTACCTAGGGGGATAACAGATTCAAGCGAAGTGTAATGAGTAAACATCGTAGCAGGAAACAGGAATCTGAATTCGACTGTTCTGGACTCGACCATTCGGCCGCCCTACTGCTCAATCACACATCTTTCTGTTTTTGATGGCTGGAAAATGCTTATTTGTTATTATATGGTTCCTAAGCGTAGCGAAGGCGGGCTAGCCCGAATCGGAATATCGTCAACAAGAGGCATTCACCTTCAATATGATCACAGTACTAGAGCTGAAGACTAGACTAGTCCTGCATAACTATTAATGTCTCAATACAGAAATGCAATGCCTTCTCATTCATAGGAAGCTGCAAAATTACGCCCATAGGTCCGCTTGCAGCTCCGAAAATCGCTCACTATTGGAATACTGGGACCTGCCAAAACCAAGTTGCTGGGTACAAGATGGAATACAATTTTAACTGCTGCTAACATGTGGACTCTATCCCATGGTAAGTTATAGAAACTCTATGCTCCTTGCTCCAATGTCATTGCGTTATGTCCCCACGAGCCAATGTACACATCCGTGCAAGATCTTTCAATGGCTGCTCTTCTCTAGCAAAAATATCTGTTTATGGCTCTGGTGTGTTCAAGGAAGGATTACTAGATCCACATTCAGGGATCAGGTAACATCCCAAAAGCTTGATCCTTCCATCACACAGCAACAATATCCACAATGCGGGTAACTCGGGGACAGAATCGTCCCAAGGATCAGAACAACAACATACTCGACTTTTTTATTAAATATGCAGTGTCTGCTTTTTGTTCTTGCCCCTGCAAGCAGCTTCCAACAGTTCCCGCGACAAGATGTATTCACTCGCTGCCGCTGTCCTTGGCTTCCCGTCTCTAGCCGCCACTCAATCCGCAAGCTCAACTGTTCCTAATACTTCGGGGGGTGCTGCGGCTATTGCTGCTGAGCTTCCGACAGCCACTCCATTGTCGCTTTCACTCATGTGAAGGGCAAGGTCTTTGACTGCATTGCGGTCTTTATGATGAAGAACATTGATTTGGCCACCGCGTTGGAAAATCGGAACTGAGAACTCAAGTAAAGAAGACAGACCTCTGACAAATTCCAGCAAATATGCAACTCCTCGCTCAGAAGGGCATCGCGCTCACCAACTACTTTAGCACAACTCATCCTTCCGGGCTTAATTATTGTGCCATTCATGGTGGCGACAACTTTGGAATGGATAATGACAACTGCAACCAGATTCCCGCCAATGTTTCTACGTTGTTTGATCTTTTGGCAGAGAAAGATAGTTCGTTTGGAGAATACCAGGAAGACGTGCCCTACACTGGCTTTGAGGGATACCAGTACCTCGACCCAGAAGCTGGTGCTAATTACTATGTCCGAACACACAAGCACAATGTCGGTTCTGGAAACAGACATTCCGTCCACGTGACTGGCTTAGAGATTGACTTTTCCAGCCCTGCGGTTCTGTACAATAAGAACGTTGAAGAATCAACTAAATTGAACACCATTAAGAGATTTGTTGAGTTCTACGATGATATGGACAGCAATGAGATGCCTCAATATATGTTCATCACACCAAACATGCGTCAGTAGCTGGTTTCTAACGTTAGTTGAAGCAATACTGACAGCTCAAAGTGAACGATGCCCATGATACGGGCATAGTCTATGGTGCCGATTGGTTGTATCAATTCTTGGAGTCAATCTTGGAAAACAAGAACTTCATGAACACTCTTCTTATCATCAGTAAGCTGATTTCTCCGACTCTGAACTTCTTGCTAACATCCGCCATACTTTGACGAGGAAGAGACGTACCCCATCGAGAACAGATTCATGCCCGTCCTACTCTTGGATAACTTGCCCGCAGAACTTGTCAACACCACTGACGACACGTTCTACACCCACTACTCGATTCTCGCGACCACCGAAGCCAACTGGGATCTCCACCACCTTGGTCGATGGGATACTCACGCCAATGTCTTGAAGTTTGTTGCCAATGCCACTGGCGATATGATCCGTGCTCCAGACGTGAATCTTGATAACGTTTCATGAACCAGTCTTATCCTGGTACTTTCGTTATCACTTACTGGTGCCCCATGCCTGCTTCTAACGTTTCTGCTGTAGTTAATGGCAGAAGTATTTTCGGTGAAATTTGACTTAGTGGGGTGGTTTAAGTTTAGTTCCTTGAATTGAATGATTGATAGTTCCTTGACTTCGTCGTCCTCGTCCAGCAGCTCTTCGGTGTCTGCTACATCTATCTCGTCTTCTCTCATCTTCACAACCAGGGTTTCGTCCGGAGTCTCCAGCAGAGCCACACCGAGCTCTGTTCTATACTCAAACTCCACCTCTTCAGTCCCAACATCAACCACCCAATGGACAACCTCGACATTCTACACCACCTCCGTTAAGACCATCACCTCATTTGTATCAACAGTAACAGACTACCCAGCAAACTCCATCTCAGTAACCACCGAAACCATCGCACTCCACACAACAATCTGTCTCGTGACAGCCACAGAGACCTCAGCACCAACCTCCTCAATCTCAACCGAGTCAGCAAAGTCAACCTCCTACTCAACATCAACAATCTACACAACCTACATATCAACAATCATCAGCTGCGCTAAACCAGTCATCAATTGCCCCACCGACTCAAGCAAAGTAACCACAATGACAGTAGTACTCAGCACAACAATCTGCCCTGTTACCGAAGCTGAAGGATCCTCGTCCTCTGTTGTGGGGACTTCTTCTTCCGCAGCGTACATATACAGCAGTCCCGCTAGCAAAATCGCCATCTCCACCTCCAGCGCCACAGGAATTGCTGTCTCAAGCAGCCCTCTCGCGGCAATTGGTGGGATTAGCTCGACTTCGTCGGCAGCTGGTGTGGTTACCAGTCCGTCGCCTGCGGATGTGGGTACTGGGTCACCGACGACGGGAGAGAAGAATGGGACTGTGAGTGTTACAGCGAGCCCGAGTGCTTTCACTGGTGCTGCGTCGAGGTTTGGTGTCAGTGTTGTTGATCTGGTTGCTGCCGGGTGGTTTGGTTTGGTTGTGTTTTGATGAATTTGGGGGCCGATTTCAGATAATATTTTAATTTTAATTCAATGGACGAAAAGTAGTCTTATGCAATAGCCGGGGAATACCCCTATCCGACGGATGAAAAATGTCACTCGAAAGGTTTCGGGGAAGTTCAACCTGCGAACCTTTTAGCGTTATTCTAGTCCCCGAAAACATTTAAGTACAGTACCTCATGGGAAAGTTCACCACACTACGTTAAATCATACGCAATACGTTAATATTTTACTTCTATGTCAGGCAACATATATTACATTATACACTACAGGCTCTACTACAGCTAATTATGCAATAACAAATCTCTATCATCAATACAATTATTTTAAGCTTTCGGAATCTACACGAATTACCTACTATACAACTGGCTGACTGCAAAGCCTCAAGCTTAACATCATAGCTTCATAGTGCTCATATATGGAGTACTTGTATTTCTTCAAGCACAAGACGGATAAAGGCTCGGTGGTGGCCGCAAGCTATCCTAATATAATCCTCTAGGCTCTGAAGAGCCTGGCACTGGGGGGCAATGAGCTTCGCACGTGATCAAAAGCCGGCGACTAACTTGGAAGTCAGATTGGACGAAAGGTGCTTCGTCCTGATACTACGTGCCAGATTTACATGTAAGTAACAAATTTTCTTTTCTTCCAATAACCTCAAATATCAAGATCGCCATCTGCCATATCAAAAGGCTCGATCCGGTAAGGTGCATCGTGTTTGGTTACAACAGCACATGCAACCTGCAAGCCAACAAGCCAACAAGCCAACAAGCCAACAAACCAACAAACCAACATATGCTCCCAGCCCGATCAAGAGATTGAGTAAGCACCCATGAAGGGAGGATTCACTTCTCGGTGTGCAAGGCATATTCCTAGTGGCATCCCCGGGCCCAACAGCCCCCCTGGGCCCCTCCCCGCCCCTCCCCGAGCTCTCACGGCCGCCCCGTGGGGGGGTGACCGACCGCACAGTACATGCGCAAGGCTTAGAGCTGCAGAGACCCCGCTTTTGCAACGTTGGATCGGTAATCGTTAGATCAGGCCCAAGCGATAGGGCAATGATTGTTCACATGGCCAGCGCCGAGCCTTGTTCTCATCGTTGTGACACTGCTTACTCGGGCATTTTCATAGGCACACAGTCAGACGAGGCTGGAAATAGAGGGGTCGAGCGCCTGGTAGAAGTGTAAGGTAATTTTCAGGGAGAGTAGATATCTGCCTTAAAGACCGCAGGTTCGAACACCAGAAACTTTCCTCTCAGGACTCCTCTCTGCGACACACAGAAATTACTTACTACACACTTTGTCGTCCTCTCAACTGAAACCTTTGCCAACATGGCCGAAACTTTTGGCACATGTGCAAGTGCAATCGCATTATGGCAGTTCGTGGGAAGCGTCAAGACATTATTGGCCAAAGTCAAAGGAGCCCCGAAAGCGTTGGATCAGTATTTGGCAAGTTTGGACACTCTGTGCTACATATGGAGCCTATTTCAGTACATCTTCAGGATGATTCAACGGCTAACATACCAAGATACACTGTGTGATCGTCGACATCTGCGAGAAGGTACCCTCTCATCAAAGAATCATTATCGATGTCGATGGCCAGGAACAATGCCTCTTGAAATATAGCAGCTTGATGTTAAGCTTCCCATTGATAGAAGCGGAACGTTTGCTCCACTGATACAAATATCTGGAGAAGAATAGAGTGACACGACTTCGAGACTGGGTCAGCTACCATCTCATGAGAGACACGTTGAAGTTCATAATGGATGACGAAGAGATCCAAGGACTGCTTAGGAACGTGGAATGTGCGAAGTCGACGCTTCAACTGGCACTGTTGGCAGCATTATTTAGTCAATCCCAGTTCGGGTACGTATTACAAACTGAAACTTTATCGCCATTTGCATATCACTGAAGCTTAACTTTTGTACTCGACAGGCATGAAGAAACAAAGATCCTGATTCAAGATGTGAAACGTCAAATGACCAAACAGTCTGAAGTTTTAGAAAAATTACACCAAGCTTCGATTCGACAGCAGCGTGAATGGGAAGTGTCGACACATTCGGATTCTCAGACTAGTAGCTTGAGTTCTCAGCCGAGGAGTAGAGCTGTAGTCTCTAGAGACAAGGGGAAGAAAAGGACTCGAAATCTGAGCGAAAGTATTCAAACTTACATCCCACTTGGCATCAAGAAACCAGCATCTCGCAAGAGTAGGAAGTGTGAGCCAACCCGAGCACAGAGAGCTGCCTCTACAACATTCAAATTTGCAGGGCCATCCAACTACAAAAATGATAGCGACGACGACGGCGATCATAGTACACTACATGAAAGCCTTATAGAAGTACCTGACGACCAATGTAACCTCGTTTACAGAGACGGAAGGGTCTTTATTGTGGATGCTCTGCCGGAGACAAATGCACAGAACAACAATCCGTGTCTGGACCTTGTCGCCTTTGGCTCTATGAACATTCCGAACAGAATAGAGAGCCTCAGCGAAGAGGAGTGGAATAAGTGTCTGATGTCCGACAGCGATGAACTGGGCGAATTTCTGGCGACTGCTCCAGGTACAGATGCCGAGGCTGAAAGCGAGGAGGAATTGGAGGAGATCCTGGGAAGATTCGACATTCGAAGCCATACGGAAGTTTTGATTAGCGAAAACGTGGATTTGATAAGATGTAGGGCAACATCACGGCGGACTCACAGGTTTTGTGTCGAGCATATCTCTATCGACAAAGCAGGGCAAGTGCTGTATCTCAAAGATCCATGCTATGCTCATCATCGCTGCAAGCATATTACGATCAATGCAGATGGAGAAATTGACAGAAACCAATTGCCATATCGCGAGTCAATCACATTCCTTGAACCTAGAGATGAAGAGCCCACGCCTATTCGGGGGACCTCAGAAAACTCTATCTCACTTCTCGGGCGCTGTTTCGGGCGCTGTTTGACACGTACCCATACTTCGGTTAAGAACTTCAACAGTAACAGCACAGACGTTTATTGTGCGCGCGCATCCCACTTCCGCATATCTTTGACAACTTCTATGCTAGAATATTCGGATTCAGGGAGCAATACGGATACTGCAAACGGAGAACCTGGCTCGAATGAAGAACATACCGAGTCGGGACAACCGGAAGCATCTTCTAGCGACCATGAACAGGAGAAGACTTCTTCTAAAACAACAGGAACACCAGAAAACGATGAAAAAGCTGGCTGTCCCTGGTGGGTGAAATATTTGTACGGAGTCAACAGCCTGCCTTGCGCCCACTGTCGGCAAGTCGCTTCAAATCCTATAAAGACCGGGGAAGGCATCGCCTCTTTGATCATTTATTCATCCCAAGCGCATGGGTCACCAGTGGGTGTCAGAATTCGTGAACCACGCTAAAATTAGGCGAGAACGCCAGAATTTCAAAGGGGGTCAACAGTCAATTGCTAATATTATTACAAAATAAATCACCATTTTGCAGTTTTAATAGCTTTCCCCCCATTTTTAATAAGGCGTCTGTATCTCCCAGGCATATCAGCGATGCGTGAGCGTATCTCTTCTAACGTGATTTTGTCCCATTCCTCTTGAAGAGCTTGTTTTACCTCCTCGTCAGAATAAAAGACTCTCTAGCGCACACGTTGCTTAATAATATTCTAAATACCCTCAATTGGATTTAAATCTGGTGACTACGCAAGATGCTTGATATTGACTACCCAATTGACTACTTTCAGCTAATACGCAAGGCCTTCTTTACGCATACTATGAGAGGGGTCCGCATCTTCTTAAAGATACACTTGATTTGTATGTTGTAAACGCTGTTCTTGGACAGCTTTAATGTATATAGGCAAGAGACGCTCTGTATAGTACTTTTGGGTCATATAGTTGCCTACAACCTTTTTCTCTACTTTGTGAGGTTTAGTAGCCTCCTATTCTTCCACTCTAGCTTTATATTCCTCTTAAGACTCTATTATTAGGCGACAACGAGGTTTTGGAGGCATAGGAGGGTATTCTATAGTGTTTTCTTCGTTATTGTAGAACTCTAGCTTTTCTGATTTCCCCCACCAATTGATCCAAGCAGCAATATAGAATGCTATGCCTTTTATTTCTTTCCGTTCTATAATATTCTCGTCCGTATAACGTCGGCCGCCTCCTTCTTATCTCAATATATAGCCAATAGGCTAGGCGCCAGGATCGTGGTGTGCCTCGTCCGTATACGTAATCAAGCTCTAGTAATCCTCAATTGTCTTACCTACGTGCTCTTTTCCAAAAGCAACACGTTCCTCTAAGTTTTTTTCTAAAACCTGCTTGTTTACAAATACTATTTTAAACCATCGTGCCTTTATAAGCTCCTTCAATTTCCTTTGCAACTAGCGCCTCTTTATTGGGAGTTTATGGTACTAAATTTGCGCGTCAAGGTCTTGGTCGCGGACGGGGTTTCGTATAGGATCGACCAGCATTTGGCACATAGCTAATGTGACTTTAGACTTCCTCCCGAGTGGCTTTTTAGATATTCCACGTGTTGTTCTCATTGCTAGATGGCCCATTGTCTCTCTCTGACGCTTCCAACGCAGCCCAGTAGTATGGTCAACACCTTCATCGCGATATAGCTGGCGGAAGGACTTTAAGTGGTGTTGCTTATCGTACGCGTCGTAGAATCGTGTACGCTTGCGAGTTGAAGCTGGGTAATTATACGCTGGGTCTGGGGGAGGGGTAAGACGGTCATTTGCGCGCGTTCTGGGTGCCGTAAGTGCCATAATTGCTGTTGTAGTGGTAGGAATGGCGGGGCGCGATTTTCGTGTTATTCGCTAATTTTAGCGTGGTTCACGAATTCTGACACCCACTGGTGGGTATACGTGTAGTCGGTGTAGAAGGACAACTTGGATTACTGCTACCTCATGGATATGGTCTTAGTACATGTGGCGATTGCGTTTTGGAGTTCAGGTCCGCCGTCTACTTCGAGCTTATTGATGATTTATATTCAATTACGAATTTATAACAATATTATGATATAACGATTCGAAATAAATTTAGAAGTAGAGTGAAATAGCGATTTTTGAGACACAATAAAGTTCCGTTTTACTTGCTAAGCGCCTGCTGGTATATTTCTATGACAACTCGAGTCGAGATGCAGTACTTAAAGTGGAGAGAGTATCTTCGAGCATCGATCATCGAGTATTGCTAGGTAGATACCTACTCTACATGGCACGTGACCATATTTTGCCTCTTTTCGGTCGACATGGATTCAAAACCATTACTGGCCGCTGCACTGCACCTGAAGAAATATCTAAGAAACCCTCTATCTCTGCGCTGGCGTGGATATCAAAGACGAATGTGTTAGATTAAGGAAAACTGGTATTTTTCTTGCACCAAAAGTCCAAATCCACTAGGGGAAAGTGAGCCGAAGGTTCAGACGTTGATTCATATCTGTACATCCGCGTCATATGAGGGTATCAATCCAGGCCTGTAGATCGTCCAACTCAGAAAACCCACTGGTTCATCAGACTCCAGTATCAAGGTAAAATAAAGCCGCTCATTTCGTCTTTCTCCTCCTCCCCGATACCACGGGCCTCACAGCAGGCTTGGTCACCACCCCATCCTCTTTGTCCTCAATCCCAAACATCAACCCAAAACTTGTTCCTTTTCCCATCGCTTCGAATCTAACCTCGTCCTTCCCAACACAAAACCCTAACTCTCCAAATCCACCAGGAGGACCAAGAGTTTCTTTCATTTCGTCCAATGCTTCCTTGTCGACCGTCAGACTCCAGGATAGTGTTCGCCCTTTCTTGGGCGAAGCGGTTTGCGTTCGTTGTAACCTGACTTTTTGGATTGTTGAGAGGGATGAGTTCTCGTCTGAGATGCAGAGCTTGAGTGGAATCTGTTGAGATGTGGATGACTGGCCGATGGTGATGAGTTGAAGGAAGGCGATGAGGGACTGTAGCCGAGAGCAGAGAAGCGAGAGAGCGAACTGTGGGTGTTGCTGCACCTTTTTGATAAATGGGATAGTGACATTTATGATCAGCAGAGTGACTTGATGAAGTTGCCAGGTCAGGATAACAAGGTTGAATAGTTGTAAACCGAGTTTCGCCTCCGAGAATTCTTGTTTTGGACTGTCCTCCGAACGTGATGGCCAGCTGGTGCCATGTGGGAATTGCGGTCTATCGAGAAAATTAAGCTCTGACAGAATCCAAAGAAGTCCTCTGATTCCATGAAGTAAAGTCTTGATTGAACCGAGATATGATAGCCAAAAGCACCCAACTGCCGCATACAACTCAGTCTGTGTCGGCACAACTTCTGGCGGCAGCACTTTTCTCGCCCTATCCGTCTTCAAAAGAAGATATTGAATACTAAGCATGCACACACTTGTACAAAATACTGAAAGCCACGATCCAACATCAAATCCGGACCATCCGGCGTCGAAACCCAACATCCTAACAACGCCTCAAACTTTAAATCAATTCATTGACGTTACACAAAGCAAACTTTCAGACTCAAATAGCAGAAGCATGACTGTATATTTAATTTCAGAGAAAGAGAGAATCCCTCAGCCTTATGAAGGGGATGAGGTGTCGGAAATTTTCTAAACTCTCTAGCTGACAGCGGGAACGGGTACCGAGTACGGTGCAAACGACGGAACCAATCGCTTCCATGTCAAAACCTTGCTGACGAGGGTTCGGGGCAGCTGTGCCCCGTTCCTCCGACCAAATATCGAGGCGGTGCGCAATGAAAGCCGCAATAGGGAAGTAAGCAGATCCTTCTGGGTATTTCCCGAGTCGTGATCAAATTATGCGTGTCACGAGACTATCTTTGTCACCTGACTCCTGACGTTAGCTTTAGAACAATTGGAGATATTTGAAAAGTGTAGGAAGGATAGGCAAGTGCGCAAGCAGAAAGATACTTGACTCGCTGCTTGTTGCGTTCGGCCACATTGAGCTTGTGCCGAAGCGCGAATGAAATCGGTGATAGCGGAGATAACTTGGAGCTCATGGTTGCCAGATAAGCCTTGTGCGGATATGGCTGTTCCAGCGAGCAACAAGATTGTATCTCAGAGTCCTATGAAATGGAAAGCCTCTGATTGAGAGGAACAAGAATCATGTCAACAGATGTTGCCGAGTCTAGAGAATTAGTCAGCCTGTTGAAGCTAGACCTCATAGAGACTAAAAGATATCCTTACACTAACCTTGTTTCGCATTTCCAAACTCCGCTAGAAAGTGAAATTTCTAAGCATCGCTCTTCGCGCCTCAACTCTCTCCGAACCAGTAATTCATCGTGCGCTCCCATTTGTTGGACTATAGCAATGATTAAGCCGCACTCTGCAAGATCCCTGCGATGAACTTGTCTCCTCTGAAGGATCTGGGGTTTTCCCCCGCAACTCTCCCTGAACAGTATTTGAGTATGTAGAGGTCTCTGCCAATACCGGACTTAGTACTCAACGCCCGAATACATCACCTGATGTATTCATCCAAAGTACTTAAAGCACTCTCTTCCTGCTCATCCAGGCTCTCATCGAATCGAACCATATCCCAATCCTTGATCCTTATTTAAGCTCACAATCACGAATCGCCACAACATGACTTCATCCAACCAAAACAAGAAGACTCGCATCTTCATGACAGGCGCTACAGGTTACATTGGAACCACGATTTCCGAATATGCCATCAAAGAAGGCTACGAAGTACATGGCCTGTCAAGGTCAGAAGCAGGAGATGAGAAATTGAAAGCTTTGGGTGTCACGCCCGTGCGTGGAGACTTGACAACTCTCGACGTACTTCGTCACGAAAGCTCTCAAGCTGACATCGTCATCCAACTCGCATTCATGAATGACTTCCAGAACTTCGAGAAAGTCCTCCAAGCTGATAGGGCAGCAATCGATGCAATGTGCGAACCCCTCGTCGGCACTGGCAAGTCGTTCATCGTGACGAGTGGGACTCTTCTAAATGAACCTGATCCAAACCATGGGGAGGTGACCGAAGATTCTCCAATGGCAAACTCACCCTTGACTGGGCGAAAGATCTCTGAAGATCTTGCTCTGTCATACGCTTCCAAAGATGTTCGTGCCAACTGCCTCCGTTTGGCTCCTTTCGTGTATGGTCGAGGTGGAAGTGGGTTCCTTCCCAACATGATACAGAAAGCTGTTGATAACGGGGAATCGATTTACGTTGGCGATGGAAGTGCGTGCTTTACAAGTGCGTATGTGGACGATGTTGCTCAGCTTTACCTACTTACTGCCAAATCTGCGAAGCCTGGCGAATTGTTCAACGCTACGACTACGACAAACGTTAGCTTCAAAGAGATTGCAGAAGCTATTGGATCTCTACTTAAGCTCCCTGTTCGCTCGGTCACGCTCGACGAAGCAACGAAGCTGTGGAACCCATTCTTCGCCAACATCTTCTCTTTTGAGAATCGAGCCTCCGGCCAGAAGGCAAGGCAGCAATTAGGATGGAAGCCCAGTGGTATCGATGTCTTGTCTGATGTGAAGACTGGATCGTATGTGGAGTTTGCGAAGAAAATTCAGACCGGCGAGGGAGGTGCCTCCCAAGGAGCAAAAGCCATATGGGAACGATCTTAAGCGAAAGGCTGGTCGGAATGAGCATGGGTATTCAGATGATTGGATTCATAAAAATATTCGAATCAAAACTGTACACTCCTATCGACGACCCAAAATTTCAGGATGATTGAGTGGGAACATCAGGCCCTAGCTGCTGCACCTTGCCGAGTGGCAAACGACGTAGAAGAGAGTGATCTTTGTTCGGGCGGCCTCATTTCCCTCCACGTCTTTTCAACTGCATCTTCTCTTGTCTTCTGCCCACTGAATGATCGGATTTCTCAAAGACAGAGACACAACACGATCTTGATCTAATGCTTGATAGCGAATCTGCCCCGCGAAGTGTTCGGCGGCAAATAGGCCAGCCGGGTGTGCAATCGAAATCATTGGCCCCCAATCCACATGCAACGACGCGCACGATGCTTTCGGATACACCCACATCTGCGGCTTGCATGGCGGGCCTCTCAAGCGCGACACCGTGGGGTGCTAATGGACGTGGGGGAGTTTCAGGCATTACCGCGGGCATCTGCATCAACCACACCAATCAATACTTCTGCAAATGCCCGTCCAGCAATATGCAAGTATAAGTGGCTCATGTTGAACCTGCAGCCTTGCTGCTTTCAACTCGGTGTGGATCGCACTCTCAGTCTCACATCCGATTCGTAGCCGCAAGATGGCGTTTGAGGCCGACTGCCAAGACACTGGACAAAGTGTGGTGACACAAGATTTGGTTTGCAAGACTTCTTTCATCCTGCCATGATGTTATTCTTGATCTGAATATATGTTCAGTCGAATTTCTCCAGCTTATCGTGGCTTTTCCAATATCAAATCTACTCCAGCAAAACTCGCAGCCTTAAAGAAAGTAGGTCCTGGACCCTCACAGCTACATCAGGACCTAATATCGGCTTTTTTCGCTGTTGCCTGATCGCTAGGTTCGATGTCTGCAAGAAATAAGTGAGTCTTGGCCTTCTCATTGGTAGTAATGCTATCCATTCTGACGATTTATGCTGAAGTAGCCCGAGAGTATGCTTCGACTTTGCAAGAGGGAAATGCACTCGCGGTAGTCGCTGCCACTTCAGCCACGATCCCAATCTACCATGTCCCTATTACCCAACTTCGAGAGGATGCTCTAGAGGGGGCAGATGCCCATTTACACACCACGATCGCCGATCTCCAGACACTTCCCGCACAGCTCAACCAACACCATCGGTGCCTCGCCAAGAATCTGATCTCGAGGCTAGCTGTCGACGGTGGACTTATATGATTCCACGACCGGACTCGCGTCCATATCAGAACGCTGCAGTGGACCTCAAAAGGTTCTTCGAAACAGGCTGGGACCTGGTCGAACGAGGCGATGCTGGAACTCGTCAACATATCATCACAAAATTGGCCTCTGAAAATGGACTCGCGATAATCAAGGCGTTGGCCGATTTGATGACGGATGGAACATCAGATAACGTCACTCTTTCGATATTCAAAGACCAAGCATTACCATTCTTTCAAATCATAGCCTATGCCGACATCGTTTCATCGTTGGTCCTGGAAGCTCCAGTGGACGGTATCTACAACTTCCTTTTCGGTCCCAGTGGTCGACGTGCTGCGCAAGTGTTCAGATCCGTGGCCAGATCTATTGTGTCCTTGATTAGCGATCCTTCAACCGATGAGGGCATGTCAGCCAGGGCAATCTCGACTAGTCTTGCTGTTTTACAACGCCTCATTGATGGATATCAAACTGCTCAACTCCTCGACGACTTCAAATCCATTGTGGAGACGCTCTCTGCTTGTATGTCAGATGATGTCGCCCTGATTCCTGCGCAGCAGAGCCTTGTTAGGATCAGAAGACGCTTGAATATCGGGAACTCACTACCTGTCAGAACTCAAGCACGAAGCATGAGAGACGTCCACGATGTTACCTTTCAGCTAGATGTCGATCTTCCTGGCAGATTATCGAAGCATGGCCCAAGACATGACAATGACCGGGAGAACATATCGGAGATTCGAATTCTTCCTACATCAGCCGAGATCATGTCCCAGAGAACAGAATTCTTACCATCGATTCGAGCCCCGTCAACGCATCTTTCTGGCATAGCTGGACTTCTGGACAAACATTTTCGTCTTCTTCGTGAAGATACAGTCGGCCAAGTACGAGACGCTGTTAAAGTGGAGCTTTCTAGGCTGGAACACCCAAATCGCACCGAACAGCTAACTCAAGGCAAAAACATACTCAGGAATGTCGTCCATCAGAACCTTCGTATCCTCGGTCTAGTTGTAGACAAGAAGAAAGGACTTCAAGTACTTGTTGGCTTTGAGCAACCTAAAGTGATTCGCGGAAAATCACGAAGAAATCGAGAAGAATGGTGGCAGAATTCGAAGCGACTGCAACCTGATGCTTTCGTCTGTTTTGTTTCTGCTTCACGACGAATAATATTCTTCTCTGTTGGTGAGGTCCCCACTTCGCAGAACTCCAGGGAGAAAAACAATTCTGAAGATGCGAGGAGTGCTGGGAAAGGCCATGACGAACCGCAGAACACTCCAAGCCTATCCCATGACAATGACGAAGCAACCGTGCTGCTGAGTATGGTTGAGCATAATGCTGACGATATTCGATGGATTGTCAATCACATTGGCGCTCGCCATAAATCGCGTCAATCACTTGTAGAGTTCCCTGGAATTTTACTCCCGTCCTTTCAACCCACTCTACATGCTTTGCAGAGGATGAATCGTACCTTAGATGTTCCCTTTGCCGACATCATCGCGCCAACCACAGACGTCGCTGACCTAGGCGCCTCTCAGGTACAAGGTAAGCCTCCAGCTTATGCTCGCCAGCCAGGTTTCAGTTTTAATCTGGATTTTCTTGCTGGAGGAAACCCCTTGTCACTGAATCCTGGATCTGGAGAAAGATTTGACTTCGAAGTTTTCGACAAGTACACGACCCTGGATGATGCACAGCAAGAGGCAGTAATACATGCCTTGAGAACACCGCTTGCTGCTATACAAGGTCCACCTGGTACAGGCAAGAGTTACACTGGAGTCTCCATCATCAAAGCTCTTCTGAACAATCGTGCTGCAGCGAAGTTGGGGCCAGTAGTTTGTGTTTGTTATACAAATCATGCTCTTGATCAACTGCTAGAACATCTCTGGAATGATGGAATCAGGCAAATCATACGCCTCGGCTCTCGTTCCAAGTCGGAAATTCTGCAGAAGCTAAATCTCCACGTCGTTTCCAAGGATGTTGACCCTACCAAACAGGAAAAGCACGACAAATGGCAGTATAACCAACAAATCGCAACGCTCGTAGAGGACATTCGAGTGATTCTCGCCGGACTGAATGAGCCATCTTCTTGGAAGAACGTTCGAGACTATCTCCAACTGCGTCATCAACGACACTTCAATGATTTGTTCAAAGGAGGGATTGATGAAGATGGCTTTACGGAAGTGAAGCAGGGCAAGAAGATTCGAGCTGTCGAGAGTTGGCTGAAACAGGCACCGAAGAAGATCACCTCAAACCGGCCAATAGCAGAGCTCCAACAAGTCTCTTTGAGCGAGACATCATCGCTTGAGCGAAGCGCACTTCATAAGCATTGGTTGGAGATGCACTCGAACGAGCTTCTTCAACGCCTCCTCGGCTCTCTCGATGAGCTGTATGATGCTAAGTCCAAGCTGGACAAGTGCCATCAAGAGCTCGACCTTCGTTGTCTCCGGCAAGCGAACATCATCGGTGTCACAACATCAGGGCTGGCAAAGACGATCGATGTGCTTGGAAGAGTTGGAGCAAAGGTGATCCTGTGCGAAGAAGCAGGAGAAGTTTTGGAAGCCCATACTCTTACTACATTCCTGCCTGGAGTGCAACATGCGATTCTGATCGGAGATCACGAGCAACTGCGACCGCAGATCAATAATTTTGAGCTACAACATGATAATCCGAAAGGACAGAAGTTCTCACTCGATATCTCGCTATTCGAACGCCTCGTCAGCCCTCAACCTGGCCACCCCAAACTTCCCTGCATCGCCTTGGAAACCCAAAGACGAATGCATCCCTCTATATCAGACCTGGTTCGGGTTCCGTTATACCCAAGATTGAAAGATCATCTTTCTGTATCTGACTACCCAGAAGTCGATGGCATGCGAAAGCGCCTCTTCTGGCTCGATCATCGCGAGACAGAAGATCCACGTTCTGCTCAATCAGTATCAATGTCACGTACCAACACATTCGAAGTCGACATGGTTGAAGCCCTGGTTGCACATATTGTCCGACAAGGGACATACGGAAACGAAGACATTGCTGTGCTCACTCCATATCTCGGACAACTCCAAAAGATTAGGAAGCGACTAGCTAGCACATTTGCACTTGTGGTCGGGGACAGGGACATTGAAGAGCTCGAAGCCACGGGTATCGAAGATCCAGCAGAAAGTGAAAAGCAATCTCAAACACAGAAGTCGACCCTCCTCAACGCGTTGAGAATTGCAACTGTCGACAATTTCCAAGGTGAAGAAGCTAAGGTCATTGTGATTTCTCTGGTTCGAAGCAATGAGGAACGAAATTGCGGCTTCCTCAAGACCTCAAACCGAATCAATGTCTTATTATCTCGAGCCCGTCATGGCATGTACATCATCGGCAACTCAGATACCGCAAGTCCGGTCACGATGTGGTCACAAGTAATCTCGATGCTTCAAGAGAATGATAATATTGGCACGAGTCTTGCTTTGTGCTGTGCAAGACATCAAGATACCCCCATCGAAGTGTCAATTCCCGATGACTTTGCTCGTCTGGCTCCTGAAGGTGGTTGTGACAAGAGATGTGCATCACGATTGCGTTGCGGACATGCTTGCCCCAACATGTGCCATTCTGATACACTCCACAACGCCGTTCGTTGTCTCGAACGATGCCAGAGAGTCAAGGCTGGGTGTGACCATGCATGCCCAAGACCCTGCGGAGATCCATGTGACGACAAATGCCAAGTCGTCGTCAAGAACATTATCTTACCATGCGGCCACGTCGCTGATCGACTGAGATGTTATGAAGCACAAGCCCCAGAGATGGTACAATGCCAGGTGAGCATGAATCAAATCGTGCCTTACTGCAACCATCAAGTGAAAGTTTTCTGCCATCAACTTCCTCTGGAAATCGACCACGAGTGCAATGCAAGATGCGGTGCAATGCTGCCTTGTGGACACTCTTGCAATTCTCGCTGCAGTAAATGCAATACAAGGATCGATGGTCGGATCGTGGAGATAGCACATTCACCATGCAGCACTCCATGCGGAAGACCTTACTCGACATGCAGACACGAATGCCGAACTCCATGCCATGGTGACAGTCCGTGCCTTCTCTGCTCTCAGCCTTGCGAAGTTAGCTGTGCCCATTCCAAGTGTAGCAAGAAGTGCCACGAGCCTTGCATTCCATGTGCTGAAGACTGCACCTGGTCCTGTCCCCACAACGGGAAGTGTAACTTGCCATGCGCTGTTCCATGCGATTTGTTGCCATGCTCTAAGCGCTGCACAAGTCTTTTGACTTGTGGACACCAATGTCCGTCCCTCTGCGGAGAGGTGTGTCCAGACTCAAGATATTGTCAAATTTGCGCTGGCCCATCTATTAAGACGATGGTCGTCGACTATATCATGTCGTCTACGTACGAGGAGACTGATTTAGACGAGAACCCTTGTATCGTCCCTTCTTGTGGTCACATCTTGACCCTGGAAAGCATGGATGGTCACATGAGCATGTCAGATTTCTATACTTCTGATGAGGCAGGGTCTATCATCGGACTGACCAAAAATTCTGAGCCATTCTCCGCATCTTCACTGAAGAATTGTCCACAATGTCGTGGCCCATTGCGCAACATCAATCGCTACAGTCGAATTGTCCGACGAGCACTGATGGACGAATCAACGAAGAAATTTATTGTATGGGCCAATGCAGGCTTTATTCCACTTGTGACGAAAATGAAGCATATCGAGGAAGAGCTGCGAGAGACTGCCGACATTCCTGCTGCCACCACGACAAATATGTCCGAGTCGATTGAGCTAAACAAAAGCCGAGATATGCAGTTCACGCGGATCGGGCTTCTTGTGAGAGGAATGAAAAAATTCAAATCAGTTCTACCTCTTCGACGAGACATCAAGCAGTTCCTCAAGCAGGTGGGAGAGACGGAACAACCCTTTGGTCGAGTACGGGATCTTGTGCTAGATGCCCGTAGACATCGAGGTGTTGATGTCGATGATGCTGTGGCGCTCTCAGGTGCTGATATTCTGCAAACTCGGAACCGACTTTTGACCACAGTCCTGCTCATCCGATGTGACTACGCAATCCTTGCCAAGTTTCTTGAGACCTACAAGAAAAACATCACCAACTCAACTGCCTTGCCTCGTACGATAAAGCTTGACTTGAGCGAAAACAGGAAAGACTGCGAAGCTCTGATCAAGGAGTCAGAAGCAAGAAGTCAGCCAGGAATCGTGGTCGACGGTCATGTCTACTGGGCTCGCTTCTTAGCACTCGAACGTAGTCTATCAGAATCGTCTGAAAAGCTCACAGCCTTACGAGAGACTGCAAAAGATCATCTCCAACGAGCTAAGCACGTCTGTGCTGCTCATCCTGGTCAGACCGCAGGCATGATGGAGGAGATTACGGAAGTAGAGAAGATGCTCCGTGACTCGACTTTCTACATGCCAGTGACGAACGAGGAGAAAGCTGCTGTGTATGCAGCTATGGCGAGCGATTTTCGAGGGACTGGCCATTGGTACTACTGCGTTAACAATCATCCTTTCACGGTGGGCGAATGCGGTATGCCCATGCAGACTTCGACGTGTCCGCAGTGTGGTGAGCCTGTTGGCGGGACGAATCATACTGCCGTTGATGGCGTTAGGCCAGCCGCTGATCTGGAGAGAGAATTTGGGAATTTGAGAGTTCGATGATTCATATTTGTTCAGGGATAAATTGCAAGAAGCGGGAGTTTATTTTTTGTTTGACGAGTTATATTGTTCATTAGGGAGCGGGATATTGCGCAGTACTAACAATTCAATTATAATGTCTAAGACATCAATAGTTTTAAGGTACGCCATGGCTTTCAGGCCCCAATCTTTGTTCAAATCTTGTGAGTTGGGTATGCCTTTGGGGCAGTGCAGTCTGCCTCGGTGGCTGCCTGCCCCGGTGGCTGCCTGCCCCGGTATGTTTGCCTGTCCCGGGAAGCGAGACCCCCTTTTTAAGCGAATCGTAGGGGGTCTCCACCAATTCCTGCGAGGGCATTTGAGGAGCGCTTCTTAAGGTACATTCTTTGTGCTTGGACAAATGGCCACAAGTTATGAGTGAGGATTGTTCTTGGAAGTGATAAAGTTGCGAGTTTCACAATCTCAACTGTTTTCAATGAAGAGCCTAGTAGCTAAGCTTTGTCTTTGCACGCAATTAAATCCTGGAAGCAATCTATACATAGTATCTGTGAGTCACATAAATGTGAAATGACCAAACCAAGCCTAGCAATTGCAGAAGTGGCAAGAATGAGCGTTAGATGGGTGCTTGTAGAATTTTGCAACACATGAGCACGTGATATTGGGCTTGTCTTCTAGAATTGAATTCTAGAAAGCAGTGACGCGAGGTTCTAAAATCTGTGGTTGGACTGTAAGACTGGACTATCAAATGAAAGGCATTTCGTGAATTATTAAACGAAAGCCTTTTCTGTGACTTCTTTTCGACAGAAATACAAACTGATGTTCTACACGTGACAAGGCTGCCCGCATTAGGCACCAGGCCCATCTCGTATATTTAATCGCCACCCGTCCCGTCAACTTCCAATTCTTCTTCATCTTTTCCATTAACAAAACCACATCGAAATCTTCTCTGTGTATCGTCCTCCACGACTACGAGGAATCGCAAATTGTTGCCCATCATGACCTACCTTTGCGGTTGCTACTACCACATCGTCTCCACTGACTACTACACAAGATATCAAAGACACTATCTTCCGCTTCTTGATTCGGAAGTACACAGTACCATTCTATCAACATCATCAAGAACAGTCTTGAAGCAGACCTTCACCAACCCCTCATCGACCGACAACATCAAAGAGTGTATCTACACCTTCCCACTTTACGATGGAGTCTCTGTCGTCAGCTTCATCAGTCGTATCGGAAAGAAAGTCCTCACGGGTCTCGTGAAGGAGAAAACCAAGGCCAAGGAAATATTCGACCAGGCTGTCGCGAAGGGAGAAACAGCTGGCCTTCTGGAACAGGCACCGGAGGCGTCGGATGTATTCAGTACAAAGCTTGGCAATATCCCAGCAGGAGAGAGTGTCATCGTCGAAGTCACATACATTGGAGAGTTGAAGCACCACGAAAACGAAGGAATTCGGTTCACCATCCCGACGAAGATTGCGCCTCGATATGGATCAGGCCCCAGTCATGGCTTTGGATTTGCACCTGGAATTGTCGCAACGGGTGAGGACAACAGCAACATCAAGATTGTTGTCGATGTTAACATGCCGGAGGGTTCTTTTATCAAGGGGGTACAATCACCTTCCCATCCTATTGCAGTCTCAATGGGTACCGTCTCAACCGCAACTCGAGATCAACCTGTCATGAGCAAAGCTTCGGCCACTTTGTCTCTCGGAAGTGCTTCTCTGGACCAGGACTTCGTCTTAATTGTTCAGTCAAAGGATGTGGGCACTCCGAAGGCCATTCTGGAGGTTCACCCCACCATACCCAATCATCGAGCTTTGATGGCTACGCTGGTGCCTAAATTCTCTCTACCGCCTTCCAGATCAGAGATTGTGTTCGTCGCAGACCGAAGTGGTAGTATGAATGGCAATATTGAAATGCTCATATCTGCCATGAAGGTTTTTCTGAAGTCCTTGCCTCAGAATGTCAAGTTCAACATCTGTTCGTTTGGCTCTCGACACAGCTTCCTATGGCAGCAAAGCAAGACCAACAGCAGAGACACACTGCAAGAAGCTACTGCTCACCTTAACAAGTTCTCTGCAGATATGGGTGGCACAGAGACTTTCGAGGCAATCAAAGGCACCATCGAGCGTCGACTTAAGGACATTCCTCTCGAAATCATACTTCTTACTGATGGTGATATCCACCGACAAAACGACTTATTCGCATACGTCAATGAGCGGGCTGAAGAGACCAAAGGCAAGATCCGTGTCTTTCCCCTTGGTATCGGAAATGGTGTCTCCCATGCTCTCATCGAAGGTTTAGCCAGAGCTGGTAATGGGTTCGCTCAGGCTGTTCAGCATGGCGAAAGACTCGACAATGCTGTCATTCGCATGCTTCGTGGGGCACTTACCCCTCACATTACTGACTATACATTGGAAGTCAAGTACCAGGAGGAAATTGACGATGACTACGAGCTGATCGATCGGGTCACGGACGGAATGAAGGTTTTGCTCACTCCGGAGACGATGTCTCTCAAGAGTTCTTCGTCGATGTCCCCCAAGCCTACCATATCTCTCTTCGACACCACTACAGACCCTGAGAAGGATGCAATGAAGGAAATCCAAGACACCACTTTCAGTCTATCACCCGTTCCTTCTCCGAAGCTCCTCCAAGCACCTCATAGGATCCCATCTCTGTTCGCCTTCTCAAGAACAACAGTCTACCTGCTCATGTCTCCAGAGACGATTCAACGCAGACCAATCGCCGTCGTCTTGCGAGGAACCTCCGAACATGGCCCCCTCGCTTTGGAAATTTCCGTTGAAGAACTTCCTACCCCAGCCGAGACCATTCATCAACTTGCTGCTAAGAAGGCAGTTCAGGACCTTGAGGAAGGCCGAGGATGGATCTACGATGCTAAGGATCAAGATGGTGTTCTGATTAAGGAGCGATATCCCAGCTCTTTCGATGACATGGTTCAGCGAGAGGCTGTTCGACTTGGTGAGAAGTTTCAGATTGCGGGAAAGTGGTGTTCTTTCGTTGCAGTTGCTGCTAATGATAAGGAAATCGCGGAGAAGAAGGATGAAGCTGCTGCATCAGCTGGTGATCACACCACTGACGATCTTGACTCGGATTCTGACTGTAAGTCATCTCAATCAATTTTCGTCGTTTTTCCTGTTGAAGAAGGGCTTGCTAATCAGTTTACAGATATTGTCCACTCCCTTGATGATGCGGTTGCTCCTTCTGCTCCTTCCCGACCCTATGGTGCAGGATTTAGCTACCAATCGTCTTACTCCAGCAGCGTACGAAGGCCAACCCTATCTGCCCAGCCAGCTGGAGGTTCTGCTCTCTTTTCTGCCTCTCCCCCTGGAATTGCGTATCGCCGGTCTGGTAATATGACTGCAGATGCAAGATTTTCTTCTCCTAGAGCCAGAAAACGTGTCATGAATACGGAGGCTCCATCTGCATCGGCTTACGGTATGGCGAGTTTCTCTGCTGATGCTGAGACTTCAGACGAGTGGAGCCCGAGCAGTCCCGGCTTCAGCCCCATCAGTCCAAGCTACAGCCCTACCAGCCCACCACCCCCTCCGTATCGATCCAGCACAACCGCCCAAGGTCGTATCATGCAACAGCGACAGGAAGTTGATCCTGCCTTAGCTTCACAAGCAGGCCCGCCAAATGTTCGATTCGGACCGCTAAGCCGTACACAGGATCCTGCTCCAACGGCCTTTGGTGGAGGGAGCGGTTTCCCACAAACTCGTACTGCTCAACCTGGCGCGCTTATGAGTGCTGTTGGTAACATGTTTGGTAGGTCTGTGGATGGGGCAGCTAATCGAGGTTCAACACCACCTGGTATGAAGGGCTTCAGACAGAGAATCCAAGACAATGGCCCTACCATGAAAGGAAGATCAATCCCAAAGCGTAAGATGAAGTCAGAGGTGGACGACATGGACTACACCCCTACACCTGTCGAAGTTGACTGGAGCACCAAGACCGTCGTCGAGAAGATGCTGGCTTTGATCGACCTCCAGGACTTTGAAGGATTCTGGCCAGTAGAGAAGCGCGAGGAGATCTCGAAGATCATTGGTGTTGCTATCGATGGTGCCGCAGAGGAGCTGGAGAGCAAGATCTGGATCACTATGGCGGCTGTGAAGTTCTTGGAGGAGAAATGTGGTGATGAAGAGGGGACCTGGGGACTGATTGTTGAGAAGGCTAGGGCTTGGATGGCGGGCACGAAGAGTGCAAGCGAGTTGGAGGTCTTTGAGAGCCGTGCGGAGAAATTGATTGTGGGATAGGACCGGGGTAAATGTTGCGACGGATGTGAGGAAAAAGTTTTTGGGTTGATTGAGTAATGGCATGTGCTTGGCCGTAACAATTTGGTTTCTCCTTGGCGTCAGTTACTATGATAGATCACGATGGTCATGAGAATAATGATGGGAAAATTCTATCGAAACTACTCAGCCGTAGAATTTTGCAAAGTAGAGACATACGGTATGGCACTATCAACTCTCAGATGGGCGAAAGTTATGACAGGACCAACTCCCTTTATATTTTGTACAAAATGCATCCTAAATATTCCCAAGTCTAGAGTATCAAGGTCGTGTCTTTCATATAAACAGTCATCAAAACACCGTGACACTCTTGGCCTCCGTAATCAGTACCTGCGGCTCCCATTCCAAGCGTTCCAAACGAAATCCAAATTTCTGTAGACCCTCCGTGACTTCCTTGAATTCACGTGCCATCTCGCTTACGAGTTTATGCAAAAACGACGGCTCGATATACTTGCTGCGAATTCTTCGGCCGGCGTCCATACAACTTCTTCAACGTACCTTCGAGATCGTCTGCATCGCATGGGTTAGCAATGCCGTTGGACCTCATGAAACATAAGGCGACGTAGTAGAGCGTCTCTTCGAGGATCCTGTTGATACCCGTATTGATAAATTGAACTACGAGCCAGAGAATTGAAGATTAGAATCTTGTTCGGAAAAATTGGGATCAGGTCCTGACTGGGCAGAATTTCATGCATGTGTTCGTACGTACTATTTCTTGAGTCTGCGAGCTCGAGGAGTGCAAAGATCGTCATGACACCCGAGTGCCCAAATGTTGCTCCACCGACTGCTGAGGCTGCCATTGCCGATGCACTGATAGTTCCTGATGATGCAGCCACAGCTGATGTTGTTGTCACGGCTGCGGCTGCACCTCCTGCTTCGGCGGCGATTATGACAGCTCCACTAGCAGCCACGGCTCTAGTAACAGCCACGGTTCCAGTAGCTGCCGCGGCTCCAGTAGCTCCTGCAGCCCCAGTAGCAGCAGATGTACTAGCAAGGGCACCAGCACCTGCTACTGGTGCCGCAACAGGCAAGAGACATACCGCAGCAACCGCTCCTCCAACGAGAACGACACCGCTCACAGCAAAAGCACCCCATATAATGGCGTCTTGTTTCTTCTTGTCAGTCAAGTAAGCCAAAATAGCCGTGAGTCTTGGAGTCGCCCGCTTCAGTTGGTAGATCTTGTGAAGGGCGTTGCACGATTTACGAGGAGACGGCTCGTTCGATCCTGTGTGCAGAACCGAATTAGTACAAAGATATAAGACGGATTAGACAAGACAGCGCCGTACTGGTATCCATAGCCAAATCTTCCAAAACTTCCAAGACATCTTCCAGGCATCGTAGGACTGGTCTGTAAGACTCGTGAATAAACTCCTTCACCGAGCTGCGGTCTAGATCCTTTGGGAGAGGACTCTGTTTCCAATTAGTATCACCTATCTCCTCAAACGGTTCATGCGGAAGGTGGAAGACATGCATTTGCCGTTAGTCTGGGGACCGCCGCGCTTGCTGTTTGCAATCCGGCGATTGCCAGGTTCGCAGTGGGCGAGTTGAAATATCCAATTGGAATTTTCTGAATGACCGTGTCATAGGCTGATAAAACGTCTGCGATCCAGGGCCAAAAGACTATACGATATTAGATAAAAAGCCATAATACTGACTTTGGGACTCACCCTCCATGATACCACTTGGTGGTGACGATTGCCTTCTCCCATTGCTTCCATTGTTCGATTTCTGGGATATGGAACTGATGTACGTAGATTCTGGTGCGACCTACTTCGTTGCCAATCGGGGGACTGCTGGATACCTCAGGGTGATCCCGGTGAGGCGACGTGAATAGACTCTGTCAAGGAGGTCTGGTTGATCAACCAACGCCTGGAAGTGTTGAAAAAGGAATTCATCTAGCAGTCTTTGGACCCAAAGCTGTCTCTCTTCGTCGTCACGAGGTTGATTTTGTAAGCCCCAGATATCAGCGGTTCGGCATGAGATGTCAACCTTGCAGGTTACATTCAGTGACTGCAGAGCTGAGAGCCTCAACTGGACATGGAGATCGACGTACCTGGATTGGCTGTGGCGCCGGGCCTTCGTTAAAGGGCAGAGATGTCACAGTCCATGGCGTGAGAGTTGGAGTTTGTGCTCCTCCAGCTCTACACACACCTGTGTGGACTTCCTGAAGAAATTCGCGGATTAGAATAGCTAATTGGTAGTTTGTTTGACATGGTGGTCGTTGCCACACAGATAAACGGGCCGTGAAGTCGGTACCGGCAGAAACCGGATCGTCGCGTCTGGTTAGAAATGCATAGGGAGACGATGCCGGCTGGTACTGCGATGCTACTAGCGCACTCATGATGTGTCGTATTAAGAAAATGAAGTTGTTGATTCTGGAGAAGGAAAAGGAAGACAGAAGTAAGGAAGACAGAAATAAGGAAGAGCACTCATGTCCACCGCCCTTTAGTCGTGGTTTGTCGGCTTTTTCAAGCATAGACTACGGACTGTGCGAAACAAAAAGACCACGAGAGAAGGGCAGTCAGTGGGCACGGTTACCATGTAAATAAAGACTCCAGCCTCACGCGAAAGCCGGGCGTAAAGACGGGAGGATCTTGAAAGGAAAGGGAGAGCGCCTGTTCCAGGCTTTCAGCCACAACTTTCTAGTGCACACACATGGCATCACCCGATATGCAAACGGGCCCTACCACTGTTATTCAGTGATTGACGCCGCCGACGTTTCAAGAAACTTTCTTTTGTACGAGATACGATTCAGCCTGTCCTGGCTGGGCCTAGTTCCCGCACTCCTTTCGGGAGTGAGGAGCTGAGAAAAAAGGGGGCATAAGATGGAATGTCTTAGCGGTACCTTGCAGGTATGCGCTAATCGATACTTAGCCTAGCGCAGCATAGCAAACGTAAAGGCATGCAAGGCTTTTATCGACGTTCACCTCCATTCTTGAGCTCTATTCATCTGAGAAATATCAGTTACCATTCCCAGAATAGTCTCTTTACTTCTTACTGAAACGTCACTATCATTATCTTGCAATGAGTATAGAATGTCATGACGAGCGAGTTGTTGCGCGCCAACGGGAAGCACGTGCGCAATTGGCATCGCAACAGCGACGAGATGGACTACGCGACCGAAGAGAAGAGGACGACAGCGCGAGCTGGCTCATGTTCGACGAAGAGCCAATCGGTACTCGATTTGAAGTACTACGCCGTTCAGCAATCTTCAACTTGGCCGATCTGAGTAGACTGCGCTCTCAGCGCAGAGCCGCTTAGTCCGTATTTCATAGTCCGCCCTGCGGTGCAGTTGCTAACATTCACGTCATAGTAAGTATTCAGACAGGACTTCTGAGTCTCAGGCGATCAGTGAGTTCCTTTCTTATTTGTGACCCTTCGATTAATCGAATATGTAGTAAATGTCGATTCTCTAACGATAGAGGATGCCCAGTACGAGGTGACGTGGGATTGTCTTCGTCGAGATCTGCGCTTGATGCTAGTCGTACTAGGTAAAATCCAGGAGGCCGAATGGTCTTACAGATCATTCCCATACGTTCCCAATTGCTTGCTCTACGTGTGCGGATTGTAGGTTGCTCTTTTTTTGTATTGAGAAGCGCAAGGAAGCCATTCACTAACCTTTGCGAATAGTGGGTGGGCACAGGATCTGGCAAGGCATGCAAACGAAACAAGAGCTATTCTGGCAAAAGATGCGAAACGTACGGCGCTTTCCCCGGAATTTGCTGGCCAACCTGTAGAATTCTACAATAGTCGACCTAAGCCCCGCGTATCCGAGATTGTTTGGCGCACAACTGAGAATGCAACGGAGGCATCGTCGGGCATCAATTTCCTTCGTGTTGTTCTATTGTTCGGCCTCGGTGTATCTGGCGTATGGTCTGTGTATCGGTTATGGAGATTTGGGACAATCTTATTGTGCAGGCAGTCTTCGAAAACTTTAACCGCGAAGGTCGGGCGTAATGACCTGAGTGAGGAAGACTACATTTCGTTGAAAGGTTTCAAATGGTCGTCTTTGTGGTGGATAAATGCAATGCTCTGAAGTGGGGTATTCAAATCCATACTTGATGATGTTTATGACTTCCTTTATTTGTACACTGTTGACGATTCTACACATCACACATCGAAGAGCATGTGTGGATGGCGTAGGCCCATGCAAATCTTGTCTCAATAAAGGGCATTTTACAGTTTCCAACGGTCCCGAATCAGCCAGAACCTTAATAAACACCCGCTTTTCTCAAGTTTTATGATAAGAGCTGAGGCCACCGGGAATGGCCCACTTAAGCGAGACGCGGTAACGCGTAAAAATTCTACACCCCATTTTAAAACCCTTACTACACAACAACCCTCTTAGGAATTAGTCCATAATTCAAGATGGAGACACCTCTTATCCTAAGTGATCCTATCGAGAAAGAGAATAATGAATGGCCTACCCCTGCACGTGCAGTCATTCGATCTTTACAGCGCTAGGGAAAGTCGCAACGCGAGATTGTCTCAGAGACCCATATCCCTCGAAGAACAGTACGCCGCATTCTTAAGCAGGAATCTAGTCGGAGAGAGCGCAAAAGAAAGCTCTCTAGACACCATCTCATGTCTATACGCGACATACGTTATTGCATTCGAACCATTTCCAAAAACTGGAGCTCTAGGCGCATGACTTTTGAGGCTCTCAAAAAGCAACTACCCTACCTACCCTCGGTGCGCACCATTCGTCGAGAATTAGCCCGGGCTGGCTACCGCCGCTGCATTGCATGCCCTCGACCATATATTACCCTCAAACAAGCTAGGAAGAGATATGTATTTGCCAAGGAGCATAGATGGTGGGGGACATCAGACTATGCAGCTCATAGAGATGATGGCAAGCAAGGAGGGGACTGGAGGAAGGTTGTATGGTCTGATGAGGCTATATTTGAGACTGGGAAGAATGGCAGGATATATGTGACTAGGAGGGTAGATGAGAGGAGGTGCCCTGACTGCATTAAGTCAGTCTACAGGTCAGGGAGGACAACGGTCATGATATGGGGGGCATTAGGTTGGGATTACAAGTCGCCATTAGTCTTCCTAGAGAAGCTTCCAGAACGCAAGGGCATATGTTCTAAAGCCTATCTACAGCAAGTTCTTCAGCCTATAATCTTCCCTCTCTTTGATGATCTAGGGCCGGAGTATATCTTCATGGAAGACGGGTCTAAGGTGCATAAAGGGCATGCCAGATTACCTAGACTACAGCACAATATCCGAGGGTTTAATTGGCCTCCTTCTTCACCAGATTTGAACCCTATTGAGAAGGTCTGGAGGTGGATGAAGGAGGAATTGAAAGACTTGGACTATGTGCCCAAAAATAAGGTGGATTTGAAGAGGGAGTTGCAAAAGCTATGGGACCGAGTTGACCCACGTGACTTTCGCCACTACACTGAGCAATTGACTTGTAAGATTGAGGATGTAATTAAGTACAAGGGTATGGCTACTATTAATTAATAATAAGTTCTATTTTCACAGAGATTCATAAGAAGACTAAAAAATTATGATTTTTGGTAAATAAGGTCTCATTTGTTGAGTTTCGCTTAAGTGGGCCATTCCCGGTGGCCTCAGCTCTTACCATTTCTTTTTAACTTCAGGCACCACCCCAGAAACAAGCTTCTACATATGGAGCTTTTATTGAAGCTTAAGCTTTTGTCTATCGAACGAGCCTTTACGAGGCGCTAGCTTTTTATGGCGTTTATGTCTGCTGGAGTCCTGCCTAGACTCGCTGAGCCTCGCTCTCTTTCAGTCACGGAATCGTCCTGCATTAGTGTATGTATATTGCCACTTCCGGGAACTGGGAACGGGACCATGATCCGCAAGCTCGATGCCCTCTAAGCTTTAGACTTCCCAGGCCAGGGCCTGAAGCAGATAGTCACCTGACTCCACGTGACAGCGACTTCCTCATTGGCCTGGTATACAAGCTGGATCATTTACCTCCCCGGTCGGATCCTTAACTTTCTCACATATTTTAGTCTCTCATTCGATAATTTGCAACACCACATTCCTCATTCACTCATCGCTTTAGAGAACAATCACCATGGTCTTCTCCAAAGACTCCAAGGAGACGAAGTTCGTCGAGAACATTCCCATCATCGGATACCTCGCAAGCGCTATACACGCCGGAGCGGGCAACGAAGAACACACCAAGCGAGCAGCAGCTAAGTGTACTAATTCCAACCTCGCCGTCATTGGAGGCATTGCTGGTGGTGTATTGGGAGGTCCTGTCGGGGCCATGGCTGGGGCTGCTGCAGGAAGTTCTGTGGGTATTGCTAGTGAGCATGGCATTTCACAACATATCAAGGATGAGAGCGTAAGAGATCTTCCCAAGCTGAGACCCAATGATTGGAAAGGAGATTGGAGCTAAGCCGTATCAACTACGTGAGAGCTCAAGTTGGTAGCGTGAAGCCGGAGATGTTCCTCATTGAAGGTGCACTTTCGACTGTTGGTGGTGGGACTGGAGCTGCTGGAAAGGAGATCACGAAGTCGTTGATTAGGGATGCTGGTGTTCATGGAGTTGCTAAAGCAGCTTGTGGCTTCGCTGGGGGTCAGGTTGTGGGACAGACTTTTGCGGGGGTTCCAAAGGTTGCGATAGACTCAGAATCGTACAACTAGGATACTTCGTCGAGTTGAGATCTTCCAGCGATCAATCAACTAATCAATTCAATCAATACAAAGTTCCTGCAAAACAAGTCATAAGAGCTGTGATAATTGAATCGTCAAATACCATTTTCCAACCCATCTCCGTCAACACCCCACATCTTCCTCATCTCACTTCCATCCAACCTCATCAAATCTCGCGGCGCCCCAAATTCAACCACCCTCCCCTCACTCATAACAGCCACAACGTCACAGCCCAAAGCGCTCTCTACCCTATGCACAATCGTGATGACAGTACACTTTTGGAATTCCTCTTTCATCAGCATCCGTATCTTCTCCTCGGTTTGTAAATCAACTTTATTCGTTGCTTCATAAAGCAGAACAATTTTGCTTTTCCTCAACAATGCTCTAGCAAGCGCTAGAAGTCTGTTCTGTCCAAGCGAAAGAGAATCGCGAAGAAACTCAGCATCAAAGACCTCCACGTATTGATAGAACATCCCATAGACCAACTTTGGCAAGTGCAGTGATGATTTGAGGATCGCTCCTGCTACGGAATGGGTCGACGTTGAGGCGTAAAGAGCCATTGAGGTGAAGAGTATCTTGTGGGATGATGGTTAGTTGGCGGCGAAGGGTTGAGATGTCTAGCTTATCGATGAGGATTCGGCCTGAGCTGATTTCGAAGAGGCGGAGGATGGCTGAGAAGACCGAATCTTTGCCACTTTGGCATGTCAGCGTGAACGTTGTATAATCGATTAACAATAGATGAGCATACCTTCCAATTTGGCCGCAGATCCCTAGTTTCTGACCTGGTTGGATCGTCATCGTGATTTCATGGAGTCCTGTTGCGAAGGGGCTACCTTTTGTAAGCGCCGTTCCATACGAGAGGCTGGGAGAGGTACCTAAACGATGCACTAATATTCTGAATATCCACACGTCCTTCAAAAGGCCAATCTTCTGCAGGCTCGAAACTTTCACCCTCTCTAGCTTCCACTGCAGCATTATTTTCGAAGTTTTTCAATCTTGCAATAGCTCCGATACTGGTCTCGAGATTCATCCAGCCTCTGATAAAAGCCCCTAAACTAATATTGAAAGCTAGTTATGTTAGTAATATCCTTTCAAGAGAGAAATAATGGAGATCTACCTAAGATGTTGTTCATCGCAACTCCAAGTAATCCAACACTAGTAGCGCCATTTGCAATAGTTGCCATAATGACAAGTGCGAAAGCCATGCCACCCGTGATCAGATCTAACATAAGCGCCAGCCACTTTTGGATACAGGAAAGAAGGTAATAAGGTCGTTGTGATGCTTCGAGTCGTTTCAGACATTCAACCATCCACTCTCGCTCCCAGCCAAAAGCTCTAATGGTGGAAAGACCCTCAAGGGTATCAAGGAAGTGAGAGAGAAGGGGACCTCGGAATTCCAGCTCTAGATATCGAATTTGGCGAGATGTACGCAGATATGTATGCTGCACGGTGTAAATTGCGAGTAGGAAAAATGGAATTGTGGGAACCATATCGAGCGAGCCAGTGGCGACAAGAGCAGCTTGTGCCAGGGCAGCGAGGAAATTGGAGACTGTTGCCAAGACGGAATACGCGAGCGGACGCTCAATGAGCATCATGTCATGACTGAACCTGTTGAGAATTGAGCCGGTTGCAGTTTTGGCAAAGAAAGCTTGTGTTGCCCCCATCACGGCGTTTAGTAAGACTTCATGAAGCTTGCGACCTGTAGCTGGACCAATCATGACTGACATAGTCCAACCATAGCTCCATATACCGACTGTATAAAGGATTCCAAAGCCGAAGTAGACGCTGATGTGGAGTGTTGTTTGACGACCATGGAGCAAAGTCCACCACTCCAGCCAAATGTGTCTGAAGCTGCTTGCCAAAGCAGTTAGTAAGCAGAAGAAGATGAAAGCTAAAATCTTCCATGTCCCTACGGACGTGAGATAATAGCTGTATATGGCAAAGTCTCCTGTTTGTCTGGTCAAATCTTGCGTTTCGTCACTTAGTATGTATTTATCAAGCAAAGTGCTCAGATCCCGAGCAGCTTGTCTAGTCTCTCGGTGTGGATGAAAACTGTTTGTTGCTTTTTCTGTCGTGGCTGGAGGCGGGAAACATGACTGCTCAAATTCCTGATAGGTACCTTGCCGTATAGTTTTGTCTTTGGCTAGCAAGATAATATGATCTGCCATGGGCAAATATTCAACTGCGCTATCGTTAGTCTATTCGCCTCTTTGGCTTGCAATAAAGAAAGAACCGAAACTCACCAGCACTCGTCGCCAAGATAACAGTTGCACTCAGCCTATGGAAAAGACCCTCGCGTCCAAACAATCGTTTCAGTACCATATCCTTGGTTGCTTTGCCAACTCCACTCAGCACATCATCCAAAATAAAGATATCGGGTCGAGAATACAGCGCTCGAGCGAGCGCCAATCGCTGTTTCTGACTATCACTTGAAGCCGCTCCTCTCGTCCCAACAAGTGTCCGATCTCCCTCGGGCATTGCCAAGAGGTCAGGATAGAGACCACAAGCTTGTACAACAGTTTTATACCACTCTTCATCAATGTGTTCAATATAGCGAGATCCACATATGACGTCCCGTATTGTACCATTTGGGAGCCATGGGGCTTGTGAACAGTATGCGATATTCTTGGTTCGAATGCTGATTCGTCCTTCGGATGGCTCGAATTCGCCTAGGAGTGTTTTGAGGACAGCAGTTTTTCCTGAGCCAATAGGACCAGTGATCATAGTGATTTCTCCTCTTGCGAACCGGATGTTGACATCATAAAGGACCGGGACAGAAATCTCATCAAATCTGATCGTAACATGCTCCATTAAAACTACTGATTCGTCTGTTCCACTACGTGGAATGAATTCAAAGCTCAATTGAGAATCAGTATCTGCAAAATGTCCATTGCCCACTTGAAGATTTCCGTCTTTTGAAAGGATCCTCCGATCCGAAAACGAACGGGATAGGAGGAACACCTGGATGTTGTTAAACCATCCAAAACTTGATACCGCGTTGGGGATCGCATTCAGGAATCTGGACGTTTGTTGGGAGACAAGCATGATGAGCGCAAGGCTTGTGAATATTTTTATCGCATTTAGAGATTCTTGATCTTGAAGTCTGGCTTGGACAGCGTACACCGCGAAGGTGGCCGCCGGTGAGAAAATCATTGGAGCATTTTCTTATTAGTTAGTGCTGGTGATATGCTTGCCAAATGCGGAAGCATACCAATAGTGTTCATCCATATTTTGACCTTTGACCACTTTTCCATGAGTTTCGTTTCTTTGATTCTTTCATCTTGAAGAGAAGCAGCAAGAGTTGCTTCCAAGCCCATCATTTTCACGCTCTTCATCTGGTTAAGTACGGAGCTGGTATTCAAGACTCGCTTTTGTGTGGCATCTGCCCATTTTCGCTGCTTATTGCCAATCGACTTTGCAATCATGGATGATCCGAAGGACGCTACTGATAGTCGTTAATGATATGCACCTCCTCAAAATCTAGCTTTTCCTTACTTCCAACAACCAACAGTGGGATTACAGAGACCCAACCTAACTGTAAAGTAAGGAGGAGAATGCCAATGATAATCTCAATCGGTCTCGACCAGCATTCTGTCCACTCTTCCAAAAAGTAGGAGATTCTATCAACATCCGTAGTCATGATGGCTACTGTGGCAGATGCATGATACGAAGTCTCATGCAAAGCAAGGGCGCGATCATATATCAAGGAGATAGTAGCAGCACGGAATGCTGTAATGAATCGATGAAGATTGTGGCTAGTGTGTACGGATGAGAACTACCAATAATCAACATGGAAGTTTCATGAAACTTGAGATTACTTACCGCAATTCCAACGTAGATGATACCAGTCATAGTGACCAACGAAGATGAGTTCCATTTTCGATTAGGAGTGTTGTTACGTTCAACGTGTTGCAAGACTCGGCGATGAGGAATGGCTGGGCATAGGTAAATCCAATGAGACCGAGACGGGGTAAAGCGACGCCGACATATGGCCAGCCTAAACTTCTGAAGCAGGCAGTTTTGAACGTAAAACGACTTTCAGGTTTGGCTTCATTCATCAGACATCAGACATTCTCTCAAGGAATGAAGACTCACAACGCTGCTCCCATTTCGCTTTTAGGTCGAGACCAAGCTTCTCGGCTAGCAATGCATCATCCAATGGAAATAGATCTCGGAACTGCAATATGCGTTGAGAGCCTTTGAGGAAAAGCGGGTAGAGCCACCAAAGAAATCGGCTACAGATAAAGCCACTCAGTAACTCTGGCGAAAGGGCTCTATTATGAGGCAGGAGGATCGCCTCCTTACCCTTGACCTCGGCGACCAGAGGGGCTAGCTCGGTAGTCGCAGCAAGAATAACTATAATGGAACCAGTCTTGTCGCCGCGCAGAAGTGGTGCAAATTTTGCTTGAAGAATATCTGGTGGGAATGAGAGCAGGAGAAAGAGCTCGAGAATCGTTGAAGGTCGTACGGAACGATGGTGTTCGGTAAGGGAAAGTACGATGATCCAAAAAGCGACGGGAACTTGAACGGAAGCATCGACTAAGGTTACGAGACTTATGGTTCCACCATTGAAACCTCGAATGCATAATATCAAGTATGTTAGACGCGTTGTTAATAGAGAGAATGTCAATGTCTGAAGAAGACCTTAGTCGAAGCTATCATGATCAATCGGGGTAACTAACAAGCTTGGTAATACTTGTAGAATGTGGTATCGTTTTGATACTCTGTTTGCGTAGAAAGAGCAATCTCCAAGTTGCTGAGATGATAAAAATGACTGAGACAACAATTGAAGCTACATCATTCCAATCGGAATTCTTGAAAGTCAGCAATCCGCGTGGTCGCGAAAATGACAGATGCAGCACTTCCTGCCAATTGGATCTTGTGTTCATTATCGAAGATATTTCAGATCTTGCCACCTAGCTGCGGACATAAGGATGCTCCTAGCTACTGACACGGCAGCCGCATATGATACGGCCTGACTCGAGACGAGGGTGGGTGTTGACGCGAAAGAATGTTGATCAGTGCATGCCCTTGCAGGTTGGAATGCACGCTCGGGTTTCATTCTCAAAGCAGTAACGCGATGACGATCTAACCATATGCGGTAAACGATGTATTTGCACATGCATGTATCTGTATTTGTCTCACGCCATGGAACTGCAGAACCCAAGAGAGTGGTTGCTGGAGACGAGGGAAGCTTCCCGATTTGAAATCTTAAATCGACTATGTGTTGGTACGTCTTACGGCTGTGATTGTACGTTTAGCCTTGGACAAACAGAAATCTTTGATTCTTTTGGTGGTCGTAGTCAATTTTATCTTGTTCCTTTTGCTGCGCCTCGCCTCCGTATCGCGCTTTAATTCCTCGTGGATCAATAAAAGAAGCAGCAGAGTAGCGGAGTGGCAGGAACGAGAGCGAGAGCGGGTAAGCAATACAACACAGGCTCAAGGGGGTGGACATCGGAGCGAATCCCTCCAACGCAAATCATATGTCACTGTGCTGTTACAATAGAGAATCTTCCATATAAATCTGAATGCACATGCCACAAAATACCTTTCCAGGTTAGTAGCCGTATAATATACCACAAGGGAGGGGTTCGCTCCGATATGTCCACCCCCTTTAGCATAGAGAATCTAGAACACGGACCTCTTCCATTATTCCTCTTTTATTTGGATTGAGGAAGAGCACCAAATCGAACAATGAAAAGCCATCATGGAAGTGGCATTTCGATCAGCAAACAATTCATCGACTGGCCATTTATAGCAATTAAATAACTCATTAGCGTGCATATCCAAAGAACCCTCCGAATCAAACACGCCGGCTGCAACTTTAAATGAGTAGTGCTCCATTTCCAACAATACATATAATCCACTTGGACTAAAGCGAGAAACTTCGCGCCTCGCACCATGAAATAGACCAACCAGTACGACGAAGCTCAACCTTTAATTCTCCCCCGATTTACAAAATCTTCAACATTAAAAAACCCCGCTTCTAAGACAAAACATCAGAGCCCAACTTTAGCAAATCTTCAATCCAGCTCAACACTGATTGTCTGCACCTATTCACAGCTACCATGGTAGTCTTCTTCCTGCTATTATAAATCCTACTAAGCATGTCTTCATCGATTGATGTCAGACCAGTGCTCTGGACGGGTAGTTCGGACAGTTATTTTGGTCATAACCGGGACCGTCTAACCTAGACGGTTATTTCTTAATTGAAAACTGCCATTATGTCGGACATTAACAGTTCTCAACGGTTATTAACTGCCAAACAGTTATTTATAACGTCCAATCAAGTACTTTATAGAATATTAAAAGTAAGTCACATTTCATGTCAAGAAGGAAATATTGAGTCACAATTTTATTTAACTAAAAGACGAAAATATGATATTAGAATAATCTCATTTATTATATAAAATCTTTTTTGTTTAAATTACCCAAACAAATAAAAAAAAAGGTTTTGGAAAATTAGCTGTGGACACGGCCGTCAACCAACTTTTTGGGCGTTTTTTAGGCTGATTTTTGATATTAAGTTCTACATTTTTTACCAATAGTAGAATTTCTAGACGGGTAAGCGGATATTAGCAGTTTTTGAGGACCAAGAACCAGAACTGTCCAATTATAGACGGTTATTTTAAATTTATGTCCGAGAAAGGTCTAGACGGACAGTTCCTGTCGGACACGCTAAACCGAACTGGCCGTACGGAGCGCTGTGTCAGACTCGTGACTGACGTCGACATTCAAATTTCGGATCTCATAGTTGAATATTTACTAAAAGACTGCAATATTGTTGTACATACATGGAACGGCGAGTCTAGGTTAGACTTGAATCAATTCGAGACCGAGACTATGTATGAATCGAGAAGTCCCACAACTTTAATAGCAAATAAACAGAAATACACAAACCAGCGTGGGATATTGGATTATGTTCAGAGCACTAACATACACCTCGTCCCCTTTCTATCAAGAGACAAGTGACAGCTCTGTACAACCGAATTGAATGAGTGATTGTGATTGAGAGGATGTCGGTACAGCTACCGGTGGGCCGCTTGGCGTACTTTTTCTAAGCTTCTGAAATAGACCGAGGCATGACGATAGAAGATACGGTACCTTGCTTTAGCATGACGGTTGGCAGCTCTACACATGCAGCACTTGCCGATAAGCGATGCCTCCTAACAGAACTTCCAAATGAAGAAGCGAAACGTGTCAATATATTGTTGTTCTCTCGAACCCAAACGTGTTTTGTTTAATTTCCAAGCCCATCCTGTCCCATTCCCTCCCTAATCCAGATCTACCAGTACCTAATAAGCTTACCAGCTTTCCCATTTCCCGCCCATGCTAATAATTAAGTAGCGAACGTCCCATGCATGTATATCCCAACCAACGCTCCTGATGCAAATGCAATGCAATGCGCATCAACAGCCCTAGAAGACCGCTAGAAGCCGTTCTTCCTTTCTTTCCTAATCCCATTCTATTTTCCCTTTTCCTGGTAATGATATTCCTCCCAAAGAGACAAATAGCAAATAAACGCCCACCGCCGTGTCCGTCCTAATGTCACAATGCCTCCCAAGAGCGAGCAGTCTTAATGATATAAAAAGAAAGAACGAGTCCACCATACAAGCCACCCGACAGGAAGCAGCATCCGTTAGTTAAAGACCCTAAACCCCCCAAAATCAACACCAACCATCGTCCTCGCATCCGCAGGCCCCGCCATCGCCCGTGACTCCGCCATGACAGTTTCTGCAACACCGGAATCGTTAGCACGCGGACGGGCCGAGCCGAGCCTAGTGCTCCATCCTACTGGGACCCACAGGGACTTACCGACAGACTTCCCCTCCTCGAGGACGATCAGGCCCGCGGCCGCGAGGGCAGCGACCGCGTCGCGGGTCCAGATGACGCAGTCGTAACCGTCGAGGACGCTGTTCCCCTCGCCTTCTTTCAGGGGCCCGACTTTCTGCTCGCGGTTCTCGCGGCCGAGGGGCACGGTTTCGAGGACGTGGCGGATGGCCTGGAATTGGGCGTCTATGGATGTGGTTGTGGAGTCGAGGGTGCCGATGCGGTAGAGGAGGACGAGGGATTGCGAGGTCGAGACATCTTTGACGACTCGTTGTTCGAGGAGCCATTTGGGGGGCAGGGAGGGTCGCGAGGGGTCGGGAGAGGCGTAGGAGGCGTGGAAGAGGGTTCCTGAGTAGCGAGGATCGGGGATCGTTGGGATTGGTGGGTGGGTAAGAAATATGCCACGGTGCTGGATCGATATTAGCCTGTAAAGCTGCAAAGGGGCAATGGAGTCGATAAGCGATGCGGCGAGTGGAAAAGATGACGTCTGCTGTGTAGAGATTCGCCTTTTCACGAATACACATGGAAATGAAGATAGGTGCTTTGGGTAACGAAAGAGGGTATTTACGTATTCATCGACTTGGGGGGCGTTGAATGTGAGGTAGAGACTGTTGCGTTGGATTTTCTCGGCTTCCGCATTGGATGTCGTCGAAATGGAGTCCGATTCGGGTTCAAGGACATGGTCCATATTCTGGTGCGTGAGGAAGTAACGATTCGAGCCGAGATTTGACGATTCTGGATAGGTAGATGATCGTATTCGATGGAGTGGTTGACGAGTAAGGGTAGGAGAGTGATGGTGGTGGTGATGGTGGCGAGGAGAATTGAAAATTGACGAATGCATCCTAATCATTGATCTTAATTCACGTGTACTTTTGACAGGTATGAATTGTTCGAAAAGTGAAGAGTAGTCACTACTATTGATCATCTTCATAAGGAAAGTGCAAGTGAGGACCAGATGTGCTGAAGGCCGTGCTGAGCAAGACAAGACAGACAGAAATTACACTAGGGCAGCAGCACACGACAAAAAAAAAACACGACCCTAAAATTGTTGGAAGGCGAAGTAAAAATCAGCCGGCCAGAATAACTTATGTATTAAGTAAGACAGAATCTTCCGGTGGACATCAGTGACGTGGCAGACGAATAGAATTCCAACAAACCTATATATAGTATGCAAGCAGTCGTTTTCAGCAGTCATCAGGACAGAAATGTTGATGACGATCGGATTTAGAAGCACGCAGCCTCACTTTTGCGTGAACTCGCTCGCTCGAGGGAGGTTTCATCAAGTGCGCCCGGGTAGGACATGGAACGCAAGGAGCAGTTCCCCGCCGGCACTTGATCCAGGAAGGTTCAGCATCTCGAGACCTGTCATAATCCTCGGGAAGGGGGTGGACGAGAGGCAGGTATATCAATTGGACTGGAGGGAAAGGGATCGTATGATTGTAAAAGCGGAGAACAGCAGCAGCAAGGACACGCAGCGGTGAGGTGGTGAGGGAGGTGCAGAAACCGCCATTCTCAGAGTGGCTTGGGGACCTGCGTACTGTAGGTTCGTCCGACGCTGGCTGACACTATTTGCAAATCGTCTGGCCGGTTTGGGGTCGCAGCGACGGATATCAGGTTTCCCAGAAAGTGACAGAAAGAAGTATTCGGGATAGTCTCTCCCCATCTAGGTCCATGTCCTCGCTGACTTTTGGGAATGAAATACTTGGGATCGGCGCCAAGCTGCTCCATCGGTCTGGGAAAGTCTATCCACAAGCGGAGACTGCTGCAGGACGATAAAACTAGTCTGGAGTGCACAGATGCTCACCGTCACCAAATTCTCCTGCTGGGAGGCATCACTCTCGCTCTCGTCCTCCCCGTCCCCGCCAACGCCGCTGAAGCCGTGATTTCGTGTGAAGAAGCGTTCGAGACACCGAACGACCACGGCCTGGAACTTCATCCGAGCACCCGGAATGAGACAAATGCAGTCGGCTTGAACAAAAGGAAACAGAGCTGCAGACCGTGCGAGCCTGGCCCGAGGATTTCGGCGGCATTCGCGGGTAAATGGAGGTCGTGGACAGTCTCTCGGGAGCAAGAGTGAAGAATGATGATGTCCAAGAAGTACTGTACTGTACAGTACCGCTGGGAGAAAGGAGGGGTCTGTTATCACGCAGCCGTTCCTGTGCCGCAACGCAATAACATCCGCCTTATATGCAGCCCCGACTGAAGAGGGCCAACGGGTTTGGGGGATCTCCCAGTCAGAGACAGTCTGTCGGGAACATGATGCGTCTTCCTTGAAGGAACATGATGCATACGAGACGAGACGAGAAGCATATGGTGGATGATCAAGGGCAGGAACTGACTTTGCCACTGGGCTGAGTTGATGACCGGCGGTAGGTGGGTGGTGGGAAAGGTTGTGGAGGTGTGGAGGGAAGGGGAAGGGGAAGGGAAGGGTCCGAGAGAAGATGTGATGGGCGACGTGATGTCTTTGAGGACATTTGGGAGGCGGCGAGGTTTGTGGTGAAGTTCAGGTGGTACAAAGCACAGTCAGTGATGATTGACTCGCTCTGACTCGACGGCACGGCGCGGTGTCTTCAAGCCCAGAACCAAAGTCAATGCAAACTTGGTCAAGCATCATATCGCATCGCATCGCATCGCATCTCTATCTAAAAATATCCCCCACGCTTCTTTCTCCACACAGAAAAAAAAGCCTCCCACCTGGACTTGTCCCCCCCCCCCCCCCCCCCAACAACCCCCAATAACCCCAAACAAAACCGAACCCCCCACCATCACCGCGCCTTGGCTCGCACAACACAATCACATCACCACCTCTACCACCAGATATCCCTTGTCTCATCCTGCTTCGAACCTGCACCTTGCTGCACCCCCGCTGCACTGCACCGCAATCGACTTATCCTATCTTTGCGCGTCAATCTATCGAATCAGCCATGGCGCAAACCAACTTCTCCCGGGAAGACGTCAGGGCCCTCGAGGCAACACGGCAGCGCCTCTCCCAACTCACGCATACCATACATTCTCTCAAAACCGATCTTCAGCAGAGCAATCCTCTTCCGCAATGGTACACACCCGGAGCTACCTCCCATCCGCTTCCATTACCCCTATCTACACACATCTGCCAATGGCATCCGGAGAGTCTGCGCGATTGCTAACAAGTCTGCGACAGGTCCTCCATTCAAACACAAAACGCCATCCTCGTAACCCATGTGGATGGTGTTACCAAACTCCTCTCCTCGCACGCTGACCTCCTCAATCGAACCGTCGTGTTTCCATCCACCAATTATCCCGGCCGCACCCAAGAAGGTCTATTGACACAACTGTTACGGAAGAAGCTGGAGCCACAAGTCGAGAATTGGGTTGAGGGGGGGCGCCAGATCGCGCAGGCTGAGGGACTCAGTGGTAAAGATAATGACGAGTTCTTGGGTTGGGCAGTGGACTGGACGGGGAAGCGCATTGCAGAGTATGCGCAGAATGAAGCTTTGGACGAATACACCATCGACGAGCAAGCTCTAGGCATCGAGAACGTCAATACAGGGCTGAAAGCCAAGTATGAGGACGACGAGAGCGAGGATAGCAACGAGGATGAAGATATGGCAGATGCTGGAGTTGCAGTCACAAGCGCTCGAAGGACGAGTCTTGGTCAGGTTGAATATGGCTTAGGAGAAGTCAAGAAGCAACCTAGTGGTACGTCGAAGAGTGTTGATGAGATTTTGAGGTTTGCGACCACAGGGGCTACTATGGATCATTTCTCCTTGCGCAGATGATGGGAATAAGATCCATGGGAGTATATCGTCGCATCCGTCTCTACCTTCGAATCGCACCGAGTTTCTAAGGAACACGATTCACGGTATCATATCGTCTTTACCTTCCACCCGAGCCGAATTTCCAAACGCCGAACTTTGCCAAGCACCCAGGAACATTTTCTTGATTCGACATGTTTTTCCCTATGAGGACATTGACCCGTTCTCATGTCAGCAGGAAGCAAACATCGATAGCCTAATAGCCTTAGGTCGAATCGCCTCACAGTCGGCCGACTTTCGGACTATCGCATTCGCGGACTCAAATCCCCAGAGTATGTTGAGCTCTCCACAGAATTGTATCTCGCAGGTCTAGCCTGGGTTTTCCGCCAGCCAAAAACTTGACTCACTATCGAAATGGTCGAATCAGATCAATCAGAGCTGGGTTTTGACGGGCCACTTGGATGTGGAGTAATCGCGGGTTGTTGGTTATTAGTGATCCACACGCACGGCGAAGCTGACATGAGGTGAGAACCGGTGGGTGCGGCTAACGGCTAGATCAAACGAGCCCCAAAAAGCAATACAAAGTACCTTTACCAAGTATTTATCTTTTGACTCCTTCTCTTTTTTGATTGCGTTGATGATATTTTTGCTTGCTGCCCGTGTGATTTCTTATATATTTGCCTAAACGGGTGACCAGTGTTTTCGTCGGAGGTACAAAATACTGCAACCCGCCCAATTGTTAGAGTTGCTCTATCTGAATACTCTCAGCATCCTGGGTTTTCTAACTCCCTATCAACGCCATGGACCCAAGACCCAGCAACACAACACGCAAGACTCTACCAGACCTCTCTTTCCCACCACGCTACACTCTATCTCAAGAACCACAGCAACTATCTCACGAACCACAACAGTCTCACCTCTCAACTCAAAAACAACCACCAGCATTCGCCTTCCCTCACTACCCAGTCCAATCACCGGCACAAAAAATACCAGAAACAAACCCTCCTCCTCCATTGGTCTCCTCACCATCACTATCACCATCACCCCTCCTCTCCCTCCCCCTAGAAATCCGCCTCCAGATCTACCACTACGTCCTCCTCTTCCACCCAATCCACCACCCTCACTTGGCTCCTCTAACCGCCCACGAAAAATCATTCAACACGACTCTCCTCCTGCAGCCCACTGGGATTTCTTTCCCATCTCCAAATTCATATCCAGCCAAGTCCCAGCTTCAGGAGTCAGAAAGCAATACAGTCCCGCCGGCAAAAATCCCAACAGGGTTGTTGGCGGCAAATAGACAGATTTATGCGGAGACTAGATTACTGCCGTTCCAGATGTCGAGGTTTAGGTTCGTGAATTGGTTTTGGAGTGGGGTTTATGCTGCGAGGCAGTTTAGTAGTACGTCAGTCACCTTCAAAAATTCTGGATCTGTTTTGTACGATAGTCGAGAGCTTCCGGAATTGCTTGATGAAGGAAAGAAAATGTTTGCTTTAACTGTTTGGAAGAGGGCATCTCTGTTAAGAGTGTATGCTGATTTGTTGATAGGAGCGTTGAGGCCGTGGCAGGGGGACGCGGTGAGGTGGGTTGGTGTTGAGGTTCTCGGGCGGGATTTGTGGGTTGGGGGTATGGAGAGGATTGGTGGGGGAATTGGTATGTTTGGATGTTTTTTTCCCCTTTTTTTCTTTGCTTTGAGATGGGAGGGGTTTGGGGGGTTTTGTGAGAGTTAGATACTGACTTGTTTATAGGCGTAGTGATGACAGAAAAAGGAAGCGGGACAGGAGAATGGGGAGATCTTTGTAAACTCTGGAAAGGTGTGAGAGGGCTGAGATTAGGGATCAAGGGAAGTGTCTTTAGGAAAGAGGGAGGAGGAGAGTGTTTATTGGATGTAAAGAGAGAGTGGATCATTGATGGACTGCTTGAGATGAAAAGTTTGAGGTGGGTGGTTGTTGAGGTTGAGGATGAGAGTGTAAAATGGGAGAGGAAGGTCGAGTTTTGCAGGGAGTTGGAGAGGATGTTTAGGGAGAGGGGAAAGCAGAGAGACGATGAGTGGGAAGGAGAGACGAGGGTTCTTCTTGCGGAGAGGAAAGGGGTGATTAATGAAAAACAAGAGGAAAAGAAGAATCTTGCTTGGGATGGGGAGGGAAGGGGTGAGGGAGTTTGGGGGTTGGATATATGAGTTTTGCTTGACTATAGGGGAGGTAGCATGCATTAGCTAGACATCGCCTCGCATATGCCGTGCTTGCTGGCAGATAAACTACGTCTAAGAAAAGAAACAGATACTAAAGATCCACCAACTTGAGATCCAATCCGCCGAACCAGCCGATCGATAACACAATCCAATCTCAGAAATTCCCACTTGCTCTGATATCCATCTGCGCTGAAAGCCAAAATCCCTGGCAAAGCTTATTAAACAATATCCTTTTCTCCTCCGTATCCGTCTCAGACTCTATCGTTGACACCATTACAGTCTCCTGCGGATGTGCCACCAAACATCTCGCATTCTTAACGTTTTGCCGCCTGACTATCTCAAGAGCTCGATATTTTGGACTCAGCCTCGAAGTTGCTTCACCGTACCTATCTCTGGCAACGACACCGTATCTTCGGACCAAGGCATTTTTCGCTGCTTCAACATTGTGTTCTTCAGCGATGAACCCATGGGCCATTTCAAGCGACATTCGTGGATCTTCCGCCTTGGCCTTGTTGCGCTCCGCTTCCGACTCCACCGATGCGATCATCACTGTCTCTTGTGGTTGTGCCACCAAATACCTTGCCCTTGCAAGGTTCAGCTGCCAGACCTTCTCGAGGGCTTTACGTTTTGGGTCCAGCATTGAGATTATATCGTCGTCGATGTTCAACCCAATTCTAGCGCCACCATACCGTGTGTCTATGGACTTGCGTAATGTTTGCATCTTGTCTTCAGCAGCGATGAGTTTCTTGGCCACTTCAATGGTCATGAGTTGTTGTTCCATCTTTGTTGATGTGATGGAGAGAAACTTAGGTAGCTGAGCGTCTCCTATTTGGATAATGTGCGTTCGGAGTATGTGTATGGTACCAAAGGCGAGAACGTAAGTTAGCTTTGATGAGTGATGTATGAGGGAAGTAACAACTTGCTTAACGAAGCTGGTTGGTTGTTGATATAGACAACAGCAGAAAATATTTTTGACATTGGTTGTGAATCATCTGAAGCTTTCATGTTACCAATGAGTGTTTTATAAGAGACATTCTTTTATTCAAGCTTGGACTACAGTCACTTGAGAAGTCTCCAGTCACGTCTACAACACAATACATTTGTCTCTACAATTAAAGATGTTCCTTCGAGTCAAGCAATATTGCCCATACAGAGTCTCAAGTCATTCATCATCCACCGAATCACCCTTAGAAGATGCCACATCTCAGATTACAGGCACTCCTAGCTTTATATCCGATCTGTTACCACGCCTACGGTCGAAGACCAACTAAGAAACCTGTTGCATTGGCATAACTTGATGATGGACGGACTACACAAGAATACCACTACCTTTGCAACCCCTTCTGGTGTCGCGGCTCTCCCAGCATGCGAGGCAGTAGCTACTACCTTGTCCAGTCCCGGCAACGGCTTGTAATTTCTCCTTAGCATCGGTGTTATAGCCAACGAAAGCAGATAGCACTGACCCCGATTTTTTGCCTTATCAGGTTTTGCTCAAACTTTAGCAGGCGATTAATCTTGCATGGTATTGAAGACTGCGCATCTACAACTTTTACAACTCTGCCCATGAGAGCGTGCTCTAAAACAGCACAAGTCATTATGCCTGGCCGGGGCACAGAGTACATGTGAGAGCTAAGATTCATGATACAAACACGTCCATAACTTCGTTCTTACTCATGCTCCATACCAGTCGTTGTGAGTACCAGGATCTTGCGAAGACATTATTCTAGTGACAGCTAGAAGGCATAACTTAGTGCATCTAGCATTTACAGCCAGAGTAGTATCTAAGTGGCAATTTCAATGTCCGCATCGGAGATGGGCGCAAGAGATATTGCTCTGACCTAAAGAAAAAGAAGGACCAGAGAGGAGTCTGTAGAAATTTGATTACATGTGAAGGGCATACACCGGGTTGTTGATACTGTAAATAGTTCTGGAAAATTCTTTGAAGGTAAAATTAACCATCTTTTGTGCTCTTTTAGGGTCTGTGGTATCGATTTGGACGGTCAGAATTAGGTATTGAGGATTGGTTGTACATTGTTTACTCTTTTCTGTGGTGTTATATCTATATTTGATATTAGTAAGAATTATTCTTGAATCTTGATGCACCTCCTTTAGTGAATGCGTAGCCGATTACTTCCCTAACGTCAACTACTGCGTGTAGAAAAGTTAGGAATCCATTGCTTGTATGGCCAAGATAATGAAACTCTTACCTCTGTGACAACATCAGTGCCTTGATTAACGAGAGTGTCATCTTGTATTCTAGACAGCGGTGTAGGAACTAAAATTTAAATGAAAGCTGGGTTTCAAAATAAGAAGGGTGAAGGCCGCGATTCCTGCGACTTGTATTGCAGACAATAACGAGCTTTCTCGAAGCTCAAACTGCCCCTCAAAGGGCTAAATCCACTGTATTATTGGCTTTGCCAACGAATCGGCAGGTTATTCGTGTTGTATTGCGAATCCCCCAATGTTGGTTCTGTAAACTCGCATATTAGCTTTACTTCTCCGACTGCATCAAATGCCACCAAGAATCTTTCCAGCATGCACTCATGTATTCGTAGCGTTAAGATCCAGAGTCGTCTGATCATCACCTTTGAAGAGTGTGCGGGGACAGAAGAGATTAGCTCGTTATTGTTTACCTCGCCTCGCTTCATGTTGTGTTGCTTTTCCCTGGACTCGAACTCGATTCTAGATTGTGGTATTGGTATTTATCTCAGAACTCGAAGTCCTTGAAAGCTCAACTAGTTAGAAAATTAGTGAACAAGGAATTTTGGAATTTTGGAATACTGGATTATGTTTAGATTGAACAGAGTTACAATAGTAGTCTTTTGTCGTAATTTCCATATACTCAGGATTAATCTCTCCTTTCGCGGGTTCTGTTTTAGTCTGTGGACGTGAGCAACTGCTGCTTTGAACAGGGCTGAGGGTGAGCATGCCGGAGCAGAGCCTAAGCAAACCTGACCATCCTGAGCACATCAACTAAGTAAAAACCTTTCTCCCCTCAACTGCATTTACCTTTCTGTCTTTATCGCTTTATTGGTTATATACCCTGACTAGTAGAGAGTTTCTTTTTATATGAGATGTATGAACAGCTAATTATCTTAGGTAGGCGGATCACAAGCAAGGCTTCGCGTTGCATATAATTAAAAAGTCTATTAACTGCTACTGAGTTTCAATTTTCGACTTGTGCACGTCATTTGCATTTGTTGAGAATCCCAAAATCCACCTGCGGTGAATTCTGGCACCGCCAGGGCGAAAAGTGGTGGGGTAGCTGCTCAAGGTGTGGGGCCTGCAATACCCATTGGCTTGTTATCTAGGCTTGTCTCTGTCAACCTGTCAAGCACTGTTTTCACTTCCAACCGGATGCACTTGCATAATCCTTCATGAGTAGCCAACCAAGTAGAAGCTCCAACCAAGTAGAAGCTGGTGAAGCGGCGTAGTAGCATTTGCAGCTGCACCCTTGGGAAAGCCACAATTCCCGCGTTTCCCACGTCGCGAATTCTGATCGATCTGTCGACAAGGCTGTGGTCCAAGCCATACTTTTCGTGGCATACTGATAAATGACTACACACACTGTTAGTTTCCTCTAATTCTTCGAGCACTTGTCAGCCATGTCCTACAATAGTCACTCCTCGGCTCCGGCTACCGCGAGTATCTCCAGGAAGCCTCTCCCTCCATCCTACGAAGCGATCGTGCAGTTCCAGTCCACAATTTAGAGTCAGAACCGAAAAATAGAGTGCAATCAACAGAGAAAAAGGATGCTGGTGCCAAATGGACAATCGGCTGGAGGACTCCCATCGTCATGGTCTCTTGTTATGTTCTTGGTATGAAGTTCGTTCCAAGCCTCATCATTAGATGCAACTTACACTCCTCCAAGCATTGCTTCTCTCGATTACACATCTGGTGATGTTCATATTTCTTGACAACAAGCCTATTATATCCTACCACCAATCCTACGTGACCACCGCATCAACTAATCTCGCCTCGAGCTTCAGGTTGACTCTTAAAGTCGCCTTAGGGGTAGCCTTTACACAGACCCTTTGGCGCCTCCTGCGAAAGTCATCTCAGACTCTTCGCAATGTTGAAGACTTATTCACCATGCGAACCAATCCATTCCTTGCCGTTCGCTGGGGTATCTTACGAAGTGCGCCGTTGTTGTCTCTTTTTGTGCTCGTACTTTGGGCTCTTGAGATTGTTACCAATTTTCCCCCGGGAGCATTGACCGTTACTTTGAAGCCATATGGAACAACTGCTTGGAGGACTGTGATGGCATTGGATACTTCCTATATTGGAAGGGTGGTCGATAACAGTAGCGACCCCCAATTGGACCCATCGATTGCTATTTTAGACGTGCTTTCAGTTACGGATGATGATAACTCTATTATTACTGGAATTGAATTGTACGTCAGTCTATGAGACCTTATGGTAATATTCTAACGCAAGACAAATATAGGGAAATTATCAACTCCAACCAGAACGTTAGCGATGACATCTGGGACCGTCGAGATTCGGTTCATCGATTGGCTTCCCGTACCATGATCTCCGGCACGATCAGCACTATTCCCTCGCCTTGCGGCTTAAATTGCACCTATTCTCTTCAGTTCTTCGGTCCATATATGATCTGTGACCCTCCGAAGAAAGAAACCGGGTGCATGGGGACTGGTTTCTCCACAGCTCCTTACTACTTCGGCATATGGTCGAATCCAATTGACGACATTACAATCCCCTATACGGAGCAAATGACTCCTGTATATCGTCGCTCTGAGCCCCTGAGCGTCGCAAGTTTCAACACCTCGGTGTACACCCCACTTGGTTGGATGGGACCCGCGGAGGATAACGTCGGAGATATCTGTTATGAGGAGCTTTCGTTACGATGCCAGCCTGGCCAAGCTGCGTACAATGTTAGTGTGACCTACCAGGACGGGGTTCAGGGATTCAAAGTTGATATAACGCCACCATCAATACGAGTTTTGACAGATCTTACGAAACCAACTAACATTAGCTGCCCCTCAGGATGTAACTGCTGTATGTTCATGCAATGTAGCTGCAGGCCGTTGTCCGATACAAATATCCAGTGGATAAGCGATGCTAACAACATGGCACTTATTGAATCCATGACCTTGGCCCTTGCCGGACAATACGACGTGCAACTAATTAATCCTGGTGGGGCAGATTTCAACTACACTCTCGACGACGGCACTGTCGTCGATCTCCAACCCATATCGACAAAAGACGAAAGCTTCGGAACCGTGTATGCACCATCCACATGCGGCAATGCTTGCGACCCAGGGACGCAAACCACTGGACCTCTAAACGGCACCATCGTTGCCAACACGGCACTCAATCAGCGAGTTAACGATTACACATCCAGCTTAGGTCCAAACATAACCATCAACCAGGATATCCTCAATGAGATGCTACAGAATATCACTCTGTCGGTCATGAACACGCTCGGCTACTGGACTACTGAAGTTAATGCAACGACCAGCACTCTCAGAAACGTGTATTCGTTTTCGAATAAGCTTAACTTAATTCTTCCGTATTACCTGAGTTTGGCTGTCTCTCTTCCACTTTTGTTAATTGGAAGCATCCTGCTACACCGCAATGGTGTCTCGGCAACTGATGGAGGATTTCTCCAAATCTTGACCACGACGTCGACGAGCAAAGCTTTGCATGGTGCCGCTTCTCAGGGGGCTCTGGGAGGGGCTGAGAATGTACCTGATCAGTTGAAAGAATTGAAGGTTCGATATGGGGAACTCATCGACGATGATTCCGAGTTAAAGGCTTTGAGGAGACGGGTTGGTTTTGGCGTTGAGCATGAAGTTGTTCCAATCCAGAAGGGAGCGAGGTATGGCGGAGTGTGAGATGCGAGGAATAGTATGAGCACTAATCAGAGTGCTGAGACTGCGGTTTATTATAAACCGGGTCATGATTAAGACCTTCAGAGGTCCTGGAACATTGACTTGTATTTCTTCCTCGCTTCGTTTCGCTCAAGCCCCTATTGTCAACTTCCATTGAAATCGAAGTACACATGCACGTTTCGATGAACAAGCTGCATTGACTGCTTGTAACTATATATTTTGCCTCTATTCCGACTTCAATTCCTTCTCTCCTTGGTGTCTACTTACTTCATTACAGGCGCACATCTGCTGCACAGTGCTCGCTTTCAAAGCTAGACACTACTTCAATACTTCAACACTTTCTCCAAGACTTACTCATCTCATTATTTCCTGTCTACGAATGCAATCACAACTCTAATGACTCGGTATCAAAACTAGCAGTAAGACGTGATTCTACAGTATGACACTAACATGTTAGACCTGGTGAAACCAATAGTCACAATCGCGGGTTATATTACTGAGTTTTCAGTGGAATATTGAGAGTTCGAATCAAATTTAAGCCAAAAAGAAATCTCGTATCTAATTGTATGAAATGTCAGTGAGTGCGGTAGAAGAAAAGTCGCATTTCCACTTTCTATAAGTATCTCCCTGCTCTCTTGACATCCTTATCAACTCCCCAGCCTGCATCTCTCAAATACATCAACTGGCCAGACGGAACACAAGACCCCACGCACTCCTAGCACCTTACACTCAACCAACCCAAGCGTAGCAAAGCCTCTGTTTGAATACGAGGCCCAATTCAAGATGTGTCAACACACGCCCTCCGCAATCGTCAACATGCCCTCAAGAAAGTGTCCACTTTGGGTTCCTTAGGAGCTCGTTTGGGCTCCTTTAGCATCGTCGTCAAAACTTGAGAAAAATGATATGAGAGAACGGAAGTTAGATCAAGTGTAATTAGCTCAAAAGCGAGAAGTCATAATACGTGACGATGTAATAGAATTTGTTTAGGATACTGATGTTTCTGAGGGTGATGCGAGAGTGATTAGCTCCTGAGCAAGAGCGGCGAACTTACTAACTACATGGCAAACAGAAAAGAGCCAAAATTGATGACAATACCTAGATACCTAGCTCTGGGGCTCACATATAACAAATAAAAATCACACCAGAGAATCCACCGCCCCCCTCCGTCATATTGAGAACCAACCTCATACATCCAACTAAAGCAACACCCCACCGGCCTCTCCACTCGCCCCCGACACAACCGAAACTTCATCCTCATCCTCATTCCTACCCCTCTGAACCCCAAAGCGAGACGCCTCACCTACATCCCGCTCCTGTGCTGGAAGCTCGGACATAAACGCAGTAGGAACATACGGATCGGGCGCCGCTTCTGGGGTCCTCTTTGCTTTCCGCCTACGCCTGTATACAAAGAGCGATATTGCCACCAAGGCGACTAAGATTAGTATGCCGAACACTATGCCTGCGATGGCTCCCGCGTGGGGACCTTTGCTGGTGGACGGGGGAGTGGATGACGAGCTTGAGGGAATGCTGGTTTCGTGTAGTGTGGTGGGCGTTGAAGATATGGGAGTTGTTGAGGAAGATGACGAAGAGGATGAAGATGTCGTTATTGATATGTCTAGAAGAAGTCAGTCAGGAATCTTATTGCAAGATTGATACGAATGCTTACCTCTTGTGGCTACCCAGTTTCCGCCGTTCCAGCCTATAGAGAGTTAACACGGTTCTTTTCTTTTTCTTCGAACGGGTAGGGCGATCTCAAAGCAAAGGAGCTCGAATAAAGGAAGGGACTCTCTACTCACTAGGCCAACACTGACAATTCGTAACTCCAACCGTGGCGCCAATACTAGCATAAACCGTCCCCGTCACGCAAAGAGTCTGTGTTCCCGTCCCCGAACTATATCTACCGTGTTAACAAGCATACCATGAGAAGAGGGGAAATTTCGTTTCACCAAGTCCATATCTGCTGTGAACTGGGCCCGACCATCAACGAGGTACTCAAACACGCCGTCGCAATGCCGCATTCTTCGTACTGATTGCTGTCGCAGCAGCGGGCGTAGTTACCGACCTGGACCCAGGCCTGGCCTGGGGGACAAAACCATGATGTATCTATCATCAACTTTTAGTGTTTGTGGGTTTGGTGTTGGAGAGAGGATAACAGACAAGCGCCAAGGGCAGGTTCGGTACTGGCACCGATGTAAGCTTGAGGTCCTGCTACGGGAGTGGTGATTGCTGCTGATGTCACGGTCACGACCGAGGGAGCTGCGGTTATAGAATTTTGAGCTAGGACCGTGGAAAGAAAAGCTAGAGATAGAGGTATTGAAGCTCGCATCCTGGATTCTTGGGGAAGGAGAGGAGTGGGGAGTAGTTGTGGGGCTACCCCGCAGATATAGTTCAGCATTTTGACAAGGCTAGAGGGCTTCGGTGTTGAGATAAGAACGAGGCTGTCAAGTGGACGAGAGATATTGGTGTGAATACCTAGGGCTGCAGAGGTGCTTCTGTTGCTTGATTCCTCATTTGCTAATTCGAAATAGTGTGCTTTTTTACATGGTAGCCGAGGCAGATTCTGAGCGCCACAATGCGGGATCATCTCAATACTTGCTGCTGCTGGCGTGTGGCTTTGCTTGTCCAACCACACAGCTGGCATTGTCTTGCAGATCTACATCGGTACTGTAGAAGTTCGATTTCTGTCTAGACTTCTAGTGATGATGACAAAAAACTTGAAATGACTAAGAAGTGTGTACTACCGGACACCATAGTGAATACTGGAACTTAAAAACATTGACGAGAGTCCTCAAAATCGTAAGTTAGATGATGAGGGACATAGGGGTACACTCGCCTATGTGAGGTTGGTGGTTAAGCGAGCTTGGCACTGCCTCCACTCCTGCAAGCCACAAGGCAGATTTTGAGGAAAAGGGCAAAGATAAATCCGCACATGAATAAGGGAGATTTTCATTGGTGCTTGAGAGCCCAGTGTCATTGGATACATGGTCTTTACGACTCGGGAAATCTTCCTTTACAATCGAACCGCAAACATCATGCAAAAGAGGCAATAGGACGTGATTTTGCAATCCTCAACTTGGACCTTCTCAATCATTCTGACTCTACTAATTCCATGAATCAAATATCTGATACCTCCTTTTGGTGTCGTTTCGCATTGGCTTACTCAAGCTTCAAGGGATGCCTCTCCAAAAACTCCTCCAAACTCGTCAACTTCTCCCCAACATTCTCCTTCGCCCACTTTACCTCCTCCTCACCCCCAGGTCCGAAATACCCAAACTCCTCACCATACTGAAACGCATCGACGAAAACATCCACCATCATCCCCGGCAACGACACCGCCAACCGCTCCCTAAACTCCTCCACAGAAATCTGCCTATAAACAACCCTCTTCCCCGTCTTCCTACTAATAATCCCCACAATCTCCTCCAAACTATACCACCTCTCCGCAGCACACACCCTCCTCCCCACAAACCTCTCCGGCTCCGCAAGCATAGCACCCACCACCCTCCCCGAGTCCCCCACCGCATCAATCAACGGCACTTTCGTCCCAGCACCATTACACCTCTCCATAACCCACCTCCCCTCCGCCCCCCCCTCCCCCTCCCCCGCCTCCTCCCACCTCGGCGCCAAAAACCCCTGCTGCGCAAAATTCTCCATAAACGACCCCGGACAGAAAAACGCGCTTTGGATCCCCTCTAATCCGCGGATATACGTCTCCGCTCTAGCTTTCGCGTCAAACGGCGTCACGGCCCTGTATTTGCCGCCCGAGATCGCGGTCACGGGCGGTAGGGTGCTGAAGATGAGGTACTTGACGCCCTGGGAGACGGCGGCGTCGGCGATGTTTTTGGCGGAGGTGAATTCGGCGCAGGGGTCTAGGGAGGCGGTGGCGGTGGTCATGGCGAAGATGGTGTGTACGCCCGAGAGGGCTGTGGTGAGGGAGGAAAGGGAGGAGGTGTCGGCTTGGACTACTTGGACTTTTTGGGAGAGGGAGAGGGCAACGGCGGCGGGAGAGGTGGGCGTGCGGGTTATGGCGCGGATGGTGTAGGTTGTGGAGAGGGTGGGGGAGGTGAGGACGTGGTTGAGGACGGAGCTGCCTTGTTGGCCGGTTGCGCCGAAGATGGCGAGGATGTTGGGCATTGTGTTTGATAGTGTGGCTTTTTGAGATTTGGGATTTGAGATGTTGGCGGAGATAGTTATTTTTCAATTAGGTATTTTTGATTTAGTTATACTTTTTCGAGGCTGACAAAATGGAACCGGAATTCCGATACAGAGCTGGGAATGCTGGACTAAAGTGAAAGGATCGTGGTTTGGATTAAGCGAGTGCGAGTGGTGCTAGCTGGATTGAACTTAAGTTTGTATACATGGTGATACTCTATATCATCCCAGAGTGATGAAAGTCGGCATGAAGTTGTCCCATAGACGCGGTGAAGGGCTATAAAACTATCCGAGATGGATGAAGCTTCACTCTCTTCAGGGCCGGGAACATGTTGTAGACAGCATTGGGAATCAGTCAACACGCGATGAAGATGCTTCTATCATACCTAGGTAATTTTGAGAAGATGGTGTTGATTAGCTCTAGTCTCGCCAACGAGAAAAAGGGGGCTAGAAGCGATGTCAATAAAAATATCTTATTCCATGAACAACAGATTCTCGTCACGCAACTTCAGAAAAAGGGCATTCAATCCAACAGTTATATGGAAATTGAAATCATCGTCATTATCAACTAGCTACTTTTTCCTCTCCCCAAGATAGCTACCAGAAGAAAAGCACCTTATGATCATTCATCCCCGCAACGCTGAATAGAATGCAAACCATCATCCATCGAAAGGTATCTACTCCCCACGCACGCATACTACACAAAAACCCCCTCACCTCCGCCTCTGCCTACTCATCATACTCCAACGTCAACGTTGTCGGAATCGGACTCTCCTTTGCATTAGCATCCAAATAAACCCGCATCTTCACCCCCGCAAACTCCTTTTCCACCACACTAAAATGCCCATTCCGCTCATTCGCCCGCCTCAAGTTCTTCAACTTAAACACCTCCCTCAACGTCGCCGCTAGACTGGCCCCCACCAGCCTCGACCCAAAGCAATAATGCAACCCGTGGCCCAGCAGCAGGTAATCCTTGAACGGCCGATGCGGGTCCAGGATCTCAGGGTTCGGGAACGCCACAGGATCCATCGACGCTTTCGACGTAGCGATCAAGATCGTGTGGCCTGCTTTCACGGAAACGGGACCGCGCGCGCCGTCCGTGATCGTAATATCCTTTGCTGCCACGCGAGGGAGACCAGGGACCACGCCCGCGTGTCGCATGCCCTCGAATACGAAACCTTGCAGTTCGCGCTCCGCTTCGGGGGTATTGAGGGCTGAGAGCTCGACGATGCGGTCTTTGTACGTTTCGTAGCCTTCGGTGAGGTAGAGATCGATGAGGAGACTGGCTTGTTGGGTTAAGTTACCTGCGACGGGGGCGCCCATCCCGATGCAGTCGCCGACTAGGTCGCCGATGGGGAGTTTACTGTCGTTGAGGGCGTGGTAGAGACGGTCTGCTACGGGGCCGACTTCGAAGGCGCTTCCTTTGCCGAGCCAGTCGACGATGTGTTCTGTTATTCCGCGCTGGGTCTTGAGGTGTGCTTCGAAGATGGAGCGGAGGATGGGAGCAGCTTTTGTGGCGGCTTCACGGAGGGTCCATTCGTTGGCTGGAATGACGTTGAAGGATTGGTACATAAAGAGGACGAGGTAGATGCCGAAGGCTTCGGGGACGGTGAGCAGGCCGTGTGGTTTCTCTGCCGTTTTCAAGGGCAGGGCGAATCGTTCGGCGAGCCAGAGGATGGGGGTTATGTTGGTGACATCGCGGACGATGTCGATTGAGCGGCGGGTTCCCGTGTACTTGAGTGAGTGGTCTTTAATCAGTTTTGAGACGTTGGTGGAGAAGAATTTGGTGACGTTGGCTTCGAATCCTTCTTCAAACATCACTTTGTGTAGAATGCTAGAGCGAGTGTCGTGTCTTGGAGCATCGTCCCATCCGATCATGAAATCGTGGTTGTCAGTACACTGGCGGATGGCCTTCTGGTACATGACACGGAAGTTCTCACGGTCCTCGAAGACGGCTTTGCAACCTTCCTGGGTGTAGACACCTACGACATCCATGCCGCTGGCAGGACGGTCGAGATCGTATTGCTCGATAACCTTGTTTCCTTTCAAAATACCCTTGACTGCGTCTGGAGTGTAGAAAGGCAGAAGAGCCCAAGAAGAAGTTCCAGTCCACGCTCCTGGAAGACCATTGAAGAGAAGTGTTGGAAGAACGCCTCCGTAAGCACCAGGTGCTGAACCCGTGCCAAGTTTGGCATATCCCCAATTTGTCAACGTACTACTGTTGAAATCATAACTGAGGAAACGATCACCTCGAACAAGTGCAACGGCATCATCTAGGATACCACGACCTGTAGTCTGACCTGGACAGACACCACTTCCTGGAATGGCTGGCTTGGTACATTCTGCCATCAAGCCGGGGTATAGCTCGAGGTTATCAATGTGTCCATAAAGCAATTCTGCGGCTCTGGCAGTCTCCTTGTCTTGGTTCCAATCTTCGAAAGTCGCGTAGGGTTTCAGGTTGAGGTATTTTCGGAATCTGATGCAATTAGCTTGATCCGTTTGCAAGAGTAGAGCGACTTACTCGTTCATGGTGCAAACATTGAACAATTCTCGTGCTTGTAATTGACCCATGATATCCACAATCTTCAAAGAAGCCGGAGTACCATGTGCACCAAAAGCATGTGCCGGTTCTGCGATACAATCTTTGATGATCTCAGCAAGATCAACATCACTGAATCTTCCATCCTCCCCTCTCTTGAAATTATTGAAGGTCCACTCCTTGGCTGGCTGGGCCATGAGAGCGTGACCAGCAGTCATAACGACTTTCTGGAACAACTCAACAGTCATGTCATCCACCGATTTGAGCTCAGGCAGCTGCCATCGAAGCAGATCCTCCATCCATTTCGCATCTGCTGCACTGAGTGCTGCGTGCCAATGGTAGAGCACGGCAAATTCGACAGACACCACATTTCCAGTACCTCGCTCGATTCTCTTTCCCAGTTGCTTGATTTCAGCACCGAGATCGAGGGACCAGGTCGAGTTGGCACGTGGGGTATTGAGAATGGCTGCGACATAATCCTTAAGGACGACCGAAGCGAAGAAACCAACATTGATGTTGCGAGATAGCTGGAAGATGTCTTCGTCTTGCCTATGTCACAGTTAGCATGCTCCTTGCAAATTGAAGTTCCTGACTTACCACTTCTGCTCGTCCTTGCTCAATTTGTCCCACGACTTGTATTTTCCAGCCTCATTGACACTCAGCAAATCCTTGGCAATCTGATTGTGATTTCGCGAAAACATGATTGCAACCGCAACCACACCCGGAGGCATCATCATAATCCTCTCACTCGCCACACTATCTGGGAAAATGAGACCATTCTCATATGTCCTGACCCGGGTCTGTTCATCTCCCGTATTGCCATAAATCGTACTCAGATCCACATAACTACTGGTATCGTTGATCCATTGGTTCTTCCGATTCGTCTGGAAACATTCATGAATGACCATCGTAGCAAACGAGAAGAAAAGTCTGTTGAGACCGGAGGGATGCGGGCGGAACGTTTCCTCATTTCGCTTGAGGAGTTGTTCAAACACCAGTTCCGGATCAGGAAGATTTGGGCCTTTGGGCTTCAAAGGAGGGACGCTTCGAGAGTATGGAGATCCGGCCTTTCCCATATCGTGGTTCCACGGGTTATTTCCACTTCCATCATGTTCCCGATATCGGGCAGTGGGACCTGCGGTGGTGGCTGCTGGATGAGGGAGATCATTCCAGAGCATACCAATGAAGTCATTGGAGGCTGTAGCACTCAATCCGCTGTTCAATGGCAGAGATTGGAGCATGGCCACGCCGTGTTCGAGGAGGAGCTCTTTGTCGTCGAGCGGATCGCCGGAAGCGAGAGTGGTGATTGCTTGTACGACGGTTTTGGCATTCTTCAAACCCATATGAGTAAGATCGTGGCCCATGGTCGTCTTGACTCCGCTGGAGCCGAATCCGGCTTCAGCATCGGTTTGGCCATCTGGGGCACTGCTTGGTTTCTTTTTGATCTGGGTGACCAATTTCGATTGAGAGAACCCCATTGTGAGTATGTTATGGGGGTGAAGAGATGGGAAGGAGGGTAGGATTTGAGGGAGAAGACAATTGGATTGAAGATTGGACTTGAGAGAGGAGAGGAAAGGAAAGAGGTCGAGGTGGGGAGCCAGCCGAAAGTGAACAGCTTCCAGCTCCCAGCTTCCTCGGGCCACCGTACGGATGTTTGTGATGAGGCCAGACGGAATGCAGCTCCGAGGTCGAGGTGTCTGCACGACGGACGCTCAATGTCTCAATGGCGGGGTCGAGGACAGGGCCATGATTCAAATGAAAGTGCAGTGATTGATTGGATTTCCCTTCTGAACCAGTCTTCATATGTCATATGTCTCACTCATCCCGACAAGTCACGCAGCACCTCCACTGATTTTGGAGTGAGACAGACCCAGACAGTGCGCAAGCTGTGCCAGCTCTCCTTAGTGATGCCCCGCTCTTGCGTTCACTTTTTTGCTGCATTTCGCTGCATTTCATCGCCCCCAGCTGCATCCTCGCTGGCACCGCCTGCAGCCCCTCAGCTCTGAGCGGCAACCGGGAGGCGCCTTCAGCCGTCCGTCAGTGAGTAGCGTCGATGGAGGGAGAGATGGTCGAATTGGTGATTTGCGGTGGAGATAGACTGTCCAATCACTGCTTGTCCAGTGTTGATGGAGTGATAGTAATCTTACCTAGGTAGATAGATGGTCGAATTTCTACTCCAACTCTCACATCATGGCAGCTTCGGGTGAGACGCAGACGCCCTGGGAAAGTGATTCTCGAATCACACTGGACCATGATTTGCGGCGCATCCGAAAATGCATGGCTGCAGAGCATGCGAATGAACCACCATCTGGATCATCGTGATTTGTGCATGTGCACCTGGTGCAGATCCAACTCTGCATTCATTTGGATCATCCCATACCTGCAGCAATCATCGTGCAGCGGGCTTCCGAGGGGAGAAGTGAGTGGCCGAGGTGGGTGGAATATTTGCTGTTCAGCTCTCCACGATGCTCCGTATTGTGCTGGTTCATGTTGTGTCTTTGTCGTCGGAAAGTTCTGCAGCTGCTAAGCCCGCATAGGAACGGAGAGGTTGGTTAGGTGGATCGGGGGGTCGATCCTTGCTGTCGATCAGGCGGGACATCGCGAGAACCTTGACCCTGAATGGACGGGCATCGAAGGGAACTCAAATCATATCCTCGAAAGAAGGAACTTGGCTCTCTCTCTCTCTCTCTCTTTTCCTAATTCTCTTCGTCTTCTTCGATAATATACCTACAGTATATCTTGGAGATGGGTAGAGTGAGAAAAGTGAGTTGCATAGGGTGACACTGTACTTGGTAGGTACATCGTGCTGCACAGTAATTACACGATCCATCGATGTACCATCCACGTCGCCGAGCACAAGGTGACATCGGTGGAGACGACGAGTGCCGTGCAAGGATCAACGCTCTGTGGTGCGTGCGAGGGTTCCCTTTTCCGAAGTCGTGATTGCATGCAAGGAAGAAACTCAATTTCTGATCGTGTCCGTTTCTCTATCATTTGCTACTATCCAGATATGCTATTCTCCATTTGTAAGATCTTACATGCCATTTCATAGTGCAATGCGATGTGTCGTCAGTGAGGATCCTTTCTGTATCCTGAAGCGTCCTCCCAAGGACGATCATGTTGGCGCCTCGGGAAATTGAAAATCGTGGAATGGAGGGGTGTATTTATTTCTACTCTAGTCATAATTCCTGCCTGCGTCTTGAGCGTCTTCTGGATACATACATGACAAACACGTTCAGCGTTGTACAGCAGCGACTTCCAAATTGGATTTCATCTGCCCCTCCCCGCTTTTGCTCTCATCAAGCGCGAATTTCTTCAGCATCCCTTTCTCCATCTCATCTCATCTCATCTCATCTCTATTCACTTCAGCCACTGCAGACAAGCAAGCTTCTGCACCTTTTTCTTGTGTTCAGCTTTCGTCCCACCGATATCGCACTGCATCTACCGTTAAAACCATATATCTCCCCCCTTCACATCAGACGCGATGAGTGACTCCATCGACTCCAATTCCACCGCCCATTCCCATAGCACTCCCACCTCCCCAGCACCATGGAAATTCAACGGCTATCCCGTTCAAACCTGGTCAGAGGAAAACGCTCGCAGAGAGCTTTCTACTTCCGAGCAAGACCATGGTCCACTCCCAACGACAATTCGAGCTGTTCGGGATTCGCACTCTCCTGCCCGTGGCCGAACCCTGGTTGTTTGTCTTGATGGAACTGGAGATAGCTTCGATGATGATAATAGCAACGTTGTCAATTTTGTCGCATGTTTGAAGAAAGATGACCCGAATCAAGTTACATATTACCAAGCTGGGATTGGCACATATGGGCGCAAAGGTCTTCAAAGTGGATTCTCGGCTGCGATTGACAGTAAGTCACCCTTCTCTTTTTGTCCATCCCTCCCTCCCTCTACTTGATCTAGAGCTCAGATGCACGAGCTCTCGATGCCGAATATGGTGCTAACCCCCTCCAGTGGCCGTCGGTTCCGGTCTAGGAATTCACATCCGAGACGCCTACCGCTTCCTCATGCAAAACTACCAAGAAGGCGATCGAATTTGTCTTCTCGGATTCTCCCGTGGCTCCTATACCGTCCGCTGTCTCGCCGGCATGCTGCACAAAGTCGGACTACTCCCAGCCCACAATCGTGCCCAGGTCACCTTCGCATATAAATTCTACAAGGACGATACACCTAACGGCTGGAAGATGAGCGCCGAGTTCAAGAAGACGTTCTGTATGAACGTTAATGTTTACTTCGTCGGCGTGTGGGATTGTGTTGCCAGTGTGGGGTTCATTCCCAGGAAACTACCGTTCAGTAAAAGTCCGACGAATGTTATTGGTTTTTTTCGACATGCCATGGCGTTGGATGAGCACAGGGCCAAGTTCAAAGTCTGTCGGTATCAGCCTCAACAACTTGATGGTGTGAATCCTATTGATGAGAAGACGATCGATCGTACATTTCACACTCAGTTTAAGGGTTTTTATCATCGACTTTTTCACAGCGACAATCCAGATCAGAAGACGAAATCTCCATTGGACAAACTGAAGAAGGTCAAAACGAATCAGGAAGTCCTCGAGAAGGTCTTCGATAAGTACGAACGTCGAACCATCACTCCATGCAAAACTGATGCTCTCGAAGTTTGGTTCATGGGCGCACATGCCGATGTTGGAGGTGGAGCAGTAGCGAACGAGGAACGACACATGCTCTCACGAATTCCCTTGCGCTGGATGATCCGCCAAACCTTCGAATGCAACACAGGCATCCTCTTTGATACAGCAGGACTAGCAGAAACGGGTCTCGATGTCCCCACTCTCTGGCCGGTCTATAAACAGAACCGAAAACCAGCTGTGGGACCAAGTCCAAAGACGTTGGAATTATGGGAGAAAGGAGGCCTACCCTCTCTCAAACGAAGAAGCACAGTATTAGGTCTCCAAGATTCACACGAGGAAAAACAGCAACAGTCATCCAAAAGAAGAGAATCTGATCTCAACACCCTAACCAACTCTCAAGACACCACCAATCCAATGCACCTCCTCCCCGAACAAGTAGAAGACTACTTCGACGCCCTAGCGCCCATGAATGACCAGCTCGTGCTCGCAAAACCGTGGTGGATCCTGGAATTCTGGCCGATTAAAGTCAGAATTCAGAGAGACGAGGAGGATGGCGGGTACTGGGAGAAGGTGGTGCGGTGGAATCTGGGACGGTACAGGTGTGTGCAGGAGACGGATCCGAGGATGCATTGGACGGTGGAGATGCGGATGGGGGAGGGTGATAAGGAGAGGGCTTATAAGTTGCGAGCGAGGGTTGATCGGGATGCGAGTTGGAGAAGTGTTGCGTAGGTGCGAGATGAGAGATGGTGCTACTTTCTGCGTTGATTTTGCGAGTAGCTTGATTGCTACTTCAATATACCAATTTGTTTCTGGACTTATGCATTCACACAGACTTCGGGGTAGCCAGCTCTCATTCCTAATTCATATTTGTCTCTGAATTCTTGATCACCCTCAATTAAGCTTTTAAATCAACCTCCGAACATAATCTTTGAAAGTACTTTGATACCTAGGTCTATCAGAGTTGCTTCGTGGTTAGTTAAGTATCACGTGAATATCCCCCCTTTATTCCACATTTTTGAAGTCTCATAACATCTATTTGAGGTAGTTGAATCCTGCGAACGTTGTTTTATCCTTCAGCGCTACACCACCATACTTCTCTTAAAACACTTTTTGTCATTTGAAGGACTTCTATAGTTGCACGTGCTCTCAGCCTTATATCCGCCCCACTTCCAACCTCATCATCCTTGTTTTACCAATGAAGCCCCCACGCAACGCAAAATTTCCAAAGCTCTAAAAGAACTCAATATCAGATACCAGGCCATCAAATCGTCGCAATATCTTAGGAATTTCTTCTTTCTCGCCCAGAAAGTCGCAAAATGGACCTCCCCTGGCTCTTCTCAACATACACTCCCTCCTCCGCCTGCGAAATCAGCCCCCACGTCCCCTTATCCCCAGATGTTTGTACAAAAACCCGGAGCTACTCCCCCACTATACCAACATATATGGACCAAGCTCTCCCCTTACTCCCCGCTAACACATCCAGCACTTCGCCACCGAATCAGACGAAGTCATCGCCCTGACCCAAAGCCTCGCATCTCTGCCCTACGATCCAGAAACATGGCTCAATCGCGCACATTCCCTTCGTTTGTTGGGCTACCCGGAACTCAGTCTCGGCGACGCATATAAAGCCCGTCTACTCGTCGAAGCGGGCCTTGATCCTATGCCTTCAATCCTAGGTGAGGATGTAAGGAAAGCCTCAAGAAAGAAAATTCATGTCCTGCATACCACGGACCCAGCGTGGAAGAGATGGGCGCATACCGTGTCAACACCTCAACTACTCGCCGAAAAGGTGGGGGAAATGCTGAAGAGGCTAGAATTGCAGGTCTGGACCGAGCTGATGGAGGGTCTCATGGCGGCGAATTGCGCGAGGGATTATCAGCGCTTGGCGAGGGAGGCGGTGGAGAAGTTTCCAGAGGATGAGTTCTTCCCGAGCGAGGTCGTTAATGCGAATTCTTGGTTTGCGCAGAGGAAGGTGTTGCTGGAGCAGGCGGTTGAGAGGGGCGAGATGAGTGAGGGCAGTGCGGAGACGACGTTGGGGAATGGGGGGGTGTATCCGGTGGCTTATCCGTGGATGAGTGAGGGGAATGGGTTTCTTGGGCGAAGCGAGGAGGTGTTTGAGGGTATTCAGGAGGATTTCAGGAGGGTTTCTGATGTGAGTTGCTCATTTCTTGTTAGGGCTATGCTGATTTGAGGAGAACTGCATGGTAGTCCGAAGCACAATCCGCAACACCCCAGCCGGCGATGGACAAGAAGCAACAACAGAAGAGGACTGCATCGGCGCCATCGCAACCCGACCTATCCTCGCCGGCGAGACAATCCTAATAGACAGCATGTCCACCGGCACCGTAGGCGTCGACGCCGACCCCGACGGCTGTCCCACCTGCTGCGCATCCCCCGTCTCCAATTTCTGGAATACCTGCTGCCCAACCCTCTACTGTTCCCAAACCTGCGCCTCCCTCGCCCTATCCACATTCCACGCCCCCCTCTGCGGCAAAGACGTCTCCTACCTCTACGAAGCCGCTAAAAAAGCCACCGCCACAACAGACTTCTCACTCGATGCCCTGCTCCTCCTTCGCGTCCTAGCTCTAACGCTAGAAGAAGCCAAAGAACACCCCTTACTAAGTAAAGTCCTCGTGAGACTAACCCCCGCATACGGCTTCAAGAACCCAAACCTCATCATCTTTAACTTTACCGATCACATCCAAACCCCCACATCCATCCTCCTCACCCTCGGCATCGACGTCTTCGCCGCCCCTACATACGATACTTGGGTCTTGCACACGATCAAATGCCGCTTGCAGAACAACAAGCACGGACAGACGCTCGGCGATTGGCCCGGCACGAGTATCAGTGGCTTGTATAGTATGCTGAATCATAGCTGTGAGCCGAATGTGGATTGGAGGCATGAGAGCGCGAGTTGTGCGGTTACGATGTTTGCTACGAGGGAGGTGGCGGTCGGGGAGGAGTTGTGTATTAGTTATATTGGGGCGAGGGGGGATGGGTTGGGGGTGCGGGAGAGGAGGAGGATGTTGATGGGGTGGTTTGGGATGGATTGTGGGTGTGGCAGGTGTGTTAGGGAGGCGAGGGAGGAGGAGGAGGGTCTGAAAACGGAATTAGAGGCTGGGATGAAGACGTTGGCTGTGCTGTGAGAGGTCTCTTTTGCTTTCGAGTGCTCGTAGATGGTTGCCTGAATAGACTTTGAATCACAATTGCATATTTTGCGGATTTGTTCGCTGCCTCATTTCTTAAGGAGGTCTCTGGACATTGCCGCGTTGCTGTGGAAGCATAATTGAACGACTGAGTAGTTGAGAGGAGCAGGCAAATCGCAGTCACGTGGCATTTCTTTTTCTTTAAGCACCAAGCTTCTCTTGAATATCACCACAGCTGAAAGGTTACATGAAACAAATTCGAACCAATACAGAACATTGTATCCACTATGCCCGAAAGTAAACTCAAAGTCTCACAAAAACAATACAATCTTCATAACTCTCTTTGCTTTCCTCACATACACCCACCCACCTTTACCATCACAACCTCAAATCTACCACTACCCTAAACCCAGTCTCAAATCTTTGTTCCACATCGCAAATCTCATAACTCATAATCCGAACTCACAACCCAGCTCATACCCAAAATCTCATAATCACAGCCTTAAGCTCTAAGCTTAAGAGGAACTTGCGCTTTATTGCGGATTGCGGCTTTGAAGGCTTATTCGAGACTTATGACTTTAAACTGCAACCTGAAATCATGGATTTCTTTGCGTGGTACTTAAGTCAGTGGATGTAGTTTAAGCTTTGTTGCATATCGCACTTTTCATATTCATAACTACAGCTTATGGCTTAAATTATGAGTTTGAGCTATAAATATAAGATGTGAGAAACGCGCTAATTATGAGAACTGCGATATGCAACAAAACATTGTTCCCACGCTAAAGGCTAAAGCTAGCCTTAGTTTATTTCAGCCTTGTGATGGTAAGCTAAAATTGAACATTCTGCCTTAATTAGCAAAAGCTGATGAGCAAGTTTAGAGTATTCAAAAACTTATCCTTACACCTTACTATACTCTGAATCTCATCTCATCTCATCTCATTATCTTATACTTCCTAGGTGGATGGATATAGCTTAAGTGTGTCAAGGTTATGGGATAGCACGGTTTTTGTACTTGTAGATTTAGCTTGTAAATCTAGCTTGTGGCTTGAATTATGAGTTTGAGCTACAAGTATGAGATATGAGAGGAGTATGGATTATGAGATTTGCGATGTGCAACAAAATATTGACACCCAAGCTAAGGTTGAGGCTGGGCTTAGTCTCGGACAGCCTTGTGATGGTGAAGCAGGGCTGGACATTTGGCCTTGGGTCTGGGACTTGAGGGAAGGTTTGGAGAGTGAATGCAAAAGTGTGCTCAAAGTTTCATGAACATAGCTTATACCCTGATTCTCATCTCATCATACAAAGTCAAGTCCGTAGATAGACAATTGGTCACAAGTGTTGTGGCATATCACGGTTCTTATACTTATAACTCCAACTCATGAAGCAGCTTATTTTTGAAATTATGAGTTTGAGCTACAGTGTAAGCATGAGTTCTGAGAAAGAGATTTGCGATGTGCAACAAAAGAATTGTACCTACGCTAAACTCAAGGCTGAGCTTAGTGCAGCCTTGTGATGATGATGCCCCAGAAATCTTGCCTCGGGTTCTGAACCCTGTCGTCAAGGTTGGAAGTTGTATTCAGAGGTGTCTTCATAATTTTATAATCATAGCTCTTGCTTTCAACTCTACTTATCTACTTATCTACTTATCTGGTTAAAATCCAAGGTAGATGTATACAACCTCAAGTTTCCTATATGCAGTAATTGTCATACTGATATTTCAGCTCATAAATTTAGCTTATGCCTTAAATTATGAGGTTAAACTACCACTTATGAGATATAGAAACTGCGCTAATTATGAGATTTGCGATGTGCAACAAAGCAAGCCTATCGCGCTAAGCTTAAGGCTGGGTTTATTTTCAGCCTTGCGATGGGAATCTTGCCTTCGAAACTCGTGGTTAGCTTCCGCAACCTGACGGCACCGCTTGTACTCAAAGGTGTGTTCCCAAGTTGATAAATGTACTTCATTCTCTGAATCTGATTTCACAGTGTTAAGACTATAAGATAATGCATATAGCTTCAAGCAGGTTTTGTTGCTTGTGATATGTCTCATGCTTATAAATCTAACTCATACTTGCAGCTTATATTTTAATAAGTCATGAGTTTGAGCTACTAGCATGAGTTATGAGAAACGTATGAATTATGAGATTTTCGACGTGCAACAAAAGATTAAGAGTCACGCTAAGGTTACGAATTGGATTTAGGGTCTCTGTGATGAAGGTGATTGTTATGCCTCGGAGTGGGATGTGTAAGTGTAGGTCGGACTTTTTGGGAGCTTGGCAACTTCACTTGAAGAAGAATGCTGCTAATGAGGATGTTGGAGTGTTCTCTTCTTGTGAATTACTCCATCAAGAAGATGTTTGAAGGCATAAAGTATCAGCGTTGTGGAACGAGCTCTGAGCGTTGAGCTTCGTCAAAATCGCTGTATTTGAAGGTCACGTGCTCGAGGTACATTGAAGTGCAGGGCAAAACAAAAACTCCCAAAGGATGTGAGACCTCTGAGCCTCTTCAATGCAGAGCATCATAGCTTAGTAATCTGGTTTATGGATGGTTCTCTCCCAGATATGGAACTTGATCGTGACAAATTTGAACATTCGAGCGCCTTCGATTTCTGTCTGCCTGCTGTATAAAACCTGTAAAAGGATGAAAAATAGCTTTAAGAAAAGCGGAATAGAGTCTTCTAGCATCTTATCAAATCATTCAAGTTAACTTGATCTTGAATCAAAGCATCGTTTCTTCATCTTCAAGACACTCTCAACAGTACACATGGAGCTTAATCCCGTATCGAGTTTGTTCCTCAGGGATTACAGCATGTTTAGCTGGACTCGTTATGCTTCCACAGATAGCTAGAGCGCATGATCTCCACCCAGCGATGAGGCAGTACATCTATGGGACTTGCCATTTGCTCTGGCTTATGAACGACTTGAGGGAAAGCTCACATGTCCAACCTGTGGAGAAAGTTATGACAAAGGACTCGATCGCTATCATGGCATGTCCCGAACAATGAGATCGATATTCATTGACCTTACGGATATGATGTTTAGAGTCTCAAAGCCTTACAAGGCCGTCGCGCTCAACAGGTTCGCATAGATGAGGTTCTCGCTCACTTTCAGAAATTTGAGATCCTTTACTGGGCTTATCAATCGCAGTCAGATAGCACATGTCGGGGAACAATTACAATTGACTTTCAGAAAGGTTTTGAAATCAGGTTTCTGCTATCTGCTACTTGCTAGAAGAGCCTAGAGCGGTGCAGTAAGCTGAAGCCCAGTTTACGCGCAAGTCTCAATTTCGATATCAGCAACCCTCGACTAATCAGGAGACCCGCTCGATATGCTCAATAGCGCCATTCGCAATATCAGTGAGGCCTCGAAGAATCAGGAAATTTGCTCAATACGCCAAGTGACGCTTCTCAATCGCAATATCCGTTGACCTTCGAGCGATCAAAGAGCATGATCAACATGCCCAGAGAACCGCCCATTTGTAATATCCATTAACGCCGAAAAGAAAATCAGAAATTCCACTCATTATGCTCAGTGATCCACCCAATTTATGCATGGTAACCAGTCCAGGTAGGTACACCACACTCAGTGCTGCAGTCATCCTCCCAGAAAACCCGCTCGACCTCCCAATACATATCGTAGAAGTTCTCCATGTCCTCCAAACTAACGGTAGCTGGATCGGTATTCAACAACTTGCTTTGAAGATCCTTCCACAAGGCCGAAGCCTTGCGGGAGAAATGGTGATTCATTTCGTGGAAGGAATGCTCGACACGGGGACATTGGCCACAGAGTCGGCAGCGGGTACGATCATTGAAGATCTTATTGTCCTTTAGGATCAGAGAGTTCCCTGTGCGAGAGATTAGAAAGTGCTTCTTGTGGCTTTGGCGGCGCAAGCAACACTAGGGGAAGGTTCGTTCATGGGGATAGGATAAGAAGAGTTTTGGGGGGAGGTTTGGCTTACAAGTGTTATGAAGGTAATTCCGGAGTCTCGCAGCCTCTTCATCCTTGCCAGGCTCAATCTCACGGAGGTCGCGTTGCATGAGCAGGAGTGGATTGAAGGAGATACTGTAGGGAGTAGGATGCTTCTCGAAACCAAAGATGAGACGGCTGGGGGAGGAAGGAAAGACAGTTGGGACCTTCACCGTGCGCTTAGGGGTCGGGAGCGGAAGGTTGCGATTCGGAACGTCGGGCTTGGTCGAAGTGACACCGATCTCGTCTGGAGAGATCAATGGTGAGAACTTGCCATTTGGGACTGCTCGTTGGTTGCCGTAAGCTGTATGGGAGTCTGGAATCGTTGTGTTGCCAGTCGAAACAACGGGTGGAGCATAGTACATGTTGCTTTGATGTCCTGAACGAGCAATACCAGCCGGATGAGCGTATGTGTTGTGTTGAGGTCTCGAATGCGCAAAGTTTTCATGTTCGATAGGTTGGTAGTATTGGCCGCTAGCCGCACCATGATTTTGGATTACCATGTTATCAACCAAGGCAGGCGGTTGAGGATTGTACATGTAGCCTTGATACTGGGCAGGTGGATCGTGATACCGGTTGTTGTCGAAGCCTCGAAGATCTGGGCGCGCAAAACCTCCAATGGCACTTGAATGAGGATTGTAAGACTGGTCCAGAGACCCAGGTGGAAATTGAGCAATTCTACCATCAAAAGCCGTAGAATGGTAGAATTGGTAGCCACTGTATCCTCTATGACGACGATGTGGATTGAAATGCTCCATCTTCGTCGGAGACTGTTTGGTGCAGAATGAAGGCGGTCAAGAGAAAAGCCGGTGATGAACCGAGGGGGAGAAGGTTGGAGGAGGGATCGAAAGGGTGAAAGATACGCCAATGGGGTTTAGGTTCGTGTCGAAAGGGGTGAATGTTTAGCGAAGGAGTTCAGGTTCGAGTGCGTCGAAAGGGGTGAATGTTTAGCGAAGGAGTTCAGGTTCGAAGGCGTCGAAAGGGGTGAATGTTAAGCGAAAGATTTCAGGTTCGAGTGCGTCGAAAAGGAGTGAATGTTAAGCGAAAAGGTGCAGCGTGATGCCCTACTAAAACAGATTGCCCAAAATTTGTCCAAGATTCTTGGATCACTATTGGATAATCTCAGACAAAAGCTGGATAATTACTTTATTATATGTAGGGTTTGTTCACTCAAAAACTCGAGAAATGCCAAGTCTTGGACAAAACCAAAATAACTCTTTCTTTCTATGTAAAGTTTGTTTATTTAAAGATCTAAAAAGTTTCCAATCTTAGACAAAAGCTATATAACTATTTCATTCTAAATAGGGTTTGTTTATTATAAAGTTTGAAAAAGTCTAAATCTTGGACAAGACCTAAATAATTACTTATCAATACAACATTCAAAGCTTTTAGATAGATTCAACGAAACATGTACATTAAATAAACAATAGTGACTCCACTAGCTAAAGTAAAAAAGCTACTCTCTCGGTTTCCACCTTTTCAATTTCATGCTAAGTCTCCATAGTAAGTTCATATTATGCATCTCTGTCATTTTATTTTAATAGTAAGTATGCATGCACCCCCTCTCTTAATCACTCTCTTGATCCAGGTATGTGACAATATCTACAACATCATTCTACAATGCAAATAAATACCTTCTAGAATGCGTTCATCACACAAGCAGAAGTTCATATCATATATTACAGATTATGGACTATAGGCAGAGCATGTAGAGCGTAGAGCGTAGCGGAGGAAGCCGGGAATAGCATCGATAATAAACAGGTATCATGAATCAATTTCTCTTTCTTCCTCGCATGGGGTTAGTAAGCTTGCCGCTCATGCTCAGTCGCTAATCACTCTCGGCTCACCCTCGTCTCAGTCAACTCGCCCGAACAACCTGAGTAACCTGATCAACTCACCTGAGCACCCTGAGCAATCCCTGACTCTCTAAGCATTACCTGAACAGCCTGAGCAGCTTAAACATCCTCAGTTGTCCTCGAGTCCTTCAGTCCCTGCGCAGTATACACTGCTCCTTCATGTTTTTCATTTCTGTATGCGATTGTGCGGAGCCTCGGTTACTTCCATGGAGAGATTGAGAATCGACGTTACGCATTGCTATTTGATATTGAGAGCGCTGACGTCAGCAGAGAACTTTTTACTGCTACATTCTTCTAACATGTTTAATATATATTTTTAGGTTTCTTACTGTTAAAATACAACGATGCGGAGATATGGGTAGGAAGCTACCAAAGTGGAGGTGAGGATACTGTAAATGGTAAAATGTTTTCTGCTATGTAATTAGCGCGCCATACACATAGTTTTATGATTCCTCGAGAGCCTTGGAGCTTGATTCAGATTACCAGGCAAGCCTCATAGCGATGGTAACTGGGAAATGTCTCTTGGAGACAATAGTATGCGCGGGAAGCATAGACGTGGAAATTCCCACAAAACCTGGTCTCAGATCAGCGCTCTCGATGGGTAGGTCGGGCCGTTTTTTGCCCCGAACCGTCACCAACCCGTACTAGTACGAGCTAAAAAAAACTAAGAACCATCGCCATCACAATTCTAAACAAGTTTAAACAGGCTTAACTACCAAGACAAATAAATACTATTAATAGTGTATTTTCAACCTCAAGCTTTATGTTTTAAACTTCAACTTCAAACTTCAACCTCAGATTTCAAGCTCTAATCGCGTCCTCCTCAAGCCTCCTATCCTCAAGCTCCCTCCAATAGTAGACGGGCTAACGGTTATTAGCAGGCTTTGAGGAGGCCTGAACCGTAACCATCCAATAAGATGGCAGGCTTTCAAAACCCATAACCGTAACCGGTCTAGACGGGTAGGCCTTGTCGGTTCGGCAAAAGCCTACCCACCCATCGAGAGCGCTGTCTCAGATTCTACGCTTAAGTGTTTCTTTGTACTTGGATATTCTTTTTTTTGTTGATGTTGAAACAACTGGTGCAGTGTTTAGGTGCATGCTACCATCATGTCTCTCTCTCTCTTTCTTTTGTTACTTCCTTCCTTTCTTCCTCATGTCTCAGCGCAACATTCCAAACAATTTTCTTTCAATTCTTCCAAGACTCCGCCCGACTAATAGCTCGCACGTGAAATAAAATGATCGTTTTGTGGTCTTAATTCATTATTTAAAGTAACAAGGTCCACTTCAAACTTCAGAAGCCAGTACATTACAAGTTTCTTGAATCGCCTTGAACGCCCTTTATTGAACGCTCACTAGCCATCATCGCCACTGCCACGCATTGGTATTATCTGCCACGACGACAGTTATTATCTGCCCTGTCGAGCTAGTCGACTTTGCCAGATGCCCGCATTGTGGATACAATAATTTCACAGGCGTTGAGAATTGTAGCGGGACTCGACCTGATGGAAGCACATGCAACCGTTCTCTTCCTGTGACAATAAAGTAAGAACACTTCGCACTTTGAACTAACTTTTACTAATCATCTTCCAGTTTTACAATGCATTGAACCAGGGTGGTGGTGTAGCGGGGCTACAGGCTACACTGGTTTTTTCAAAGGTTTTGGTGGTGGCGATGGATTGGCTGTTTTTTTTTCTTGCGCTGATTATGTATTTGCAGTCCTTTTATTTGCGAATATAAAAAGTGAAAATTTCAATATTAAACACTACCCAAAACCGGCCTTATTCATAAAAATTTCTGTAGTCATCTTGTTAATGCGGCAGATTGGAAACGTGTTTGAGCAGACCGGAGGTTTTATGCATCACAAGCCGAGATCTAGTCGCGAGGAGCCAAAATGGGGATCTACTCCCAGAGATAACGAGAACAAAGTGAAACGGTGCTTCAAGGGAGCCAACACGGGCCGTCCGGGGGTAACAAAATGCCTTCCCAATGCATGCTCAGGCTTTGCTTAGGCCGCGATTAGGCTGTGCTCAAGATGTTCATTCTCGGCTCAGGTTAAGCGGCCGCTGCTCAGTGTATAGACTAGAACGGAATCAACGATAAGAAACAATAACATAGGGCATACGGGTATCCAGGAATACCTTCTAATCACTTAGTCGGCACTTTTGGGCCCAAATCCTGGATAAATCACGACTGATTTCCAGACTTGTACTGGATACTTTCTGTACAAAATTTAACTGGATAAATCCTGGATAAATCCTGGATAATGACTAGATAATTTATCTAGTAAAAATCCAGTCGGTGCTACAGTAGGGATCGAAAGGGTGAGGAGTATGTGAAAGAATTCAAGTTCGAGGCGTCTGAAAAGAGTGAACACGCCAAAGGGCGGGGTGTTGAGCGTGACGACGATAGTGTAAGACGTCTCGACTAGAGACAGACAATGAGATGAAGTATGGACGAAGAAGTGGTCACCTTGAGCCTCTTCTTCTACCCATTATTTTGCGCGCTGAAATTGCATAACTCAACGAAACTGAAATCCGCAGGGAATCCGCGCAGGTGATCCACCATTATAAAAGACACAACCAGTCACATTATGGGTGCTTCTGACACTTTGGAATCACTTCAGTGTGGTTGTCAATATGGAAACGGAGTGGATAGAGATCAAGAGAGGTTACAATAGTAGGGCGGTGGGAGCCGGCTCTTTCTGCCTGCTCTTTTCTGCCTATCCTGCCCGCCTTCCAATCGTCGAGTAAAGGACAACGACAATGACATTGAACTCCAATGTTAAAGGTGTTTGACGATGCGCCTTATGCAGTTTCTCACAACAATGGGATCTGATCATAGCAAGAAGCCTCAATCAATCCTCCCTTCCTCTTTCCAATCTCTTCCCTATGAGATCCGCGAACAAATAGTATGTAAATGTCTCTCCCTGCTTGCCTTGGAGCTGAGCTCACAACGACATGTCGAATGTTTTCACGAAATTGCTGTTCAGCCCTTTGCCAATCCCTTTAAAGGTGCCAAACTAACTTCCTGCAGTGGCTATATACCCTCCTTCCTCGACTGATATACATCCATCCACATCAACGTCTCGAACCCCATCCTTATGATCACGAAAGTAACGAACTGGTTGATGGCCTCCGGATGACGGCATCTGTACGGTTCAACCATTCTCTCCATACTACATCTTCCACACCCGCGGAGGCTTTTGCTTCGTATGCATCTTTCGTGGTCCCCGATCCGCACTATGTTGGTAGAATGGATGGGGAATTTCTGAACTACGAACACAAATTGGCGGTACAGCCTTTGGCCTGGAGAGGGGGACAGGCTCCGCCAGCTCTGCACGTCTGCGGAGAGAGCAGAGCGATTGCCTTGAGGAAGGGATACGTTCTGGCTTTCAAGGGAGTAGACCTACGGCTAGAGGAAGAAGATAAGGAATACTGGAAGAATAACCACTTGAGCGACAAAGGAATTTGGGTCAATTTCAGCACTGACCTGATCATGCTCGATGCATTGTATCGCTCCAGGATGTATCCTAAATGGGCCCCGCTACAACCTCTGGTCGTGCTGAACAAATGGGCCCCAGAGGATGTGAAAAGAATAAGATACCTCGCTCTAGGTGGGAATCCCGGCATGGTCCTGAGCGCACTTAGAGGAAACTGTGTACCAGTCCCCCACGGACCAAGATGGAGAACAGAGTGGCAATGGTGGGTGAGCTTGGGTTATGATAATCTGGAGGAGATATGGATCGACGATGAGTTCGAGGTCACACAAAAAGAAAAATACTACGAGGTGTCTTGGCGTGATTGGGAGTGCCAGAAGGGGGCGGCTGAGCAATGCATTAGAGCGATCAGCATGGGAAGGTCGAAGCTTCCCCATTGGACTTCTCCATTGCCTGAAGTGAAGGTCGTTCGGGGAAAGGACTGGCGTGTATATTTCGGGGATTGAAATATATCTAATAGCGATACGGAATGCTGTTGTGAATGGAAGCAGTGCTCTGTGTACCTTGTTTCTGCCACTGTCGTCTTTTGCACAGCTTTTGTCTTGTTATTGGACATTGAACCCATCCGCTTCTATGGTCTCCATTCGAGGAATATCTAGCTTCGGCAGTCCAGAGGAGGCAGATCCGTACAATTCTCGCTTTTCAGAGGTGCGCGCCCCAGTCTCATCACTAAGTAGCATTTACATCCCTTGATTTCTGTTCCTCCCCAATCACATTAAAAAGAGCAGGAATGGAGGAAGAATGTGCTCACGAAACTCGTCATGAATGTGATTGAAAGCCAACGCTACCAGAGAGGATTATACGCATTGTTCACTGGTAGAAATGACACATTCAGCAGGGAAGGCAACCCGAATATCAAATAACATGAGCATCCCCGACACTGATTCCAACCCTGACCATCAAAGCTTCAGTTCCCCATCACCATCCCCAACCTTAGGAACAGGAACCATGATCCAATTTTGGTTCTTGCCTTCTCCTGGGTGGCAAGAGTAGCAAATAATGGGTGTCCCATCTTCGTCACTCGGACCCTGAAGGTCTATGCAAAGATTCGGATCTTGAACATTCTTGAACTGCACGCTTTTGTCTTTGTTGATGCTCAGGGTGAACTGAAAATGGTCAGCGTAGATCGAGTGTGTGGGGCATCAGGCCAAGCATACGAGTGAGTACCCGTCAATTGCAACTTCTCCTCCCTTCATCTGGTATAAGCCGTCGTCATTGGTTTCTGGGAACAGAGATCAGCCTCGGACTTTGCTGTCGGACTTTGCTGCGTGGAAGAAAGGGGGAACAGTACCACTTGGGCATGAAGCAATTGCCCCAGTAGCAGAGTTGATGATCAAAACTTGATGATATTGAGCAGCAGCAACGACTTGCCAGATCTGATGAGCGTTGTCTTTCGTTGGTTCACTGTCATGAACATCAGTTTTCATGTCCTCGATTCAAGCCTCATGATGCGACTTACTAAGCAGTGATGGCAGTATCTGGACCAGCATCGCCGAGATAGAGATCCATGGTTGTTCCAGTGGCTTGGTTTTCAATGTAGTATTGACCAGGACCTTTGTAGGCATAAGACTGCTTCTGCGAGTGATGTTTCTTGGGAGTATTTCTGCTTCCTGTCGTTGCGAGAACAGGAAGCGCGAAGAGCGCGAGCTGGAGGAAATACATCTTGATGATGAACTGTTAAGCGTTACCAGCAAATTCTGGTGGACAAGTGGGGATTTTCTGGAGTTTCGGAGGACACATCCATTCTTATGTGTTGATTTCAAGTTGTGCTGCAGTGACCTCTCGACTGAGAATCGTTGGTCAATTCATCTCCAAATGAGTAGGTGCAACAGCTGAGATTAGTCTTCATCAGACTTCGTACAAAGAGTCTCAAGGTGATCAAGCTCACCTGGAGAACATGTGACTGGACTCTGGGGATCGGTTGCGTAAGCTCATACCATTACATCAAAGAACGGGTCTGTGCTAGGTAGGACGTGCATTTCCGTTCCGTACAGTTGAGGACTTCAGCATCCGCGTGCAATTTTGTATGAAGTCAGTACTTTCCTTTGTTATGTTGTGCTCTAAGAGTTGCATGTTTGTGCTGTGACGGACAATTCAAGCGAGATGAGTTTGTAAATCTTGTGATTCTGTGCGACACACGAAATTCCAGGCAAGGTAGTACGTAAATGATGGAGAAAAAGAATCAACGACACGCCTGTTCTTCCGTGTGTATCGTCAGCGTCTACTGCTCATTGCTCATGCTGCACTGCTGACTGGCAACTCCCTTTTTGCCAAGGCAGCCTTTCTTGATGTGGAAGCTGGATCGTAGTACGGCGCTTCTCCCAACGAAACAACTCTATCTCCAATCCGTACCTCGTTGTAATCAAAAGTCGCCGCGTGCCAGTTCGATCGATTGTCCCAGATTGCAACATCATTCTTGCGCCACCTGTGAATGTTAGTTTTCACTTTATGGAACGTCGAAGAGGATAATTACTTGAACCGTACTTGGTTTTCGTGGTTTTGGGATACGAGCTGTTTATGTCAGTAAGATTCAAAGGTAGAGTTGATCTGAGGGGAACATACATCGAAGAGATACTTTAGGATCACATCTGATTCGTCCTTTGTCAGTTCAACAATGCGCTTGGTGAATGCTTAGTTGACAAAGACGCTCTTCCACCCAGTGACAGCTGAGTTTCATGTTAGCTTTCCTTCAGACTGTTCTTCACCAGGAACAGTTGAGTTGTCACTAACGATTGGTACGAATGACAGGGTGGACGGTCTGAAGATTCTTGCCCTGGTTCAGCTCCGAACCTCGAACTCCTTCACGGAGAGGATGGCCCAGACGCTCTGCGATTCCATTGAAGAAGTTTGCGTCGTGGATTGCTGTCAATCCTTCAAGGTAAGCAGCAGTGGCTGGAGAAAGTCGATCATAGATTTCGTATCCGGAAGCCCACAACTGCAAAACTCCCAGATATCAGTTATCAGTTTAGGATGCCACAGTTTGAGTTCAAAACCAGTTATCAGAACTTGCGGATAAAGGTAATGATGTGACTTACAGTATCTCCGCCAGTGGGAGGCAATGTGTGGATCTTCAACATAGTATAGTCAGATGGAACAGGCTCAAACGTGATGTCCGCGTGCCAACCGTTGCTAGCAAACTTGCTTGGCTCTGTGAGCGGGTTCACAGGAGCTTCACCCTTCTGCTTTTTCACGCTACTGATGACACTGATCTGATCGCCAAGCTCGCTGCCTGCTTCAGTGATGGGATGGATGTGAAGTCCTGATGACTCGGGCTTGGATGTGTCAGCGAGAAGGTCGGAGCAGAGCGGGTGGTAGAGACTCACGCTGCCAGTAAGTGTTGATAATTTCTGACCAAGACTGATAAGCTCTTGGGTGGTGACGTCTTGGTCTCTCAGAAAACCCACACCGCGCTCGGAGACTGATCATAGACAATCTTAGCAACTGTTCCTTCCAATTTTGAAATGCGAGAAAGGTCACTTACCAGTGATTGCCAGATCTCGAATCAATGTGTCCGCGTCGGGAGAGGCCAAGATTTTCTTAATTTGAAGGCCTGGAATCTCTCTGCCAATGGAAGGAGTAGAGTCATTGTGCTCATACGAGTCGAGAGAACCTGAATACGTGAAGGGCTGAGTGGAACGTGGTCGAGCTTTCTCATGTCCACCTCGAATGGAGGGAGGTGGGGTAGAAGGTTGAGCAGAAGGCATGATTGTAGGATTATGGTTTTGGGAGTTTCTGTCAATAGTGGGAGGAGTACCGAGTAACTGGTGTGCAGATGGGGTACGAGAGAGCTCTATATATGGGTACGAAATCGGAGGTACACATTATGAAGAACATGGCGGCCGCGACGCAATTGGAGCTGATGCTACAAATTCCTATATCTTAGCCAGTAGCAGTTGCTGTTTGGACGTTGACGCTGATGGTGCAAATAATTCCACATTATGATGATACAATATACACGTGACAAGTCACGAGCTTTGCATGCACCATTGCTGACAAGCTACTCTGGAGCTCATTGAAAGACATACTAAGACCAGACATATAGCAATGGTTGTTTGGGGACTCGTTCAAACTGTTCTGTTTTGCGAAAATCCTTATCTGACCACTTGGCAGTACTGTAGCACGGACAACCTCCAATCGCTGCAACAATCAATGACACAACCGAAACATTGAATTCTCGCGCCATGACGAAATAGAGAGGAAGACTCGCAGCATATGATCGATCACTACTCCGTCTGTGGAAAATTTTATGTAGAGAACATTGCTGCGCTTAGATTAGGTGAAAGATCTAGACGCCCCGGCCACGCTAAGGTGAGTCTAAAAACTCCCAGGCTTCAGCTCAACATGTTCGATTTTTCATCTTTCAACATTCGTTAAAATCATCAGAAACGAGAGCAAACAAAGATGGCAAAGGAAAACATCAAACTATCCTTCTCCGAGAAGGTCAACTTCTTCTGGGTCCTTGCCACTGCACGTAAGTTCATTACCCTGTTCACCCCATGACCTCCAGCTGATCAGCTATCCAGCTTTCTTTGTAGGATGGGTTGGACTTCGCCATTATCTTCTTCCTCCGAAAGACTCCCCTGGGGTTGCTAGAATTGTTGCGACCACGCTCTTGAAGACGTTCTGTAGGCTGTCTCAAAGACAGATGAAGTACGTGATTCGCACGTGTTTGTTTTGCAATTACTGACTTTACCCTAGAGGAATGATCAATCTCCCCTTGACAGGCAAGGTCATTGAACAATACTGTACAAAACACGAACTCGCCCACGAAGTCGAGCATTTGCCCAACAACGCAACACTCCATTGGGTCGGATCTCGGCCAGCGAAGAGGTCCAACGTAGTTCTATACTTCCATGGAGGCGGCTACAATCTCCCAGCGAGTCCCGAACATGTCGTCTTCGCCGCGCTGTGCGCCTCGGAAGCGAACTCCTCTCTGGCCATGTTGGAATATACTCTGGCTCCTGAAGGACATTTCCCTACCCAACTGATTCAGGCCGCGGAAGCTCTGAAGCACATTCTCACTATTACTCCGCCGTCGAGAATCTTCATAGCTGGCGACTCCGCGGGAGCTCACTTGTCACTGTCCCTCCTTTCCCATATCATGCACCCCTTGCCAGGAGTTACACCGATCAAGCTATCCGAAGACCTTGGTGGCATTTGCCCCATGAGTCCGTTCCTAAGCTTCGACTACAACAAGGAGAGTTATGACTACAATGCAGAACGGGATTATCTGTCTCTGTCCCAAGTAAAGGAGTTCAATGCGAGTTTCAAGAAGCCTGGACTCACCGACGAAGAAGCGTTGAAGGATCCGGCATTGTCTCTTGGTGATGCGCCCGCTGGATGGTGGAAGAATTGCCCTGTTGACAGAGTTCTGCTTACAATGGGAGCTTGGGAAGTGTTTCTTGACGATTGCAAAGCGTTCGGGGAGAGATTGCAGAGCGAGGCGAGTCCAAAGACAATGGTCGAGGTTGTGATTGGTAGAAAGGAAGTTCATGCTCCTTGCCTACAAGATACATTCTTGAAACGAAAAGATGGAGATTCGTGGAACGCGGTAATGAATTGGATGAGCTTTTGAATGCTCTAACAGCTGTACAATTGCACGTAGTATTGATTGTATTAGGAATTGAAATGATTTTTGTACTCAACCAATAAAACCACTTTCCCTGGTTCTCGGATTCTCACCCGAAAACAAGCTTTTTATTTCCGAGGCTCAAACTCTGCGATTAAGTGTCAGCAAATCGGACTGATGAAGAGAGACTTCCAGCTTCGTTAGGACGCGTGGATTTTCTCCGTCGCGTTATAGAACAATTTAGAGCATTTTCAACTGGGCCAAGGAGATGTTGAGATTAGAAAGGAGGTGTCGTGCCGAGGTCCTCTAATTATTTTCAGGTAGCCTATCATCGCCCTTAACACGCTACACTTCGTGACGAAGCGGCGAACACAGCCCCTATTGGACAGTGGAGTTGCCTCAGGGGCGGGAGCTAGATTAGCGAATTCAGGGGACGACGGAGATTACATCTTCCCCCCCTTCATCCACTCATCCTTCTTCTCTTCTTCCACATCTTCTTCATCTCCGACGACACTTTTTAGGACTTTTTCGTCTGATGTCTTACCCCTTTTGTGCGCCATCAGATGTCACGTCAAGGGTCCAATGCACAGACCGGTTCCTGCATGTATTGACTGCCACCCCGCGAAGGATTCAGATCGTGGTGTTGAAGCTTATTTTGGAAGTTCATATCAAGCTTTATCGGTCCTTCAGACATCGTATCTTGCCTCGGTGATTAAGTCGATAGTTCGATGATCCTCCGCGATCTGAGCAGATCCAAAGTCCGACAGAGCTGACAGCATGTGGGGAAAACCATGGACTTTTGAGCTACTTCACAAACCGAGATCCCGGGACTTGGCTAGTGGCTTGCCGTTGAAAATGTCTCGGGTGAGAGAGGGAGCTCTTCTCGCATATTATTTGCTAACAATTGAATGAAGGCTTCTGTCTTGGAATTTTGCCCCGCCAAAGGCTGAGCCAACTAGAAGCAGAAACACCTCTCGAAACTCTTCACACCCCGCTGGTGCCGAATTCCGCCGCATCCTACTCGATGGCACGGTACCTGCATCATGCAAGGCATGAAAACCGTCTATTCTGTGGCATGGCAAGCTGTGCCGGTCATATGTCGGCGGTGCTATTACTAAGTGCAAGGCCATTCCTTTACCTGTCAAGAGATCGGACGAAGCGCCTACCGGTCCTCATCTGGAAGTCTAGATCCTTTGAACGATAGAGGAGACGTCACCCTGTCTTTTTTATTTGGCCAATGGCATGTTACATCTTCGATATATCCTCCCTGGCACTTCGAACCTAGCTATTCCACGATGGCTAGGCCTGAGATCGTTCTTTGGGTATATATCATCAGCCCTCGCCAAGAATGATCAGCATTCCTCAACGACATCGACAAATCTAGTCACTCACAGTCCTTTCAGAAGATCATCCCAGTAGCAAGTGTTCGGTATATATTCATCGATCTCTCAAGGATCTTGATCTTGCACTGCACGACATTCTTTTTCCTGTTAGATCACACACTCCTTTGACAGATCTGCAATCATGACGACTCTCGATGATGTCCTCGCAATACAGAAGACGAGCAATATTCTTTACCCTCCAACTATCGTCACTCCTTCCACGGAATCTAAAGTCGAAACTGATACTTCGTCTGGCACGTTAAGTATTGGTCTCTATAATTCTACGACCTCAAACACAGTGTATGCCTACATCACTGGGCTTGCAATCAACAACAACAGTGCTCTCTTCCTCCTGGAATCAGATGGGCAGACGGCATATTACCCCACCAATCCTTCCGCGAATGGCTCAGCTTTGTCGGCCAATTGTGCAATCGCTCTCGGTGCTCCTGGAACCACCGTAAATGTCACAATTCCGTTCATTGCGGGAGGTCGCATCTGGTTCTGTGTTGGCAGCACTCTTACCTTCCTCTTGAACCCCAGCACCTCAGGCCCGGGTCTCGTTGAACCATCTGTCAGCAACACTTCAGATCCAAACTACAATCTTTCCTGGGACTTCTGCGAGTTCACGTACAACAGCTCGCAGCTTTACACCAATATCAGCTACGTAGACTTTGTCTGTCTGCCCATATCCCTGACTTTAACGTCTACAACCGGCTCGACCCAGCATGTCAGCGGGATGGCATCCGATGGACTCAACACAGTCTGCAGCAATCTCATCGCTCAGAACGCCTCTGACGGAGCAGGCTGGGATCAACTCGTCATAACTAGCAATGGATCTAATCTTCGAGCTCTTTCGCCGTCGAACGGCATAGTCTTCAACCCCAACCTCTTCTCAACATACTGGACTTCCTACATTGATGCTGTCTGGGCTCAATACGTCTCCGCCCCCATTACAGTCGACACTCAAACTTCATGGGGCACCTTCACGGCCTACACATCCAACGACCGCACCTCACTTGCCTTCACCAATCTTGGCTCCTTCACTAAACCCTCTGCATCAGATATCTTCGGCGCCAATTCCGGAGCATTCGCACCACAAGCTACCAATACGGCTCAGCTACTCAACATAGGCGCACGACTCGATGCCGCGTTCAATCGTAGCACGTTGTTAATTGATGCTGATCAACCTGATAATGAGGTCGTCAGTACCTACTATCAGAACAGCATCACTAATCACTACGCGAGGATTGTTCATGCGGCAAATCTAGATGGAAGAGGATACTGTTTTCCCTACGACGATGTTGGACCAGATGGAGGGGCAGACCAAAGTGGGTTTGTGAGTGACGGAACACCGGCCAATCTGCTTGTTACTGTAGGTGGAGGCAATGCCTTTGCTCGGAGAGAGGTCCAGCAGCCGACAGGGAAGGCGATGAAGAGAAGCTTGAGTTGGGAAGACGACGTCAAGGCACTAGTGACTGTTGAAGAAGATACGGATAGAGACTTGGAGAAGGGACTACATCCGAAACTGCTGAATGAGAATGCCTCTTCTTCAGAGGCGAAGAGATTCAAGCTTCCGGCGATCGTGGAGCGATTCGTAGGCCCACAACTTGCTGTAAGTCTATTTCCTAGCTATATCTAACCCCTTTACTGACCCTTTTCAGAAGCTCCAAGCATCACCTTTTTACATGCAACGAGTCGCACGATTGATCGCGCTCATCAGCCAGCTATTACTATCCATCCTCTCTCTGTCGATACGCACTATAGTCTCTCGAGTTTTCATCGTCGTTTTCTTCTTGCTGTTCTACTTCCTCGGTCTTTTGCCACATGGCACAAATGGCGAGACGCAAAGAAGGGTTCTGGAATCGATGGCTGCGGCAAGTGGGAATGGGACGACGCTTGTATGAGGTTGTTCATATATAAAAGCCTTCGCTTCGTTGTTTATACTTGTTGGTTACGCTTTTTGTAATTATGTATTGATATGTATTAATGGCAGATTTTCAAGACTATTTCGAAGTCTATTTATTGTGCATGGCCAACCAAGGTACACGCAGGATGGTTTGGAAACACGTCCTAGATTAAAACAGGTACCGAGGTGATGAGCAACGTCAGGTTGTTCCTGTATGTTCCTTGGATAGTGACTAACTTTTAAAGGACAGCCGATAGTTCTATGGCTTCACATAGTACATTTTGACGAAAGCAAATATCACAGAAACTAAAGAGAGAATCAATCAACGCTAATAAGCTCGCCTCTTGGGCGACTAAGTGAGCCCAAGGGTTGGACACCGCAGTATAAATTACTATCTCCGGTATGCACATTGGCATGAGTGGCGTTCCTGAGCAGGTTGCACAGCATTAACGGAACTACCTGACAGATTATAACGGTCGGCAAGCGAAGAACAAAGACATTTTGCAATCGTGCTTTCAGGCGATCGGAGTATGTCTCTCCCTGGCATGCGCTTGAGTTTGCGCTGAGCTAGTAGGTCTGGCTGGGGTCTCTCGTCATTGAAAGGCTCATCTTGTATTGGACGAAATGATCCTTTTGGAAATCCAGTGACCTTTGATAGGGCTGGCATGTCTCTTGACGACAAGCTCTGTGTATCTAAAGCGGCCAAGAGTTCTGACTGAATATTTGATGTATGGGAGGGCCGCTGCGCATTCTCGACGGGCGCCTCACCTGGCTTCACGTCAGGTTCGACATTTGGGCAAATGGTCGTTGGGCGTCCTGGATTTTCGTTGGAGTTTGTCTCCAGCTTTTCCTTGTGGTTATCTAGCAGTATGGGGCGCTCGCCCTGTCGCATTGTATCACGACTCGATGAGGCAAGATTATGAAATCTGTCAGCGTTTTGAAGCTATTCTAAGGACGTCATCATTGGGCCCGGATCATACCTGATCTCTCGTCACTTCTGCTACCAATGACCTAACTTTCGCAGGCTTCCTGACTTTTGACGAGTCGGCGAAGATGTAAGCTCCTTTTGCGAAGCCACGAACTTTTTGAAGAAGGGCTTTCTGATGGCCTGACGGAGCTTCCGATTTCAACAGTTGCAGATGGCTGCATCGCTTCATGTTGCTACATACATTCGCTTGTTGAAAGGTCCACGACACGTTGTCCGCAAGCTTAGGATTGTTCTTGCGGTTGTGTCTCAAAAGTATCTCAAGTATACACGTACCAGTAGCAGCAAGATATCTGTTTCCGGGGGGAACCGAGTCCCATCCAGGGCAGAGTTCCCTCGTTGAAGATGGAACAATAACTTGCCCAAGGTTTTTGCAGAAGAGGACGATAAAAGGCGATTCTTCAGCAAAATGTGCCCATGGAGTTGAGACATTGGCTATCTTGACTGGCATTGATGACTGTCTCATAGCCACATCAACAAGCTCTGCTCCAATTATCGACTCTGGTGCAACGTCGTGGCGTCCTCGTAGATTTTACGAAGTTGATCGCAAACATAGCGGAAGTGGTAACACATTTCTTTGACCGCCTTCGAAACTCTCTTTATCGAAAGTTGTAGATTGCAAGGCGCCTCTCTATTGACGCCTACGGAAGTGAGCTGGGTAGCTTCAGGTATATCTTCAATCTCCAAAAATCGCGTTAGTGTTTTGAAAGCAGCTTGACCCGCATCGTGTGCCTGTGAGGACAGTAATTCGGAGGGCAGAACCTCGAAACACTGTAGTTGCCTCAGGAGAAATATCTGTAATAGATATAAGAGCATAACGCTCTGAGGGATTAACCATCCAATATCGTCATCATCGTCCCATACAATGACATGATTTCTAACGCCGTTACGAATGTCAATCATTGCGGCATCCTTGTCCAAGGGTTCAATGCCAGATATCCCGGAAGGAACTGCCGATCGAGTTCCTGAGATAGTGGCCGATAGAGCTGCGATACCGTGTATTCCAAATCCTATTCCCCCGCCGTAGCTTTTTAAGCATCTCGTAGGTTGATTGTGGGGGGCCCCAGAAATATCTACATTCAACGCGAAACAGTCCCGTGTCCCAAGGAGGATGTGTGCTTCATTCGTCCACCCCAAAAATACTCGCGTGGTGGCTAGCTTCTCGGAATCAAGTTCCCTGTACCAGTCCTTGTGAGTCCTCATTACCATACGAGGAAGGACGAACTCTGGCGCCTCCTCTCCGGAATGAGACGTTGGTGTCTTCAATTCCATGTGCTACTGAATTGCATCATCTCCTGGCAGTCTCTTAACCGGGTATAGCAAAGTTACCAAGCCGTCAAGGACTAGGCCTCCTTCAACTTCCACAAATGCTTGAGACTGTGCTAGACCGGCTAAATCCGGAAATGATATCTCCAAACCTCTCCCTTCACCACGAAGGGAAATCGGAAATCCACTAGCCATGACTGCACTTTTAAAGAGTGGGCACCAGCATGAACTCAAACCAACAACAGTATCCAGAATATGCGGAGATAGTGATATTTGCCACGGTGTTGCACCATCATTATTACCGGCAACGATAGTACGCGAGGCTGATATACCATTATGGGTTGATTGTCGAAGCGCGGCGCACAGCCAAGAAAAAGCTGCGGCGATCTGACATTGTTCTTCGTACGTCGCCGTTGATTTTACATAGGCTATGGATTGGTCCTTGTCCCGAGAATCACCCCCTTCAAAACACATCTCGAGCAAAACCTTATCTGTTGAAATGGAAACTGCACCACACTCATTAGCTATTGATCATTTCTACATTGTTATGTTCGTCTCCACCTTGTTCGGAAGATCCCAGTAGTTTTTCTACAGCTTCCAGAAGAAAAGGCCCAAGGACTGGCCAGTGAGATGTGAGGTAGTGGCGACAGGAAGTTTCCTGAGCATTGATTAGATCGCCCTCCCGAACTGAACTCATCTCGCCAGTTATTGTAAGAACACCACCCAGCTGTTGTCCTCCAGGAAAGTTCTTTCGAATAAAACCAGGTACTTCCCACTTAATTTGATATAATAGCTGATGGGGAGATTGTCGTGAATGTGACAGGGGCCAAGCATTTAGCATAGCTTTCCGTACAGGATCAGGGTGTACAAATAGTCTGAAGCTATCTTTGAGAACCGCAAGAGCATCGGAATTGTGCAAGAAGCTTTCCAGGTTTTCATAATGAGTCCCTTTATCAATTAGCCCAACCGGCAACTCTTCCTCCTCAGCTAGGTTTTCCCGACCACAACATCTTCAACGATATCTTGCGGAGGAGCCCAAGACTCTGTGTGGATGATCTCATCAGTCTGTGGAACCACCTTAGTTCCAAAAGAGTGTGCGGTATCTCTTGCAAGGTGCTTTACGTAGCGCGCAGCTGCCTTTTCGTCGGAGGTAGAAGCTTGATTGCGAAGGCGAGCGGAATAGAGTAACAGGGATTTTCTAAGGTTATTCTCACACCGGTCGGGTGTCGTTTTTTACATCCCATCCCGAATTAGGCCCTGTAGTTCGTAATCAAGCCATGAAAGCGATAAAAGTTTCTCGCTATTGTTGAAATCCTTCGGGATAGGATATGAAGACAGTCCAGTGGCGGAAGTGGACGCGACAGAGATGAGTGACTGGTTAGCGCTACTAAGTGAATCCACTGAAGATGACGGCGATACGTTCCAAACACGCAGGTTCTACCGCTTTTATCACAATTCATCATGCTTCGGTCGCTTGTTGACCAAATCCCTTACCTCGTACGGCAGATAAGCTTGCTCTGGACCTCCCCAATTTGCAGGCAAGTCTGGCCTCTTCTCCCAAATAGCTGTAGATGGAATTTCAGCTTTCAACTGTTCCTTCACAACATCAACTTGTTCCATCACCCTCATAAGATTCTCACCCATGACACCATACAGCTCAGTGTCGTTCCAGCCTCGAGATAAGAGTTCCACAATCTATAGGAAATTAGTTTGAAGTGTTCAGGAAAGGAAGAAGAATTGGCAGCTTACCAAGTTAGGATACTTGCTTGCATCTTCCAATCCAATAACTCCTGCATACATCCCATCGAAATCGGAAGCAATACCGACATGGTTCCTTCCTACAATCGAGGCAATATGTTCAATATGATCCGCAACTCTCGACACATTCGCAGTTTCTGGAGTCGGTCCAATAAACACAGGATAGAACACGGAGAGACTGCAAACGAATCAGCAATTTGAATTTTGTCGACTCAGACACTCACATAATCCCCGGATTCTTGCCTTCACCATCCCCAATCAGACTCAAAATGTCATCCGGCACATTCCTCGGATGATCTTGCAGCGCCCTGGCCCCAGCATGCGTCCAAACAACAGGCGCTTTCGACAACTGGATGGCATCTCTCATGGTCTGATCAGAAGTATGACTCAAATCAACCATAACGCCCAACCTATTCAACTCCCTCACCAACTCCTTCCCAAATTCCGTCAAGCCTGGACCATGATTAGAAGCCTCCATAGGCCCACCGCCTCCATTCGACGCCGCAAAGGAAGTATGACACGTATGCGTCAACGTCAAATACTTAACCCCCATCTCAGCAAACAACCTCACAGTCGACAACGAATTGCCCAGAAAATGCGTCCCTTCCATCCCAATCAGACTAGCAATCTTGCCAGCATGGAAAGCAGACTTGATATCCTTGCTCGCATGCGCATACTGCAAATGCTCCGGATGCTGCTCAATCATCCGTTTAATGATATCCAGCACTTCAAGCGAGTCTCGGAGTCCCTCAGTCATGCCGAGGAAGTTGGGACCGTAGTCCGCGCCGACGAAATCTGCGCACGGCGCCCAGACGGTGAAGAATGCGCCGCCGAGGTGCCCGGTGCGCATTTTGGGGATGTCGACGTGGCCTGGGAGTGATGTTGCTAGGTTGGGGAGAACGGAGAGGGGGTTGCGGTCTAGGGCGGCGTTAGCGAGGAGGGGAAAGGGGGGTAAGGTGATACGGTGCGGAGGAAAGAGGGTTGTGTAACGTACCTAGACCGCGGATTATCTGGGGGAGGTCGACGTGTGTGTCGATTAGGGGACTTTCGGACATCAGTTTGATGGCTTTGGCGTAGAGGGCATCTGTGTCGGTGTCTGCGAGAGTGAGTGTTGGGCGATGGCTCAACGCCAATGCAGCGATGAGAGTTGTTAGTCCCTTCATTGTGCTTCGTTTAACGATCGATGTAGATATTTCTTAGATTATCCAAAGAAAGATAAACATGAAGTCACACAATTATATACTTTCTAGACAGCCGATATCCGAAAGTGGGATTATGGGGGTGCTAAGAGAAGTGATTGGATGAGAGGACTTGAATCAAATGTCAGACTTGGCATTGAACTTTCGTCCCATTTCTAGAAGCTGTTCGTTAATGAAAAGGAAAGATAGGGAGACAACTGAGGGAAAGCTTCTCCATAATACAAGATCGACACGGCAATGCAGAATGTAAAGTACTAGGCCTATATATCCCACTAACTTCACACCACTTCCACCAAATCTACTTGGCAGAATGCCCGGGATTTTTAATCAAGCAGTAATGAGAATCATGGCGCTGATTGAGATCATTTTTTGATCTCGTCGAAGGCCTTCTACCCCTTCCTCATTTCTGATTACAGAATCCAATCTGTGGCCCTAGGCTTTGACGCTTGCAATAGTGATACAAAAAAGGCTAGGACTTTGACGATTAGGACCATTCCCGGTAAAGTGCTCTTCACAGATGACATTCACTACTTTAGCGTTGTTGAAAGCTTGTCACTTGAAGTTGAGGCAGTAGGTGAAGTGAGAAGGCAGGCGCATGCGGAGCTAATCCTGCTTGGTGGGATGGTAGCAAGATATGAAGGTGCTGTAATGACAGTGCTGGACAGTTGTGCAGTTGAAGTTGGCGAGGCACAAGGACCCTAAGATTATGATTTAGCCATCTTCTCAATTCTGTTCAACAGTTGGCACCTACTAGAAGATAATTCGGGCAACTTTTATCGTACGAAAAGTAGCCAGATCCTAGAGATAACTCAACATTTCCAGAAACACTTGTCGAGAAGAGATTGCAGTAACGAGATCCATTGAGTTGAACCTGAAACGACATGCAATTCCAATCTGCTAAGCATGACAGGTGGCAGTGGACTGGTGTCTTGTTGAAGATTTGAATGATGAGATACGAATCAAATCCATACGATTCGAGGCCGCATGATAGGGAAGTGTTCGAAGCCTGGTTTTCACAGACCGTTGAGGTCGCAGTCGAGGTCAGTCCGGGCAATTGCGATATCTGTGATACATTCGAGAGTGGTGGACTTGTAACGGCAGGTTGCATGTAAGATGAGCAGAAAGAGTTCGCTCCTCCACTCGTGCTATGTCAATGTCATGTGCAGGTAAAATAGAAAGCCTGGACCTACTGGTTTCGCAAAGCTCGAAGAACATCATCTGAATTGCAAACTGATTATCGGTAAGTCTCAATGCCAGCTCAAGGCGTGTGACATTGCTCACTTAGAGGTTTAGAGGAGGGTGGAGATCCAGGGAGAACACCATTTGATGGATTTAATGTAGCATGACAAGAAAGGACTAAAGCTGCAATTGTAGCAGAAAAAAACACGAACTTCATGATGAGAAAAGTTACAGCATCCTTGGTTGGAACAGAGTCATACGCTCAAGACGAACACTTGCCTTTATATCGCCAACTGAGCATCAGGTTCTCCATGATGCTCGCCAACTAATATCTGCTCAATCTGCCGTATAGTACTTTGTGTTTTACAACTTCTCGTAGACACGCTCAAAGTAACTAGGTCCGAGATGGTAAGCCTCAATCGATAGCTTGGTGTAATGATAGTATTCTTAGAACGGCGAAACAGCGAGTACCACAATGTGCTGCAGGGGAAACTTTCCGGTAACACTGCAACACGACGAAGGACAAGAACAGCATAGGAACGTACGTGATGGAAATTGCATCATAGAATGACATAGATCAGATGAAACGAAGCTCAGCTGTGGAAATGGACAGACTGGCATACTAATATATGCACTTTATGCCACCTGCCACTCCACGAACATGACGGAAGATACAAGATCGGACATGTTGATAAGGTGCTCCCGCTTTGCTCCTTATCAAGTCTAGATCTCAAACTGATCACTTGAGGAGTAAGGGCTATTGCAATGGCTACTAGTACTTGGAAGTGCTGCAAGGGAAAGAAAGCGGTAGCGGTGTTGCTGGAGATGATACGAGCGCTAAATCTAGAGCATCTAGCGTGTACCCCGCCTACAGCTGTCCCTCCAAATTCAGCCGGGTGGCGCTCAAAAGTCTCGCCGAGACCTCGAACTTCAGCAGAAGAAACGAAGCCTAACAATTCAACCAACAACTCCACGAGTGACATTTATCCCGCGGTCAGGATAGCGGGACGATACTAAATTCCATCACATCAGACCACGCCCGCGGGCACTCTCGCATCGAGGCGTTGAACCTCCTGCGGCATCGTCGATCCATTTCCAGCTCTCCCAGACCTCACCAAATCTCGATCATACCCCGCCGATACAGCTTCAGTCTGCCCCAATCCCCTCCTCGGCAGCATCTGCGGCACATAGGGCTGCGCAGCCAAGGAGGACATACAGTGTCTTCACCGTGTTACGTACCACAACACTCTCCCCACCCACCGCCAATCAGCGAGATACCGCGGGGAACATTTGGAAGAGACAAGGCTAGCCGCAGAGGCGACGGCTCTGTACCGATTCACCGTGCAAAGTAATATATGCACCCCATCTTCTGGCCACCCTCCACTGGACGCCTCTCCTGCCGCATACATTGACCTCATAAGCTCGGTGCTTCTCGCGGTCACAGCTCATTGGCAAGGGTTTGCATGTTGGACCAAGAGGGTGGGAGTGAAGCCTGACCTGCGAAACCTGCAGGAAAGCGGCAGCTTACGGGAGTCCACTACATACATACCACAATTCAAGACCCAGGACACATCTCGAGATCTCCTTCCGAAGAGCCGACACACTCGAAAGTTACATCCCACAGTAGTGACCATCTGCGACGGCACTCTGATGATCACGGCAGATTCAACGCGGCTATCAACATGTCTACCTCGAGCGCAAGGACGTCTGTCTCTTCTACAGAGCTGACGGGAGCAGGTACGTGTGTCGTACCAGTTGGATTTCATATGCTGATCAATTGACAGCAAAATTGGAGGAGGTGACGAGACTTATGGACAAGCTGGCATCGGACCTGCAGCATATCAACCTTCTACCACATCGTAAGCTATATCCGTAGCTAACAAGGTTCCGCCATTGACATCATTAGAACGAGATGCTTTGCTGGAACAAGTCAAAGTCTATGGACGTGATCCTAATAACTCGGACCCAATATTCACCAAGGAAGCAGGTCGTGTGCTCCAATCATGCCGAGAGATGCTAACGTGAACAGGGCATTGAGACATTAACCCGACATGCCTTCAACAGTCCCTCTTTAACAACTTCACGAAATGCCCTACGATGTCTGGCGAACGCGCTCCTCCTTCGAGAAAAGACGAGACAGATATTCGTGGACTTGGGATACGAGCAGAAGGCTTGCAATAAGTTGAAGAACGACAGTAGGGATGACGAGTTTCTGGTCTCGCGCATAATCTTCCTCACAACCTATGGCACGAAAATCGACATCGAAAAGCTCATTGACCAATACCACCTGGCGGAGAATATCTGCTTGAACATCAGCAGACATGCGAAACAATTCGTCACCAAGCAGAAGAAGGTCAGGGAATTGGATCCAATGGAAGATATGGCCTTGATCGAGACACTGAAGCTTATGTTCAATCTTACACACTTCTGTCCGCAACGAGCTGCAGCCTTCTCTCCTGCCCTCCAAAGCCTGATCATCATCATGACAAAACGAGCAATCTCGAGCAGCAAGCCTCTTGAACCTCCGATCGGCCCTCTGGTTAATTCATTATTGAATATTGATCTAGAAAACAAAGACAACAAGTCGACCCTCTATCCCAAAGCCACCCCAACCATCACTGTGGACCGATTGATTGAGATATTAGACAAGAGCATACGAGCGTACCAGGACGAGGAGCTGGAGCAGAATGTCTCGCCGCTCCTGACATTGCTACGAAAAGTGTACGAGATTGCACCAAAGGAAGTCCAGGAGCATACCCAACGAGCACTTCTACCATCAGCGGAGGACAGGAAGCAAATTCTTGGAAGAGGAACTACACTACCATCACGTCTTCTCCGACTCTCAAGTAACCCTACCACACCGCAGGTTCGAGAATCTATATCATCTCTCCTCTTCGAGTTGTCTGGCAAAGACGCCAAGATCTTTGTGCAGAATGTTGGATATGGATTTGCGTCTGGTTTCCTCTTCCAACACAATGTCCCAGTACCGGAGAATGCGTTAGAGGCGTGGAGTACCAGTGATAGCGATAGTACACATGCTCGAGCAAGTCAGGATTCGAAGCAAGGTCTTCTTGGCAAGATTAATCCTGTCACTGGACAATTCTTAGAAAACGAGACCAACGTGGAGATGCCGGAGATGACCCAGGATGAGAAGGAGCGAGAAGCCGAGAAATTGTTTGTCCTATTCGAGAGGTATGCTATTGTACGTCTGTTGGTTGACCATACTAACTTATTCCAAGACTCAAGAAGACTGGTATTATGAACGTGAAGAATCCAGTTGAAACAGCTCTCAACGAGGGTCGCTTTCTCGAGCTTGAGGATGATGCAGAGTCCGAATGACCAGTCAATTCTCAGCACATATGGCGTGGTATTCTCTCAGGCAAAATGTGGGCGGTCATACATCTCGGCATCTTGAGCATTGGAGAAGGCGTTGTTATGGGTGTTCGGTATTTGAAAATGGTGGAGTTCATATCCAAGTCAGCATCACTGCGTTATGGAGGACATCTGAATTGGAGATTCCTTCTCATTGAATGTTCGGATTATACCTGATCATTACCTCTTTCCATTTTCATGCAAGTGCAGATTCAGAGGAGGGTGAGTATAACTCTCAATGTTCTCATGACAAAGGCACTATATGCAATACGTTTTGCTAAGCCGCGAATATTCCATAAGTCTCTAATCTCCCCATTTCACGTTGCATCTCTTTTCCTTCTGCCATAAAAACTGCCTACTCGCTGGTACAAGCTTGCTCGTATCCCGCAGTGCACGAGACCCAACAATCAGCCTCCTATACCGATTCCCACCCGCCCTCCAACTCTCATCCGCACCACTACGTCGGTCTACATTTTGTCGCAGCACAATACCCACTACAGCAATCCAACAAATAGCAACCCCCAATATTCGAACATCACTCGCACTGCGCATAAACCGGCAAACACGTGCCATTCGATGCCGTCGGCTCACACGCCACATAACTAATAGTCGCCGGAGGACCAACCGCGATCTCGTTCCCGTTGCCTATAGAAGTGAGGACGGGGTTCTCGGCAGTTCCGGCTGGAAGGTCGTAGTAGAAATTGCAACCCCAGAGCGCGGAGAAGGTCCCAGGGTCGATGAGAGAGACGCTTAGAGCGTTGTCTAGGTGGGTGGTGTTAGTCAGGCTTGAAGCTGGGAGGGGAAAGGGACGAACTTGTGGGGTAAGTTGATCCGTCGGCTGGGAAGGAGAGTTCGTAGCTGGCTGGTCCGCCGTAGAAGGTGAATGTCAGTTGTTCGTAGACGAAGTCTCGCTTTGCGCTCATTTCTGGCCCAAGTGGAGAGGAGGAGGCGATACCGAGGATGGTGACGAGGGGTAGGAGTGTGAATCTCATTTTATTGGTTGTTTGCTGTTTGCTGTTTGCTGTTTGCTTTTTGCTCTGTTTACTGCAAGTTTTATGGCTGATCGTGGGATACTTTTCAAGGCGCGGGAGAGGATCATTATATAGTTCTTGATAGGCTTGGAGATGGAATGCTGAGCAGTAGCTTACTTAGTGATGAGCACAAGTAGTACTTGATTTTAGCTGGCATCTCCGGCTTCTTGCAGACACGAAGCTCTCCTGATTGACTCTTCAGCCTGAATGTTGAAAGATGTCTTACCAAGTGCTGCAGAGCTCGTGTTGAGCCGTTTCTGTGATGGTTGAGAATTTTGAGATTGGTCACATGGGAGGCATACGAGTTTGTGTAATTGTGGCGGGTAGGGCTGAAATATCGAGGCGTACTGTGCGATTGCAAGATGAAATGCCAATTGGACAGTAGGATTTGAGTGAGCTGCTGTGATGTTGACAGCCGTTTCGTGGCGCTACTATTGTTGAAGTGGTTCGAGTGAGATGATGGTGGTGTTACAGTAAAGTTGTCATGTCGGAAGCATTATGTCTTGCATGCTTGTATTCGCCTCTCTACCAATGCACCGCAGATTGTAAATCGATCTAAGTTTCAATATCAAGCTACGTTTTGATTGGTCTTGTGTATGAAGTTTTGCATTTATTGCCACCTAATTCAAGGACTTCAAAGCTGTCCGACATCTCAAAGAAGACTTGACGAAGATATTCACACTATTGGCAATCAAAAAATCTGTTTTAAACCAGCAAGAAGTCTTCTATCTTAGCGCCCATCCTTGTATATGCGTCAGATGTAAGTAAATATCCATTCTCAACACACCGAACATAGCTGCAAGGCGCTTGATCTGGCCCTTCAAAAAGAGGCAGGTCGTTCAACCTAGGATCAGACCAACTTGTCTCGCCAGTATTCTTGTTGAAAAAGTGTTGAATATAGCAGCCATGATCGTAAGAATACTTGTAAACCAGTCGATAGAGCTCAGGCACTGGGCCCAGCAGAGCCTCGCTTCCCACAAGTCCCAGAACGAAGCATTCGCCCACTACTTGGTACCAGCCTTGGCTGGTTCGTCGCAATAACATCGGCGACGCGCATCCCAGTAGGACGCAAACGACATCGCCTTTCTCTGCCCCAGGTGGACCTAGGCCTATGTAGCCTTCCTCTGACGTGAAGAAAGATCTTCCAGTAAGCATGCTGAAGGCGCCCCTGAGAAACTCCAGCGGAAGCTTTTGTGGGTCGCAATTGATGTCTTTCAATACATCTGGGGTTTCGAGGAGGTATTTCACAAAATTGCTTGCCTCTGTCAAGCCTGCGTCCTCGGTCAACGGTGCATCCTTTGCCTTCGGAGATGAAGCCCAGTTCACTAGCAATGTACCGCATATGGTCAAGCAGTAGGCGCTCAGTAGGCTCTGACCATTGATATATCTGCTGTCAATAAGTCTGGCGGAGCCAACCGCAAAAGTTCGTCAAAAATGGAGCAATCGTCCAGAATTCTCGCTATCTTGGCATCGTTGACCGTAGCTGCATGAACACCAGCAGCTCGCAAGATACCACAACCTAGGTACTGAGCATCAACTATGGAAATTGAAGCGGCCAGCTTCCAATCAAACGGCCTTGGGAAATAGTCGCGCGAAAAGTCTGGAACCCAAGATGGTGTGTCCTTCCGCTTCTCATTAAGATCACACATGGACAATAATCTCAGAAGACCCCTCCTTCAAAATATTTCACAACTAGATCCTGGTACACATAACCAGTTGTACGCGTATAGTCGGGTTTGATACTGATGGCTGCTTCTTCTTTTGTTCGAATGCTTAAAAGTGCGTAGATCTTGTCCCTTGGGTCAGAGCATTGGCAACCGCGGGTCCAACGTACAAGATGATCGAAAAGGAGGGGAGAGGTCTTCGTCACATACGACCCGGATAATTTTGAGAAGCTCGGCTAGACTGCCAGGAATGTTTGAGAGTCGGCGCTTTCTTGCAAGACAGAAGATTGCCGCTCCAAAGGCCTTCCATGAAATCGAGGCATATCCACAAATCAGAACAGAATTGGAATTAGCATGTCGAGCTTCTTGCCAGATCCACAGCCGTCCGAACCAAGCTCGTTGGAATAATGCCTTCAACACAATATAGTCCGAGGCTTTGTATGGGAGAGCTATCGTCTTGTCTGCCCATTGAAGATTGGCTTTTGGACCAGATGGACTGATTGTCCTCGAAGTCCAATCAACCGCAATGTTTGATCCTATGTCCTTCAGCATGTTGATAGCTAGTGTGCTACCATCACGTTCTGGACCAAGCCAAATAACCACTCTGTGCGCAAATGTATAGATGTCACCCATCCTTGTCACCTGGCTGCTGCGCTCTTCGAGGGTACTCTGGTCGATGCATATGGCGTCTATCCACATGGTTCTAGCCTGGTTCTCGAGCCGAAGATATGGCAAGGCTTCAGCTAAATTCCGGGTGACTTTCAACGTAGCTTCTTCAGGCCCAACTAAAATATCCACTGGGTTCTCTTGTGAGCCCCAAGTATAAGACAGTACTTCGAAGAATGGTGGGTTATGGACTGAGAATGAAACATTGGTGATTAGAATGCGGATGTCTGAGGCGAATCGTCCAGGCAGCAAAGTCAAGAGCCTTACTTCACCACCGTTTTTGTCCAGGGGATGATAGTGAAATGGAACCATCTTCAATTGAAGTTTCGGGAGTTAATGGAAATTTATAAGAGCATACTCTGCTGTCGCTCTTTTGAGTAAATACACAAGAAACATACATTGTGTGAAGATTGGAGCCTCGTTGCCGCTTTTTGGTGGCTGAGCTGCTGCATCATCAGCTGATTAGCGCCATGTCACAGTCACACTGCAGATCTTTTATATCTTCTCAGCTGCATCCAAAGTAGCCTCATCAGCAAAGTGTCCAAGAACGAAAACCCTGATACTTTTGTTTAGTCTTGTCACGAATGTGGTTATAAATCTGATTTTCCCTCCACCCTGAAATCGGCAAACAGCTAGCCTTCTTTGCGGTCGTGCCTCTTAAATAACTTGTAGCTCACAACGCAGTATCATAAGAAGACGAATGTAGACAGCGGTTACCGTCTTTTGAATCGAAGTTGTTACAACAAAGACTCGAAAATTTTGGACACCTAAACATTACATAGGAGATGTCCTCGTACTCGCTTATCCAAGACTTGCCTTCGAGCTTCAAGCAGAAGTTTCATCTGATCTCTACGACTGATTAGATGACTAGTGCGTTGGGAATGACCAGCAGCAAGTAAAGAGTTCTTGTCCCTACTGACTGTCCGGATGAACTACACGAATTGTACCAATTACGATGTACCAAGTCGGCAGTCGGCACCATTGATAGCTCTCGAGCTCTCGGCTAAGCGATGCCTAAGGTGGACGTGCGGAAGGTGACTTCGGCAGCTGCCCCCCTATCCCATTCTCGCTAATGATATAGCCAAGAGAGAACGCGTGTACTTTCCCAGCGCTTTCCGCGAAAATACAACTCATAGTTGCTAAGATAAGTCCCATAGTCGCGCCAGAATGTCAATCCATCAAAATTCATTATTTGAAGCATGGGGTGTACCTCAGATCGGCAGCAAATCCAGGGTTCGGTAAAATAGCCGAGGCGCACTGAATATATCTGCAACTCCCGAGTGGGCTTCGTGACGAAGTCGCTCAAAAATAGATCCGTTTATCCTTGGTTGTAACAAGTTTTACAATCGTCGTGCGTCAGTACCTTAAAGAAAACAAATATTGCGGTTCCTTTCTCTCCACCGCGGCCGAGGTGTTCTTCCAAATGATATGTGATACATTATCATGAAGTTCAACCATCTTGGCGTAATTTCCATCAGTACATAATATTTTGTCCCTCCCTACAATGTTACTCTCACTTTACTTTGTCCCTCTATTCCTTCTAATAGACAGAATGCTTTCTAAAGGGGGAGAGCGTCGTCAGATCGACGCCTTACCATCGACCGTTCGGTCTCGGGAGATGAAAGTGCTGATGCTAGGAGGACCACGTACAGGAACATCCGGTATATCACCTCTGCTTAGATACTCCAGAACATGTTTTCATCTAATATACACTAGCTCTCTTCGCAGCTTTGTCATATCTGGGATTCAAGCCATACCATCATGCGGCTGTCGGAACAAGCCCCGAACTTATAACCCGCGACTACAAACTTTGGAGCGAAGCAATATGCGCAAAGTTTATGGGACAGGGAACACCCTATGGGAGAGAGGAGTTCGATAAGATGTTAGGGGACTACGATGTTGGTTACTCTTCCTTCCCCACTCTCACACCTATCTTTTGAGTTTCCAGCAAAGATCCAATCTAACAAGATATCAGGCAGTTGGCGATGTTCCCCCCTCGCTTTTTGTAGAAGATCTCCTACAGGCTTACCCAGACGCTAAAGTGATCCTCACGCTTCGCGATCCGGACTCCTGGTACCAATCATTAAAACGGACCATCATTCACTGGCATCAAAAGCTCTCTTTACGGATCCTCTCCGTTCTGGAGCCCGAAGTCTGTGGGCCACTGATGACATGTATGCCATTAAGTTTGGATATCATCACTGGTGGAGATTGGTCCGATGGAGAGAAAGCCAAACAGTGGTACGCAGAACACTACGAGAAAGTGAGACGGTTGGTACCGAAAGAAAAGCTGTTGGAGTTTGGTCCGGACTTTCAGTGGGAACCTTTGTGCAAGTTCTTGAGTGTTGAACTTCCGCCGCCAATGTACCCGAGGATTAATTCGGTCGCGGAATGCGATTTGGTGTATGGGATGGCGGTCGATATGGCGATATGGACGGTTGCGAAGAAAGCAGCGGTGAGAGTGCTGCCCGTGCTGGCTTTGGGTGTAGGGGGGTATTTTTATAGATCGAGTTTTGGCTGGTAGTGGGGCTATACATTGGTGATATTGTATAGGAGATGGTTTAGTTGTTTGCTGTAAAGCCAGTTTGATCATGCCTCATAGAATAGATCAGAACCTCAAATTTATACAGCATTCGATAATATAAGATGACATTTATCCAAGATGTGGGTAGCATTAGATGTATTCTACGCACTTGCTCAGTGATATGGTAGTCTACAGGGCTTTGATGAGTCCTCTAGATTACATATCATGATATGAACCGATGTCTGCAATCTTGGCATTCAGGATATTCGGCACAAAGCATGTACTTCATCCTCAGGCTCGAGCTGAAGATTCAGGCAGTGTATCGAGGCACAAATCGCAATGTACCCCGCGTTGGCTCGAGGGAATAGTCTTCACTTTGGTTTGTGCAAAAGGTGAAAACTGACTCAAATGCCTAATATGATCTTGAGCCTCTTTCTCACAGAGTCAACATCTAAGTGTAGATATGAACAGAGAGGAACTTAAAACTTTCATCTATAAGAATTAGTTTTGTTTGCATCTATGTCCCCATCGGCAAGACAAAGCTTTTGGAGCAACTTATAACTTCATTGAGATCTCCTTGAGATGAATGATAGTGAGCTGTGTCCAGAGCCAGAAATCAGTTGAAGCACTTTGATATCGTCACGCTTCAGAGGAGCCGAATGCTACACTTGATAGTTCGCTTGGACAAAATTCATGTCCAAGATGTCCGTCATTTGTTAGATATTCGAAAGTCATTAGTGACCAGTAAGCTTTCCTTGGAAGCCCAACCCCCAAATGTCTCTCAAATTCTGGGACACTTAGAGTCATCAGTGCTTTCTTTTCTACGACTCAATCGATGAAACAATCGTGTAACATAGTTTACAGGACATAGAAGCCCTTAAAGAATTGCTTGCCCTGTCCATAATCAGAAGAGCGACCATGAACATCATTGTATGCAGCACCATATTAAAGTCATAGCTGGAGGGAGTTGTCGAAGCTGGTTCGGACATTCTGGAAGATATGGCGGCAGCGAAAGGATGAATTGCAGGTACAGAACCAGAGCAAACTTAATGGTGAGTTTTCCCAGGGTTGTGCGATTAACTTTATACGAAAAAGATTAACAACTACTTAGAATTCTTTGAGTGAAGTGGAGGTAAGAATGTATGAATGCGATGTGATGCCCTCTCCACGTGACCCAAAGTGGGGCCTTCTTAAAGTGGTTTCGCAAAGCATGAATGTACGCGCCGAACGCGTTCCTGGTGAATTTTCTTGACCTCAACCTGGTCTCGCGATTCCCATATCGAGATCGAGACATCACCAATCTATTTCAAGTCCTCCCTTGCGAGGACTGCGAACGACACTTCAACCATAGTCCTGTATCGAACCGGAGTATCTGCGAGCACCGCATCGAGAAATGAGCCTCGATGCAGTGTACAATACATAACGATAGGTAGCCCTCGAGCTCACAGCAGCCATGGTAGAGTCGCCCCCAGGTTCGAAATTACCACCTACCCTCCAAGCCAGACCTCCCACTCCTCCTCGAGAATCCAATCAAAGTAATACGAAATCCTCCTTTGTTGGACGCCTCTTCCGATCCTCTTCCACTCGACGATCTTCTGCTCCGGTTTCTTCAACATACACACCAGATTCCTCTGCAGAATCTCCAACTGCTTCTGGGTCATCTCGAAAGAGAGTAGGATTTTCGGACTGGCCTCAGTACAAAGACCCTCCTACCGTTTCTTTCGACGGGAAGGGTGTCTTGAAGCACCCCGTCCAACCGCTTCCCCCGTCTGCAGAACGCAAACCCTCGAAATCGATATTGAAGGCGCATAATGGGAATCAAGAACAGGACTCACTGAACATAGAAGGTGGCAATACCGCTCTCCTACCGCTGCACCACTACGCAACCTTCTCAAAGATGCTCGAGTCCATTGTGCAGCAGCTGGCTGGGAAAGATAGGAGTTCCAAGGTGGATGCATACCTCATGCTTTGTGGGTCTCTCAAGGCATCAGACAATGTACCAGACCCGAAGGCGTTGAAGGATCAAATGGGCCTCTTGTGCCAGTTCATCGAGCGAGATCTTTCCCAGAAGTTGGACAACGGAAAGCCAGATTCCAGTCTTATGGTCCATGGCTTGACCCTACTTGGTTGCTTTCTCCACAAACCTTCGATCGCCGAATCCCTCCCCGTCGACTTCACCCTTCGATTTGTCGACCATGCAATCAGAGTACTTGACGATGGCTCCATGTCGAAAGAGGTCACGAAGCATTTGATGTTCATGCTGGCACAACAAAATTTCTCGACAAAAGTAATGAACCAGGATCGCGTGGGAAAGCTGATCGCAGCTCTTCACACCATCGAGGACAGGATCAAAGGCAAGAGTATTGTTCACAGTCGACTGCAGATCTACCGTACACTTCTTCGACAGTCCCGCAATCATATGTTGGTCCACACGGTATGGATTGAAGATCTGTTGAGCGATATGCTCAGTAGCCTCAAGGACATCCGTGCCACCGCAATCGCATTTGGCCTTGAAGCTGGATTCAGTCTTGGTATTGAACACAGCGCGTCAAGGGCAATGCAAAGTATCCTCAGGGGGGAGTGGGCGGAAGGGCTCAAATTTATCGACTATTACATTGAGCGTCTGAAAACATCCAGCAAGAACAGGGAAGAAAGCTCCACGGTCCCACAGGTCTGGAGTGTTGTGATTCTCTTTTTCCGTTCGAAACCTCAATGCCTAGAGCAGTGGCAATTTTTCTCGCAGTTTCTTGGAGTGCTACAAGCATGCTTCAACATTGCCGACAACCCAACGAGGACAGAAGCCCATTATGCCTGGAATCGCTTGATATTCGCAGTTCGACCCAACGAGAAGACTTCACCAAAACTCCGAGCAATGCTGTTCCAAGCACTCTCTGCTCAACTCAAGCGCAAGTCATCCAGCGGACGCAAGAGGACGCTGAGCAGCATATATACCCTTCTCTACTACACACTCAACCCGACCTCAACGCATGCCGAGTTAGACATGTATTGGGATGAACTACTTGTGCCCCTAGTTAACGACTGTCTCACTACGTCCAAGAAGGAGATTGCGGCCTCGGAGATGGCCAAGGTAGATGCCGTTGAGGCTTGCCTTATCCTGCAATGTCTATTTGACTCTCGAACCCCACGCAAGTGGAGCGAGACCCGTGCGATGGACAACTTGATGCAGAATGGCATGGATGCAAAGGAACTACCAGCTCTTGACTCCAAATGGCTGCGGAAGAACCACACTCGAATCTTTGAGCTCTTGCAACCCCTCTTGCAGAAACTCTACTGGGATCTAGGAGAGGACTCTGCCATTACACGACTGTGGAAATCATATGTTACGTCGATCGCTTCAGCAGCTATCATGGAAGTGAAGGTTTCGTTTGACATGATGTCCTGCATTGCTTCTATCTTTGGAACAATTCATAAGTTTTGGGGAGTTGGACCTGAGGCTCTAGGAAGCTTATCTGCAACAGTTCCATCGAGTAAGCATGTGGCATTTTGGAAGGGGCTCGAAACGATCTTGACAATATCAATTGAGGGTTTGGGCATCCTTCCCTTCACCGACAAGACCCTATCCATCAAGCATGATAATTTCATTGCCGTTGCGACGCCATCCCAACAGCCCAAGAAGATCCGACTTGAGACGAAGTCTCCCCTGTATCATCTCATTTCCCTCCTCTCTAATACTTCGTCTGTTTTGGTCTTTGATCATGGATTTTCACAAATGATCCACAACATTTTAGTCCCTTTCTTCGAGAAGAAGTCATCAAAACAAGCTCGGGTAGAGTTTGTGAAAGACCTGGTAGTCTTATTACCCACAGAAGCTACTTTGTCTGTGAAGTCACTCTGGCAGGCTCTTGCCGATTTTGCAGTGATAGCCATAGATACGAGAGAGAGGGCCGAACCTGCTATCTCCAGTGAAATTCCTCTCGGCACAAATTATCGATACGTCGTCAGCGTCTTGGAGACAGGGATTCTGTTTTCTCCACAGCGTCCAATGCCTAGATGGAAAATCTTACTCGAGGCTGTCATTGTGTCAGCAACATTGGATGCTGGAGAGTCTGGCAAAGCCATCGCTGTTCTCGAACCTCTTGCAAAGACACTCAAATCTAGGGCGACGACTTCTGAAAGTGGAATATTTGGGTTGACTTATTTGTCCATTCTCCTGGGGAAAGCTACTTACCCCAAAGATCGACAAGCTCTTGATGCAGCAGAACGGACGCTTTGGGGCTCAAAGCAATCGAGTTCGAAGACGACATCTTTCGACCCTTATAGTGAACTTTACACATACACTCTATCTTGTCTCGAATCGTCCTACCCAACGTTTGTCAAAAGCCAGTTCCCCGACTATGCCGACCTCGTCTCAGGCATCACAGGTTTATTGGGACGTTGTCCAGTCAATTTACTAGAGGCTGTTCTTGCAAATCTGCAATCTGGTATCGCACTTTGGATCGTCGACTTGGAATCAAAGCTCACTGGCGGGAATGCGCTGGCTTCGGCGGTATGTACTTTTGTGAACAGGCCCAACTCCAGAGCTAACATCTTCAGATCATTTCATTATGGGCAACGGTTTGCAAGTCAATTGCCACGTTGTGTCAAAGTCGCACACATACCAAGATCTTGAAAGATTTTGAAGTCCTTATTTGTGCCGGACTTCAAAGTAAACACAAAACGGTTGTCAATAGTACAATCGTGATGTGGAATGCTACTTTCGGTCTTTGCAAAAATGGACTTGAATATCCTCAAAATGCCAAGGAAGCGCTTCTCAAACTCCATTCTATCGTGGAACTTCAACTTCCATTCTTCCCGGAGAGTTTGGAGACTGATGCTGCATCGACTGGTCACCGACAACCCGCCTCTCTGATCGGCCAACTGGGTGAGTCCAGCCAATATTCGGGATTTTCCTCCATGGACTCGGCAATCAATGGGTATCTTGCGCCTCCAGGACCGAAAGTCATGCAGAAGATCCGCCAGTCAACGCCTCAGGTCATCATCAACACTCGTCGATCTGAGTCTCTCAAGCGGTCGCGTGAAGAAACACCAGAAGCAGGTCGCAAAAACTCAAAGAGACGTGATGTCACTCCAAAATTGCGGCACGATGACTCGCAGGTACAGTTCGCGGCCATACCTTCGTCATCACCGGGTTTCGACAGGGTCGTTGATTCGCAGCTGTTGACAGAGAAGCAGAAAGAAGTAAGGGAACGGCAACAAGCTGAGGCTGCAATGTTTCCGGATCTACGATCAAGTCCACGACCACGTGGCAGGCTGCCTGAATCCGAAGATGTTGAGCCAGATCTTCCAATACATCGCTCATCTTCCAAGATTCGGGACATGATTTCACGTGGGACTGAGCGGGAGACGACGCCTACTGTTGTTATACCTAGCGATGATGATAATGGTTACGTTGCGTCGTCACCAACACCAACTCCATCTCTTCGGGCACGGGTCGAGGACCCTCCATCTTCTCCTCCAGAAGCAGCGGCGAAACGAAGGGACCCTGCGCGTGATGAGCAGATCTCATCTTCGCCGCCAGAGGGAACACCAGAACCTATCAATGCAGCTAGTCCAGCATTTCATGCTTTGGCTGATACAGCTGTGGTGTTGGATGACCAACGCCTAGAGGAGCCTCAATCGGACCACAATGGCACTTTCGAGCCTGGGAATGAAGACATACTCTTGGAGATCACGGAAGCCAACATCGACGATGACGATTCAGTTTCTAGCCCCAGGGCGGCTTTCACTACCGGAGAGGACATACCCGATATTGCACTCATTGATCACACGGACATGAATGTAGATGAGAATGATATAAGCCAACGAGAAGAAGCAAAGTTGCTTGACGCAGGAAACGATACCACGCTGTCTATCGACCCTTCAGCTCAAATCGATCCAGATGCAATGGAGATCAAGTACATCATTTCTACCAATGATATATCAATCAATGAGCGCAGTAGCTCCCCTACCGAAGATCCATCTGAGCAACTCCGAGCGTCTCAGCTTGAGCATGAAGCTATCTTAGCATCAGCAGAAGCTCAAACTTCCCAGCACCAGCTGTCAAATGACAAGCACTCCTCTGAGTCTGTGCCAAGCTCAATTGCCGAGCTTGAGATAGAGCCTGTCTACGAGCCTGAAACACCAGGTACTCCTGTGCGACACGGATTGGCGTCAGAACCACACTCTCCAAAGACTCCACTATTCGTCGATGCTTTGACTAGTCCCGCAGGTTCTGATAAACACGATGTTTTCGAGGATGCTGTATCGTCGCCGCGGCTCACCAAAGCACCTAAGATGCAAGACTCGTCTTCCCCTCTAAGTGACATGGACGAGTCTAGTTTGTTGAGGGTAGTAGCCGGGTACGATCAAAGCTCAGACAAGCATGTTTCTTTCCTCGACGACAAAGAGAATCAACCAAGGCAAACACGATCATCGCTGTCCAAGGGCACGCAAGGCATATCTTCTCCAGCTGCGTCAGCTTCTGCGCCTTCACGCAAATCTGCCATGCGAAAGAAATCTGGTGCTCAGCAATCATCACAAGCTGACGAAGAGGTGCTTCGCTCGGAGGTCGATCAATTCCAAACATCATCACTACCTTCACTGATTCCGGAGACCCCTGCTCCAAATACCGGCAATCTTCTCGAGCCAGATGCGCAATCTACCCTGGTCTATCGTGACGACGACGGGGAGGTGATCAACATGGATGAGACTATTATTGTTGATACCTCGATTCTCGAACTTGAGGGTGGTCTCCGAACCCACAAGCGCAGCCCACGAAAGAAGGGGAGAAAGAGAAAGCACATCGAAGAGCATACGAGCACAAGTGAACTTCCTGATATCCAAGGTGGTGACATTGAGGATGATGTCCATTCGCAATCGCTCATTAATACAAGCACACCGCCGCCACCCAGTGTGCAGGCCTCGTCATTCGTGAGAGCAGTGACCCCCACGAAGAAGAAACGTAAAGGGAGGCCGAGCAGGGCATCTCAAGCTCGTGTGGAGGCTGAGAGTTCTCAAGAAATCGGAGCGAGTCAAAGCTTTACATCAGCTGATGGTGACATATCGATGGCAGACACAGAGATATCAATGATGGCGGAAACTTCGGTATTGGAGCAACCCGAAATAAAACAGGTGTTGCCCATTCCATCAGAGACCGAAGAAATTCAAGCCATAGTAGAGGATGGACCAGAGAAGATCAGTGGTATCGACCAAATCGAGATGGAGGACGATATCGTTATGGATACGATTCTACTGGACGATCCTAGCAGCTCAGACATGGATGTGGTTGCGGAAACAACTTTTGAGGACAGTAGCTCAGCTGTTCAACAAAGCTCCATGCAGCAGCCCGAAGTTCACACCCATAAAGAGAATGTCGTTGAGCAGGTAGAGATCGTATCGGCGGAGAACGAGGCGCCAACCTCCAACGGGTACATTGCAAATGATTCGAGCTTCAGTCCCGCTGCTGCTGCTGCTGTTGGAGAGATATCTGAAGATTTGGAGTCAAGTCTACCAAAGTATGCTGGCGTTGACAACAGCATTGGAGTGGAAACTACTGGCGCGAAGATTGATAGCGTACCTGTACACGATGCCGAGCGAGAAAGTGCTCAAGAAGATTCAAAGGTTGAAGAGAAGCCTGCAGTCACGATGCAGAGTATGAAGGAGAAGCTCCAGGGCTTGATCACTGATCTACGCAGTGCAGCACTTAATAGACAGGAGATTCACGAACTGGAGGATATGTTTATGGATGCCAAAAGAGTCCTGTATGATGTAGAATTGCGAGGGCGTCAATCGGCGGATATGTGATTTCAATTGCATGGCGGTCGGAGTTCCTGGGTTGGGCGGGCCTCCTACATTTGCTCATTGGGGGATTGTGAAAAGGTATCAATGGTTTGCATCAGGGACGTGTTATTTTGCTCGCTCGTGTAGCTAAAGATACCAATATTATTGTGTTACATCCACGGTTTTCTGGCATGAGGCTGAGTTGACTGTGATGGTTTCAGAAGTCGATCGTGATGTCTGCTTTGTTTCCTTCAGAGGCATTCTGTCATCTGAGCGGCCATGGTAAAGTCTCGGTATTAGGCTGCCATGAACCCGAATGCTTGTTGGTAGAAATAAGAATTCCATCTAAAGCTTCAACTCGTCCGGTATCCCCTCTTGGACATATATTGCACGTGCTTTGGCAGCTATTCCTGTTTGAGACTTAGCCTCAATTCCAAGTCTCGTTTCAGAAGCTGCAAGGGAGCGATGTTGATTATGGCTGGGGCTTTCGCTGTTCGCTAACATCCCACTGCCAGCCAGCTGAATCACATCACATCACATCACATCGCAGCACCCCGCGCAGGATCGAATATCTCGTCCTCTTCTCTCTTTCTCCCTCTTCTCTTCACCTTCACCTTCGTCGTAGAAACAGTCGCTGTCCTTCATCAGTCTTTTGCAACATATCTGCAGACGCTCTTCAGCTTCAAGTCTTTCGAAGTACCATCCACGCAGAGCTACCCCGCCATCTCCTTTCGAGAATCCAACCCCCAAACCAACAGCATCATACAAGATGGTTGACCGCCCAAAGAAACCGTCTGCTCTCGCCACGACTCCCGGTCTTCCCCCTCAAGCTCAACTCAACATCTCGCACGATAATTCTCGCGTTTCAGCTGTCCTTCCCACTGGAGAGAGCGTTGAGGTTCTGCTCTTCGGAGCTACTATCATTAGCTGGAAGGATGCGAAAGGAAATGAAAAGTTGTGGTTGAGTGAGGCTGCAAAGCTGGATGGGACGAAGGCTGTCCGTGGAGGCGTTCCACTGGTTTTCCCGGTAAGTTTTGTGATTTTTTGATTCTCTGCTTGGAGGGCGTAACATTGCAGTTGCCTTGAGGGGCACCGCTGCTACAATTTTGCAGTCGAATTGTATCTCGAATGACATGCTAACAGGTGCATCTCAGGTCTTCGGCACAGCTCCTGATCACGCAGCGACCGCGAAGCTTCCTCAACATGGTTTTGCACGATCGTCGAGATGGGAATTCCTCGGAAAGAGCACATCAGAGTCGTCTACTCTCTCTGCTACATCTGCTGGTGATGACAGCGTAAAGCTGGACTTTGGCTTAAGTCCAAGCAACTTGACTGAGGAGAGTAAGAAAGCGTGGCCATACAAGTTTGGCTTGATCTACAGTGTGACTCTTGGAAAGGAGGGCTTGACGACGAGTCTCGTGGTTCAGAATGATGGAGAGCAGGCATGGGAGTTCCAAACTTTGATGCATACTTACTTCAGAGTCAAGGTAACCATACGATGTCTCTGTTACGCTTTGGAGAGAATACTAATCTGATCATCCAGGATATCTCAACCGTCTCCATTACTGGCCTTGAATCCTCTCCATATCTCGACAAAGTCCTAGGTCCATCTTCGACTGGCGAACCATACACATCCCCCTCTGCTGCTGTATCACTTTCCTCAAAAGTTGATCGTGTTTACACTCCAGCTGGCGGACCCGAAGCTGCAGTCATAATCAAGGAAGGTGGAAAGAAAAAATTCGGCATTGTCAGAGACAATATGAATGAAGTCGTAGTCTGGAACCCATGGAAGGATGACGCTCAAGGGATGGGGGATTTTGCGCCCAAGGACGGCTATAAGGAGATGATCTGTGTGGAGGCAGGTGCCGTAAAGGGGTGGCAGAAGTTGGAGCAGGGAGAGACTTGGGAGGGTGGACAAGTAATCATGGCTGCGAACTGACTGGAGTTGGGAGATAACCGTCTGCTGAAGCTTTGAGACAGGCAGGCTGTGGTTAGCGAAAGGATACTGGTCGACCTGGATGGGATTGACGAAAAACGCATGGAACATGATAGATGACGGTGGCATGATTGATGAATGATGGCGAAGTGGAGGCTATTATCACTTCCAAATATGGGTTATAGGTCTGATATCTCTAACACACGAGATTTTACGCAAGCCGATGCCTTTACCCTTGTTCAAGTCCCTAACATCCAATATTGAGTAAAGCTCTGACTTCTAAGTCAGCCTTTCCTTCTTAATGTGACGCATGTGAAATTTCTCTGCTTGCTTGTCTTTGTTTCTTTCGAGTGGCAAGTAAACGTACAAGTATTATAACGATGGTATCGAGGAGACGATTCTGCGTACTCGCCCCTCCACTCTCGTGCCACTGACCAATCCCACTGTCACTATTTGCTGCTAAACAATTCAGTAACCGCGAACCTGGTAAAGCATAAGCATAGTCAAAAGTGCAATGAGAACTAGGGGCACAGAAACGATGTTGCCCTCTCTTCCAACTTAAAAATGGGGGGCCAGATTCCACTCTTGAAGAGATTGACTGATGCTTCTTGTCGAACACACAAGAGCCTGTCTCACTCGCCGAGTGGCTGTCCGCTGACCAACCCGGAAGGCTCGGCGAAGCGAGATAATAGGGGGGAAATGATCTAAGCGAGCGTGAAAACTCCACAATCCCCAATATAGACTTCAACGCAGTTTCCAATGAGGAGCGACTTTGCAATAGCCGTATCTGTAGCATGTAGTGGTCCCCTTGCAATCTCTGGGGCTCTTGAATTCTGGATTGGCTGATCCTCGATGCACATTGAAGCTTGCTCTTCTTACACGACACTTATGATGTCTTCTAACAGCCTTCAAGGGTAGCCATTCCGGTTACTCTCGGCATATCAGATCGATATGCCACTTATGAAACTAATAGGTTGAGAATGGGGGAAGGTGGTATCCCTTATCATACAGGACCGTCAAGTCACATGTTAACATCGAGGCAAAGGTGGGGTACTCAACGGCGTAAGCTAGCTGTATATCTTCGGACTCAGGGTTCAATCCTATTATCTATCTCACTCTTCGCTCCAAGATATTCACTAGATCTTTGTAAAAAGAATACCAAGTCTACCCAGAATGACAACATCAAACTTTCCACTCCTCTCTTTTCAAGAATTCTTGACGGGATCGGAGGTTGAGAAGAGAGCTGTGGCACAGAAGTTATACAATGCCTTCCACACATATGGTTGGGTGTACCTGCAGGATTTCGGAATCACCAAAGAGGAAATTGCGGAGATGTTTGCAATGGTCAGCATTTTGCGGTGTTTCCAGCGTGGAATGTAGAGCTGACGCAAGATCATAGTCTAAAAAGTATTTCGATCGCCCTCTATATGAGAAACTCAAACAGACGTTGAATGATGCCGAGACCAATCAAGGATATACTCCTGATGGAGCTGAGGCTAATGGCGGTACTGATCATAAGGAGGTTTGTGGATAAAACAATGTCCGAGGTTTGGGGCTAACTTCAGCAAGTGTTATGAGCATCGCCGATTAAGTAATGAGCTCTGCCCCACTGATCAAGAGCTTACAAACTTCAGAGTATTCATGGATGATTTCTATGCGGTAAGTCTCTCCTCCACTGCATGCTGTGACACCTCTTCGAGTACTGACATTGCACAGAAATGCTTCAAATTGTCCGTCAATGTTCTTCAAGCACTTGCACTAGTGATGGACCTCGACATGGATTACTTCTCCTCTGCCCTCGCCAAAGCAGATCCCCAGCTTCGACTCCTACACTACATGCCCATTGAACGAAAGATTATCGAAAGTGCAGGACATGCGCGAATCATCCCACATACAGACTTTGGACTTTGCACCCTGCTCTTTCAAGACAATGTAGGAGGACTCGAAGTGGATCCTTTCCACACTGGCAAATTCTTACCAGCGACTCCCATTGAAGGAACCTGCGTCATCAATGTTGCAGATCTTCTACAGCGATTGAGCAATGATAGATTAAGGAGCACTCTTCATCGTGTTACTAGTCCTCCTCTGGAGAAAGTTGGGAATGATGGAATGTTGCCGGCGAGATACTCGACAGCTTTCTTTGTGCATCCTTCTGCTGATGTGGAGATTGACCCTATCCTGAGGGATGGAGAGGCGAAGAAATATGAGTCTGTTAATGCGGGGAAGTGGAGGACTATGAATACGCAGAAGAATTATTCCAATCTGCTGGGCGGAAGTGCACTGAAAGTTTAGGTGTTTATCGGTTCTTGAAGGGGTGTTTTTGTCATATCAACATTGACCGCCGTCCTTAGAGAGCAATATAGCAAACATGTGGAAGAATAACGTCATTAGTGACAATATATGCTACAAATGTATAAATCATGTCAATCATCAAGCTTTACAAGTTAAAAGAGGGTCTAAAGATGTGTTGCACTGTATTCGCATTGCTGCTAAATTGATAGATCTGTGTGTGTCCATAATTTGGAGTTATCCTCCGATTTGTATCCTATGCTGAAACTGTGCAGCGGGGCCCATGCTCGACCTTTACCCCTTCCTCCCTATTTCTTCGGCTCAACAGTATTGGAAACACGTCCATCGAGGGGAGGACCGTCAATGACGAAGTCAACCTTCCCATTCTTGAGCTCTTCCAGATCCGGAACATCACTATGCTTCACACCATCGAACTTGATATCGACCTCTTCGAGAGTCAAGCCCTGGGTTTCGACCCAGAAGAATATTACAAAAAGCACCATCAGAATATCGAAGCTGGCATTGATGATATAAGTTTTCCATCCTATGGCGTCCAAAGCAAACGGGAAGACCATAGTCACAAAGAGGCCACAAAGCTTTGTTGCCATCGTGTATAAACCCATTCCTGTTCCACGAATGCGGTAAGAGAGAACTTCTGGTGGGTACAATACAGTCAAAGGTGTTATCCCAAAACTGTAGGTCCCATTGTAGAGGAAAATGCAGGCGATAGTGCCGTAGATGCCAGACTTGTTCGATGAAGTGCCGTACGCTGCAGTGAGTCCTCCGACCAGATAGAAGGCAATGATGCCGCCGGTCAGACTCAAGCAGCAGAGTAGCTTACGTCCAACCTTGTCCGCATACCAAGAGGCTACCACTGCGATGACGAGAGACCAGGCAGTGAGAATTATATTGATTTCAAGTTGGGTAGTAGCATCAGTAATGCCAGCTTGCTCAAGCATGGTGCCGAAGTAATAGGTGATGATGTTTGTACCAGGCAACATTACCATTGCAGCGAACGAAATTGCGATTATGAGACGTTTTCGATTGATCGGGTTGCTGTAGGCTTCCTTGAAAGTAAGTTGACGGCCCTCGGTCTTCTCCCAGGCAATCGTGTCAGCAATCTCTCGGTACTGGATGAGCACAAGCGGATCTGAGATGTCGCCGCCTCCATTGACGACAGCTAGTACTTCGAGAGCTTCTTCGTGTCGATCTTGTCCTACGAGCCATCGTGGTGATTCAGGTACAAAGAGAAGTACGAACAAGCATACAATGCTAGGCACGACCTGAATCAAACTCGGAATACGCCAGGCCCAAGTACTATCGACGAATTGACTCTGCGAGAGACATTAGAGTATGTAGATACAAAAGAGACAGAAGCTCGCTTACTCGATAGCAAACACCAGAGGCGATCAACGTTCCCACACCCCAGCACGAATAGTAGAGACCCAGAGCAAAAGCACGATGTTTCGGAGGAGCTGTCTCACTGACGAAGGTTGGCGTGGCCGTTGCAGCAACACCCAACCCCATTCCAATTATGAACCGGCCAACAATAAACATGGCAATGTGGACAGCAGAAGTTTGCAAGATGGCTCCGATCAGGGTGATTATGCACGACCAGAAGATTGACTCTTTTCGTCCTCTCCAATCAACCAGAAATCCAGCAGGAAATGCTGCAATTGCTCCTCCGGTGTATGAGATTGCCGTGTTGAGAGACTTCGTGGCCGTTGAGAGTTCGAAGTAATTGTAGTAAGAGGGCATTACATTGAGTGATCCCATAAGTGAGCTGTCGTAGCCAAGAAGTACGGAGTCGACAACTGAAGTTGCTATAAGGAAGAAGACAATCAAGAACCCAGAGCTGGGCACAAACCGCGAGACATATTGGCGGGAGTATTGAGGAGCCATTGTGATGTTGAGTCTCAACCCTCAATTGCGATGTCTGCAAAGTCGATGATCGTGCCCAACCTTGGGGATGAAGCTGTATCATATAGATCTGAGATCACTGTCCAATGGTTATCTTTTTATCGGTCATCAGCACACATTCGAGGGCGAGGGTACCCAGTCTGCCGCCCAAGTCCGCAATCCCCACATCCCATCTTTGAAATCAGCGAGCTTTGACCCTGCATGATAAGCTGTGATCGACAATTTAGCCAAGTTGACAAGGAGAAAGTCTAGCCAGGTCGAACCTGCCACTTTTGCACTCTTGGAAGAGTTGAGTTCAGATAAGAGAGTATCTTTGCGAGTCAGCTAAAGCCGACGAGGACGTTGATAGATCACGTGCTTATGCGCTCAAGAACCAGATGAAAGATCGGCAAGACAACCCGAGAATAAAGATAACGACTCAAGGTCGAGGAAGATGTATGAAGTTAGAAGAACAATGTGCGTCCCAAATTCTAAGTAGCCGACAGCATCGCTGCAGCCGCAGTCTGGAAGAACAATAATCGACCACCATTTCTGGACATTACATTATCTGCTTGCTCTACCGTCGCTCGCAAAGCCGACACCCTATAGCACGTATCGAAAGAAGACCTAAGTTCTACATTAGATCAAGTTCTAGATTGAAGTGGAGACGACTCACATTTTGTTTGTCTGTCACATTTTCAAACCCTTGGATTCGACTTTCCTCCCTGAGTGCCTCAACCTCTTCTTCACTCTTACCCTCGAGCGCTCGATCACGTTTATTATTCTCGAGCTGATACAAGGATCGCAAAGCTAGGTTGAAGACAATGTTCAGGATAAATCCCACCAACATTGCAACAATTCCACCATGATACGAAGGAGCCTGGGCAGCCTTGAAACATTGAGGTCCTAAGTCAAGATTAGTATGCATCTTTCACAACACTCGTATCAACCAACTCACCAACAATCTGTCCGACGCAGTACATTACAAATACCATCGCACTTGCCATGCTCTTCTTCGTGCTTCCTGCTACGTTCGTAGCTAGCAAGCCCAATAATACCATAAACCCAGTAGGATATCCGGCTAGCAACCAAACACCAACGAGTCTTCCCCATTTGTTAGTTGAGTCGAGTTGATTAATCAAAATGGTTCCAATGATGGGAGGAATCATGGCTACCGAACCCACAATGAGTCGGGCATTTGGAACCTTCGTCTGGACATACCCGCCTAGCAATGTGAACACCGCCTGCAGAAATGAGAGCGGCATGTTCATCAGCGTTGTCTGCAAGCTTGTAAACCCAAAGCCCTTGATGATGATGGACCCAAAGCTCAATCCTCCTGACGCAACGGCGTTAACGAACGAGATCAATGCTAGAAGTAAAATCTTCGGATCCAAAAGCGCTTCTAGAACTTGCTCTTTCACGAAAGTCTTGCTCTTTGTCCCGGTTTTGTTCTCAACTACTCGTTGGATTGCAACAACTCGCTCATCCTCGCTCAACCACCTCGCGCTCACTGGATTATCCGGGACCACAATGATGAACAGCACTCCCCAGATCACAGTAAAAGCACCGAGGATCAAGTAAATGAGCTTCCATGTAGCAAGCGAACCTTCAATATGTCCAATTCCGAAAGTGATGAGTCCACCAATTGTGCCGAAAAATCCAAGGAACGAGATCCAGATTGCCGATCGGGAGGCTTGTTCTTGTCTTGTCCACCAGATGCCTGTGATTGCGACGAAACCAGGAGAAATAGTGGCTTCGAAGACGCCAAGGAGGAAACGGACTGTGGCGAGTCCGGCAAAGGACGAGCAAGTTGCAGTAAGCATGAGTATCGATGCCCAAATTATGATATTTACTGCTGTGCGTCAGGATATGCAAGACATGCAGAAAACGAGACTTACCTCCCAAGAATTTGGCAATGGGAAATCGTTGGAGAAGAGCTACACCTGGATACTCGGCAAACATGTATCCGAAATAGAAGATTGAACTGAGATTGTTAGTCGAGCGCAACAATCTGATTGAAGAGAGGTGGACGAACGAAGTCCACGAGTAGTCCTGTCCCACAAGATGATTATCTGTGATGATTCCAAAGACGCTGGAATATCCAAGTGTTGTTTTGTCGAGAAATTGAAGGCCTGACGTGTGTGAGTTGATATTACATGGCTTGGGTGGTATAAACTGACCATAAGTAATGCAAAGGAAGGGCAAGATGTACAGATCAACCTTTCTCAAGACTCTATTAGAAATCTCTGTCTCTGCAGGACCAGTGGCTAGTGCCTGAGCTGCGAGTTCGCCAGCTTCATCGTCGATATGAAGCTCTCCCTTCCTCGGGTCTTCAATATCATTGTGTGTAACAGCTGCGATCTTTTCATCTGCAGGACTATTTACAGGAGCGTCCGAGGGAGTGATTTCATTTGGAGCGCCCATCTCGAAAGCGATCACAGAAAGTTTGGATTTCGATATAGCAAACAGTAGGACGGGAAAGAAAGCAGGAAGGAACTCCAAAGACAGCCCACTCTCGTTCCCAGAAGTATCTCTCCCGTCCACTTCCTATTTTGTGAAGCTCGGCCGATCTCCCGGCTCTTGAGCTGTAACTGTCCTCCTCGCCCGTTTAGTAAGTAGAGAGGCTGCATGATAAGGATGGCGAATACTGCTCGGAGACCGCCTATCGAAGAAGGATAAGGGCTCGGAAACTATTTCCAGAGCTTCGGGTTGTCTAGGTTGGGATTCTCTTAGATAACCCCAGTCGTTCATTTCTCACGCCGCGTGCAATCCTTGCTGAAGATGAGTGTGATTGGTGTGCTTGCGCATACGCCTAAGAGGGGCCGAGATTCTGCACTCGAGATCCCACTTTTGGACTTGGCAGTCACCAACCACACGCAGTTCGCACATACAACTATTGAAAGTGGTGTTCTTCTCTCATGATCGGGATTGAAGAACATTCCGGACTTTGCTTCATTGTTTTGCACATAAGCCAAAGGCGGATATCAGTGAAGGCTTCACGTGATGCAGGTACTCCTAGACATCGTGGATGATGACTATGTGGATATCTCCACTCATGGTGAGAAGAATGAAGTACCGAGCAGAATAGAAAGTCTAGAGATCTGTAAGTAAGCGTCATCATTGCGGCTTGCATACCTGACACTCGACAGCTTCGCAAGATGGCACATCCATGCAGGATGAATATCTCGATTTCGTGTCCACTTACATCGAATCCATCAGCGAGACACTGCGATCAATTAGTCTCAAGATTCATGACAATCCGGAATTGAACTTCAAGGAATTCATCGCTCATGAAACATTGACCAAGTTCATGAATACTCGCAAGGGCTGGAAAGTCACGCCTTCAGCATACAGAATTAAAACTGCATTCATAGCTGTGTATGATAGCGGGAAGAAGGGTCCCGTCATCAGTTTCAACGCTGAGTATGGTGTGTACCGTACATTTTAAGCAAAACAATGAACTAAAATGGCGATCTAGATGCTCTTACAGGAATCGGACACGCATGTGGCCACAACCTCATTGCTATTGCATCGGTGGGCGCAGCACTCGCTGCTGGTGCCGCCATCAGCAAATTCAATTTGCCAGGCAAAGTTATCCTCTTTGGAACGCCCGCAGAAGAAGGTGGTGGAGGTAAGATTGCACTCCTCAACGCTGGAGCATATTCAGACCACGGAGTCGATATCAACCTCATCTCGCATCCCGGCAAAGTCAAAGACTCTGCACTCGTGAGAACAAACGCCTATGTGAACACGAAAATCGAATACTTCGGAAAGGAAGCACATGCAGCAGCAGCTCCTTGGGAGGGCATCAACGCCCTCGACGCCTTGATCACCGCATACAATGCTTTGAGTGTGCTGAGGCAGCAGACGATGCCAGGAGATATCATTCAAGGACATATAACTGATGGTGGGGCTGCTCCCAACATCATCCATGCATATGCTGCTGGAATATTTGTGGTCAGGGCGACTAGCAAAAAAAGACTGGAAGTGCTCAAGGCCAAGGTGGACAAATGCTTTGAGGCTGGAGCTGAAGCTACAGGAGCAAAACTTCAGATGACACACATCATGGGCTACGATGACCATGTCCCGAACAAAGCTATGGGAAGGGTGTGCAGAGCGGTCATGAATAAACTTGGAAGTAACATTCCAACAGAGCACTTGGATCTCATTGAAGGTGCAACGCAAGCAAGTACTGATCAAGGAAATATTAGCTATGCAATGCCGAGTCTGAGTCCTGGCTTCAGAATTGAAAGCGTTGAAGGGCCCCATAATCCTGGGTTTGCAGAAGCAGCGAGAACGAGAGAAGCTCATGATGTGGCATTGCGAGTAGGGAAAGCTTTAGCAGTCACCGGACTGGAGGTCTTGAGTGATGAAGATTTATTGAAGGCGGTGAAGGAGGAATTTGAAGAGATGCTGAAAGAACATTGACGGATATGATGATGTAGATTTGAATATCGACCAAGAAACATAAATCCTACAATGTATGTAACTGCACATCCCATCTCGAGAAGCTGCATTTAGGCTGTTGTCTGCCACGCAAACTGCACGTTTTTAAGATTTCCGAAATACTTTCTTTCCACAGCCACGCCCGAAAGATCCTCCACAACATCCTTCGCCACCTGACAGAGTCTAGAAAATTGCACACGTTGCTGAGCGGCGGCAATGCTTGGTTGTCAGCGACGCGACCGCGACACGCTTTTCGTGCCAAGTCTTGTTTCACCACCCTGCCCTGAAATCTCTGTCCATCATCCCAAGCGAGGATGATCACTTGGTAGATTAAGCTTCTATATAGAGTTATATTCGAAGCTTTGCTTGAACATTGAACAGACGGGATCCTTTTGTTCTTGAACAATTGAATTTGAAGAGAAATATTAGCCCAATATATTTCCGTTCGCGATGTACCCAGCACATGCTCGAGGGGCGACTTTCTTCACAGAGAGTATATTTATTTATTTATAGCATCATCCCAGTGTGTTGGTTGGTCAGCCCTAAGACCTTCAGGGTCAAGTGTTTCGGGTAGCTCCATTCTGTCATCCCCTTTTCTTATCAGCGCCGGCATGCTGCAGGAGCAACTCTCTCTGGAACCCGTGCCTCTTTCCTCCTCCTCAGCCGCACCGCTTGTTTACCCTCATATGGACTGCTGCACTTCTTTACCATATTTTGTATGGCCAGCCTCGTCTTGGCAGCCCCCAAAGTCTGCTTCCGTCTGATAGAATAAGTACAAGGGCCATGGAAGTGCTTTTCGCAATGCTGCCGTCCGTCCAACTTTCCTGTTCGACGTGCTCGACGTCTGAGTCTTTTGGCTGAGGCAAGTCACATCTTTCCGTGCGCCACTGTCTCCAGAAATATATCGCTATGGCACGTCCAAATTATGGACCTGTGCGGCCATTCTCCCCCCTCGACGAAGAAAGTACAATATATCGAAGTCCGGCAACTTATTCTCAACCATTCCCTTCTCACGATCATCATGGAGACTTGGGATCTTCGCCAGAAATCGAGATGGGAAACGTGCGGCCTAAGTATCCAACGCATAGCGACACTAAAGATAGTGTAAATTCAACAGCAACCCTATTTCCGAGTCACAGCGCGTCCCGTACGTTTGTACCAACTTCAACGGCCAATGTACTAACACAAAATAGAAACTGACGCCCAGCCATTCCTGCACGACCCGCTAAACAAACTCGATACATTCTATACTGCGAATACCTTCGTGCCATACCAAGATCATACGGGCAAACAGCTAAGACACATATTGGTCGGAGGATCTGCGCGGTGGTTGATCACGGCAGCTCTTTGTGGAGGATATGTTCTTGCAACAGTGATATGGCAGAAGAAGAGTGCAATTGGAGAGACCGACAAGAAATGGTACAATGGCATAACGACGGGACTGAGTATTGCTCTGGGTCTGAACATCGCGAGTGCTTTTAAGGATATGGCATTGAACATGAGGTGGCCAATTCTGGCTAAGGGGCAGAGAAATCTTGTGGAGGTCAGTCTTGATCCTGCAGATTGAAGATGGTGCTGATGTGGAATAAAGCTTGACTTATTTCTCAATGCCGACAGTATGACAAAGCTTTCAAAACTGGCAATTGTCACCAAACGACCGATGGTCGTCTTGGCGTGTATAGCTTGGCTGCTGGTTAATTTGGTGAGTCTAAAGTAATAAGATATGTTCCTGGCAATTACTGACAAAATCTTAGCTGGCCCAAGCAGCAATAGCTATGCTTTCACTCACATACGGCTTCAATACCGACTATACTGCAGTACAAATGGTAAAAGGGAATGTCTCGGTACCAAGCATGGACCATTTCTTCCCCCTATACAGTGTTCTCAACAGTACCTCTCCCTCCATCCAGGATGAAGAATATGCTGCCCACATGTGAGCGATATGCCTAGCTTCTTGGCTCCCACTGACCTATCAACAGGTATGGCGAATATGGGTACAACTATGGATTGAACGAGACGACTTTCAAACCAAAACCGGGAGACATATACCAGCCGCAGGGAGCCATGATTTTCACGGACTACAATAACAGCTACATGGAATTTATCTTCCAGGATTCCCCGGAAGGACAGACTCTTGGAACCTTCTCTGTCTACAGTGGACGAGCCATAAACATCACATACTCCTGCGATTCTTATAAAGTCACCAAGAATGGCAATGGCACCTCGGACTCGATCGAAGTTGAAACAATAGGGGCCATTACATTATCTCAAACCGTCCCGGATTCCACCACATATTGGACTAATTCGAGCCACGTGTGCGGAAGCAACGAGCGCTGCACCAAGGTTGAAGCATTCGAGTCTTCAAACACGGATCCATGGTATTATCAGTGCGAGATAACCCTCGGAAAGACTTTCAACGACTCAATGAATGTTTCGTTTGTCTCGGACTACATGGCATACATAAGCACTGCAGCAATTGCCCAAGTTGGATACACGGATTTTACTGGTGTTGCTTCTCAGATATACCCCCAAGACAGTCTTTGGGGCTATCCGAATAATGGAAGTGTGAATGATATGGGATCAACTATGGCCACATTCGCTCTCGGTGCTATCGCGGGAGCAACGATGTATAATCCATATACTTCGTACAATGGGATGGCCCCGCAACAAGGCCAGTGTCTCCAGGTCGGACATCCGTACTTCTTCTACTTGATGCTTGGCCTCATATGCGGCTGCCACTTCATCTTTATTTTCATCGTGGCCTTCTATACGAATTCGGTCATGGTGGGTCCCGATGGGCATCTTTCGATGGCCTTGCTGCTGCGGCCCATCGCAGATGCTCTGTACGGTGTCAGTGATGGAGAGGAGAATAAGGCGTTTAGAGACGCGAAGAGGAACACTATGGTGAGATATGTGAAGGAGCACACAAGGCAAGGAAAGTGGACGTTGAAGATGATACAACGTTGAGAGGCGTTCTGATAGTGTACCCTTGGTTTATGAACAATTTTCTCGCTTTGATCGTGTCTTGGGCGTATGACCACCACCAAAGAGCAACCACCACAACCGAGAAGGCAGCAATCAAGCCCATACCTCGCCTCGTGCTCCGCTTCTCTGTATCTCCGCAGTTCAACCCAGCTTCATGGTCCCCACCGGCTTTTCGAAGACCGCGCAGGTACAGCTCAATTCCGAGCACCTATTGCGCTGTGTTAACGAGGTATACTTGATGATACTGCGAGGATTGATTGTGAAGAAGTTGCTGGCGGATCTGTCCAGAAGCTCATGCATACGCGATGCGGGGCTGTGGTGGATCAACGGTTCAGGCGGACGACACAGCATGAGAATATATAAAGATTGCCAAATAATGCTAATAACATCATTGATAACCCAGTTTGAGGCTTTGGTATCATCATCTTTAGTCCATCGCAAGTTTTCATCCTTCTTGTGTCTCAGATCTGTGAGACATTCTTGAGCTCAGCACGGAGCTTGGAGTTCTGAACACAGAAGTGGATGACGGAAGTTGATGCAGTGATTGATCGTTGGCAACATCAACACTATTTTGCCCTTCTTCTTGACCAGATGCTAAGTCAATGCTTGCATCCTCTCTTCTTTGTCTCCTGGTCTTGAGCTTTTGCCGAATCCATGGAGCAAGGTTGAAATATCCTCCACACGCAAAGACTCCGCACCAGAGCACAAACTCTGTGGCATATATGACCATTCCTAGGATATCTAGACTTGGTTGGAAGACTTGACATGATTAACGACTTGGTTCAAAAGTTGAAAGATTGTAACATACAGACAGAAACCAAGGAAAACACATCTCCAGCAGCATCAATGCCGACGAAGATGAAGGAGATTCCTCTGACTGTGCGATGAACGTAAATATCCCAATAATGCCTCAGAACTCCGGCAGACAGCAAGACTGTGGAAACAACACCCATTAGCGTTACTGGCCAATGCTTGTTTTCTCTCAATGCGGCCTGATGAAGTCAGCTTTCCGTGTCATCACCCACTTCGAGGGACATCTCAACAAACCTTCAGAGCATAGACGAGCCCTACTTCAATACCGCCAAATACTGCTCCAATGCTCCCCACGAACGCACAGCATTTCAATACTCCCCATTTCTGCTTCCCAATCAGCACGTGATCTTGCCCTTGGATCAAACAAGATTGGAAGAGAATTGGATGGAGCTCACATCATCATAATGGTAGCACTGAATCCAAGTTATTAGACTTAAGATGGTTAGAATCTGTGGCTGGATCTGTAGTGCGATATTGAAATTCGAAGTGATATTGTATGCACCGAGCGGCACGCCGGCAATGGCCCAAAGTAACATCATCGATCTTTGAAGGCCGATTGTGTGGTGTCGTCTGTAATTGATGATAATTTGAGGAATGAGCTGAGATGTGTCAGCAAAGTTCTATGTTTAAAGGGGAGACGATTTCATGGAGAGCAGGAAGAGTTAAGGCTGAGGGGCTTGAACCTGAATTGACCAGCAAACTGCTCCTAGTGTCCCCAACACGTTCGCTGCGACCGGAACATTCATTTCTTCCGTCTAGTTGCCCTTTCAATGATTTTCAACAGTTTTCTTACCAAGCGAAGAACTATTCAAGTGAGGATTAAGACGTGGAAGTGCGAAAAGGAAACTTGCTCTGGAATGCGGCTTGGCGGTCTTGTGGAACTACGACACGTGACCAATCGAAGACTTGAAGGATAGGAGAGTACCTATGTATCTATAGAGCTCGCAAGCTATATGACTTGCCAGAAATAGCTCGAGAATTATATGAAATTCAAGTATGTCTTGATGCATTGAAGTCTATAAAGTGGAAGATGGGCTCGTCACATTCCAAAAAGAATTCTTGAACTTTCAACATGGAGGTCTACGTCGCACATATTTCAAGGGGGATTCTTTCTCTGTCCTCAAAATCCCCGACGATACTAGACAGCATGTTCACTGATACTTGAGTTGGACTTTCAGCAATCGATAATTCGCCACGGGGTTTGGCATCAGCGGCGAGGCTTGGGACATTCATCTCAGACGTGAAGGATGATTTCATTGAGTTGTGACTCTCCACCACAAAGCTACGCTGTTAAAAGCTGCAATGCTCTGATATCTATCGTCAGTGTGGTTGCCTCATCCATACTGAAGTCATCCGGCGAGCTTTTCCCTGGTACTGCAAGCGCCCGGCCGATGAGACGCAGACTCTCATTCGTACCAGTCCCGTACCTTGGAGCTCGAACAACTGCTACTATCTCCGACTTCTGAAACCTGAAGAGAACATCGTGAAGTTGCGCCTGGGGTGGCAACAGTCCAATAATTCCATTATCGGTCGAGAAGAGGCGTGGCTCATCTTGCTTTTCCTTCCATGGACCCAATTCAGAATCTGTAGAAGTAGCCGGCAGGCTACCCGTGCTAGCCGAGCGATTGGACGTGATATCGTCAGTGGCTACACAGCCATCCCAGAAGATCTGTGCGCCGAGTGTGGTCACCTTTTCATTAAGATTTGAGGGGTCCAGATTGTACAGCTTCTGTGCAAGGTTTTCGTTATTCTTACGGAGGCTCTCAAAAAACTTTTTTTTTTGTGTAGGCTTCAGGTACATTGAGGCGGGGTTATTGTTCATTGGCTTTCCCCTTGTCAAAGCAGCCTTCCATTGCCGTGTAGCCTCTGGTAAAGCAATGAAGTCGCTGTACGATGGACCGACCAAAGTAACTATTCCATAAAGGTGAGCAACCACCGGAACTCTCTCGGGATTTCGGTCGGATGGCAAAGGTCGACTCGTCTTCAAGTCTGCGCGCATAGTCGAAGCGCCACCAAAAAGCTGCTGTACGAGTTGACTAAAGTAGACGACCGACCTAGAATCAAGTTGGGAACGTAGATGAAAACGAATGACATCTTCATACAGTTCAAATAATGACTTGCTATAATCCACCAGGAATTTGTCATCTTGGCAATCATGTGCAATGCCGACAAAGCCATAGACTTTATCGCGAGGCTCCTCGCACTCCGATTGCTGACAAGCTTCCATGAGATTCGCAAGTAGGAAGTCATCCCCGTGACGGCCTTTCCGCTGTTGCGCGAGTGTAACAGCAGCATTGGTAGAGTCTTTCATTCGGCGGAAAAACCGGGCCCATGATTGTGATCTCGATGTGAAAGCGTAAGTTGGTAACTTCTGATCCGGACCATGGTATGCTTTCTCGATTGGCCCCACGCTGGATTTCAAGCCCCAGTGTACCTCCAAGCTCATTGCCGAACCAATCTCTTGAACTATCCATACTCTCCACCAGTATGGCTGAACAGCTAAAGTTCGGATTTCCGCTTCCAATTCTTCTTCTGCTTCAGCTTGAGTCTTCTGAGGCCCGGGATCAAATCTCTCAATGACTCCGAGCCAGACGAGGACTCTCTTCGCGCGCGAATAGATGTATGCCATGATCTGAACCTGTTCACTGCGTTCCTCAAGATCTGCCTGGTTGATACAAATTGCATCAATCCAAAGAAGTCTCTCTTCCTTCGTACGTCGAAGATGCACAAGAGCGAGCCACAAATTCACCCTAATTTCTACCCTTCTTCCGTTCAATTCAACGCCCTTGACCACATCTGCCCTACCCCATGCATACGAAAGCGCTTCATACTTCGGCCGATCTGCAAATGTCGTATGGACAAGTTTGACTCTGATGCTAGTCGTTCGGGAGCCAGGCTGGAGGACTGCCAGCCTGATTGAAGGTTTGGCATCAGTTGAATTCAGAGGATCGTACTGGAAGGTGGTAAGGCCGGACGACGTTGGCAGATTCTGGACAGGTCCTGTAGCCATTTTTAAGCCTATGAGGTATCTTCAATGTCGAAATTAGGTCGAGACCATCAGTGGAAGTTTGGTTTCGTGAGATGAACCATGTTCGCGAGGCTGTGATTCTCAGCAGCTTTTGATTGGTTGAGATGTCTTTGCTTCCCTACAAATACATTGTCCGCGGCCTCGCCGGATACTCGTCTTGTCTCGATGCGCCTGATTCTCTGGAGCTTGAAACATTATACACACTTCCAATCCGCATGGTCTCATCATCGAAAGCCAAAGACCGATGACAATTTGTCTCCTATTGTCTCTTTGCCCTGCTCCTTTCGCAATCGTCGCTCCTCGGCCTGTTTCTCGTATATGGTGCTCAGTGACGCAGCAACTTGTTCTCCAGCTTGGATCTCAGCCTTAATCGCTCTCTCTTCAACTTCCCGTTCCTCGTCATTCAGACCTTCTAAGCGCTTCTTCAATCCTTTCTGCACTGACGCTGGCAGATCTGCAGCCTTCACTCTGTTGTCTTCAAGGTTGTGTGGAGCTGGAGAAGTTGTCGATTTGGATCTCGAGGACAACAGAGGCGGAAACGAGGGTATAGGCTTTCCTTCTGCTTTCGCAGCCTCGATCGCTTTCTCTTGGTCCAACATTCGATGGTATAGCGTATCTGCGTGCATTTGGATCTGCTCGTCAACTTCGGGAGGTCGGTCGAAAGTGGAAAGGTATCCCAATGCCTTCAAGAATTTCTATACCAAACAGAATTAGCCATGTCCTCGTGAATGTTCCAAGACTCGCCGATTCTTCTTCAAGAAGCTCTTCGCATTCCCCTCAAGCACTCACCCCTTGCATCATATAACATCTCTCCAATTCCCGATTCTCTGCCCGACAGAGAGTCAATCGACTGGTCCAACCCCCAGTTCGAAAGCACTCGTTGACCTGCCATTGCTCCAATGCACAATTCTCCAGCGCTGCTCTACCAATCTCTGCTTTCCTATGCTTGTAACCATCCAGGACGTCATTGATCTTCTCCTGGTCTGATTTGCTTTCCGATTCCACGTCCGATTGTGATTGATATGTTTTCCAAAGGTGTGCATATCGACCGTCTTTGTACAAGCTTTGAGCAGGGACATTGGAGGTATCGGCATCAGAAATAGGTTTTGGAGGTGCTGGAGGAGTCGTATCCGCTGACTTTGGAGCTGTTATAGATTCGTGGTTCGTAGCAGGAGTCGAAGGGCTGTATTTTATGGGAGACTCTTTCGCCAGGAAGTCTCGTAAACTGGGATCCAAGTTTCGTAGGGGATCTTGAGACTTCTTCTCGTCATCATTATCGGAGGAACCCCAAAACCAACCCATTGTGCAGATGTAAGGAGATGTAGCTTCGTCGCGAGAACGATGAAGGAGTGCAGTGCTTTCCAAAATTCTCGGGCTAGGGCTACTGTAGCGCCGCGCCTTACGAACATGGGGACAAAAGTCCGTGCGTTCAGGGCATCAGAATCATGAATTTTATTAATTAATTAGCTGTAGACCAGCCACATCGCTTAATTAAGTCGTGTACCCAGAAGTCCTGCTGCTCAATAAGCCCATTGATCCATTCCTGAGGAA